CTATGTGTTACCTCTGGTTGATATCATCTGAAGACAAGCCATTAGTGTTCACATGCAGCTGAGAACAGCCATCTCTACCTCGCCACAGTCTCTCTCAACTGTTGATCCGATTACCCTTCTGTTTTGTTCTCTTCCCCATGATTTCTTATCACCAGGCAGTTCATCCTGACTGCAAACAGAGACAAATATAATGTTTAAAAACATGGGGCAGGATTTTAAACCTACTTTAACCCAGTCCCCATAATAGGGTAGGTGCCATTTCATTCAAAGAAAGTAACCAGCAATTGAACTTGTGAACAAAGCAATTGATTTGAAAATACTCTGCCCAAACCAGGAGGAGTTTTGGAAGTAATTATTAAAATAATTTTGTAGGACTGATGGTGTGCAGGGATGCATCTTTTGGTGGAGTCATGGGGATGAGGAATACATTGTGTGTATTGGGGAATTCCCCACTCCAACCACCATGTTATTTCTCCACTAGCACCCCCACCCTCCACTTTATTCCTCACTACGTGGCCTTCTGGGAGAAGGGGGGAACGTACATTGCAACTACTGTGACATTCAACTCGTCAGATTTACAACTGAAAGAAGGGGAGAGGACATGGCCCAATACGGGAGAATAGAGGCAGTAGCATAGTGGTATTGTCACTGGACTAATAATCCAGAGCTAGTCTAATGTGACCATGTAACCATTGTGTAATACTGTAAAATAAAATCTGGTTCACTAATGTCCTTAAGGGAAGGATATCTGTCATCCTTACCCAATCTGGCCTGCATGTGACTCCAGGCCCACAGCAATGTGGTTGACTCAACTCTCCTCCGAAAGGGTTTAGCAAGCCATTGCATTCACGGGAAGCTAGGGATGGGTAACAAATGCTGACCTTGCCAGTGACGCCACATTCATAAAATCAATAAAGAAAACAAAACATTACAACCAAGCATCAGCTTTGGCTCCATTCATCGCTCTTTTTGCTGCAGTCTGAAGATTTTGAATTCCTCTTCACAGACATGAGCAGGAAATCTAGGTGGATCTCCTAATGTTGCTTTGTTGGAGATGTGCTGTCTTTTAGATGGTATAAATACATCTTGCCTGCCCTTGCAGGTAGACATAAAAGATTTAATTTTGAAGAACGTTGGAGTTCTCCACATTCTCCTGGCTATACTCAATTAACACTGCCAAAATATAGGAAGGGTCACTGGACTCGAAACATTAACTCTGTTTCTCAGCAGGTGCTGACAGACCTGCTGTGATTCTCCAACACCTTCTGTTTTTGCATCAAAAACGATGATCTGGTTCCTATCGCACTACTGTGTATGGGCAATTATATTTCTAAAGTACCTCATTGGTTGTGAAGTGCTTTTGGACATTGCGGTCACAAAAGGCTCTACGTAAGTGCAAGCTATTCTATATGCTGTTTTAAAATTATTTTAATAAGTAATTCCTTTTGAATATGCTTCTTTTAAGAGTAGGGCTATATAACATGTGTTCAAATTTGATGTACTTATCATTTTCCCTCCACTTGTATAAGCTTTAGAGCAGTGGCCAGTGCATTCTGCCAGTGCTGACCATCATAATTCTTGTCAAAATCCTATATAACACAAAGGGCAAGTAGGGATGGACAACAAATGCTGGCTCAGGCAGTGCCACCTACATTCCATAAATGAATATAAAAATGTAGGGACAGCAGCAAGAAGTTTAATGCTCCCATTGTTGTTCCATTGCACACTTTTCTCATACTCCATAAAAACTAAAGAGCCCTCAAAGTATAACATTGAATTCATTGAATTATCTGGTGCTGTGATTTGAGGGAATTCGGTAGTATCAGTTTGGGAAATAATGTAAATAAAATATACAAGAGATTTGTTATCATTAACTTGATGTTTGGATAACTCTGTGTCTGCAGATACTTGTGCCAGATTTATCAATTGTAAACAAACAGACTGGCCTTCACCAACCTGAAGAATGAAAGAATTCTAAGACATAGATAATTAATGATTACAATTTCTCAGACGAAGTTAAAGAGGGTTAAACTGGACAGCCTCTGAAAGCTGGTGGAGGAAGCTCTGTTTCAGTAGTTTAACATAACCTATCGAAAGGAATTCACCAATATTTCAAACAGGAAGATGTGTCTTTTTCTTTAATATAACAGTGAAATCAAAATTACTCTAAGTTCAACTGTCATCTACTCCAGGGCTATTGAGGATGGTCAAATAGATTTGGCATTCAAAGCAAACCTTTTTATGTGAAATCACAGTGGCAGAATCAATAATGAGGGGGTACAACTTCATAAATATGTAGATGGTGCCTTGAAGCATCTTCTTGTCTGCTTCTGCCTGTTCAATCCTGTTCAGAAAACCTTTTCATTGAAAGCAGAAATCATGTCAGTCTCTGTAAAAAAGCAAAACAGTTTCTCTGTGCCTAGGCTGATATTGTAGCCACACTGCTATTGTTTCAAGGAGTATTTAAAGTGTACAATACTCAGATGGATCATTTTGTGTTGAGAAACAAAAGGAGTAAGTGGAATAAGAAACAGGAACAGGAGTAGGCCATTCAGCCCCTTGAGCCTGCTCCACCATTCAATTTGTTCACACATGATCTGAGATTCCTTACATTCACTTTCCTGTGTTTTCCCTAAAACCCTTGATTTTGTCTTATCTCAGCCTTAAATATACACAAGGCCCTCACAGCTCTCTGTGGTAAGGAGTTCCAAAGACACTCAACCCTCTGAGGGAAGAAATTCCTCCTCATCTCAGTCATAAATTGGCACTTCTTTATTCTGAGACTATGGTCTCTAGTCCAGATTCTCCCATGACGGGAAACATCCTGTCAGCATTTACCCTGTAAAGCCCCTTAAGAATCCCATATGTTTCAATGAGATTACCTCTCTTTCTTGTAAAGTCTGCCACTGGACTCCAAATCTTAACTCAATTTTGTCTCCAGAGATACTGCCAGCCCTGCTGAGTTTCTCCAGCAATTTCTGTTTTTGTTTGTTTAATTGGAACTAGGATTCAGATCAATCTTGATTTGAGTAATGGGGGAGCGAGAAGCTGACTGGCCTCCTCCTGTTACAATGACCATTGCTGCTAAACATTTGCATCACATTCTTCACCCTGCTACTTTAGCAGAGTTGGCAATCAATTTAAAATAAACAATTGCTATTAAAGTTTAGAATCAAGGAATGCTGCGTTCAATATTCTGCTTCTAATATTAACAATACACTTTCTAGGCTCAATCACAGAATAAGAAGGATAAAATTCTTTAATAAGAATCTTTTTAGATTGGTTTTGTTGATTCAGACAAAACAAAGAATGTGAAGCTATGGAATTTCTCACAAAGTACTCCACTGAAGTAACTATTTTGTAGCAATCACATGTGGTTTTTAATCACAGTGATCGTTTCATTCCTGGCTGAATAAGGTAGACAGAGTTACGGTCGACAGGGCATTTAAGATTTTATCTACGCCAACAGACAAGGAGATATCTGCTGACAATACAACCTTGCCGTTTTAGAGTTGAGTTAAATATTCACTCGCTTATTTCTTTTAAAACTACTGAGCTGTTTCAGCTTCATACTTAACTGCACTGTGGTGATTGCGTTAATTCCATCAGCTCGCCAGGTACTGTATTTCTCACGTTACCTATTCTGTTTATTTCTCTCAATTCTTGTCATAGTGTTGTATCATTTCTGTTATTAGGAAGAAGGCAATTTCCAAATTTTCAAATTTCCCATAACTTTCTTTTCGACTGTTGAAAATGTCAAAAACTGGATCTGAAAATTTTCAGCTGAATCCTCTCTAAAGAACTAAGGTAATCATGGTAAAAACTGAAAGAACTGTTTACGCTGTAAATCAGGAACAAAAATAAGTTGCTGGACCTGCAAAGCTTTTCCAGCAACTTTGTTTTTGTAAGGTAATCGTGGATTTTACCGGTCTATGTAATTTCCCTGAGGTGTGGCTCCCATCATCCTCAATTAAAATTACAGTGAAATTGCAGGAAGAAACTCAGGAAAATCCCAGGTGATGACAAATTACTATGGGCCTTGGATTGAGATTTGTTTATTTTGCAGTTGATAGTTAGTCATTTTTATATCATCCTGTGTATGACTCACAAATAATCTTTTATGTTAACCCACAGTTTTGCTGAAAAGATTCTATTTTTTTCCAGTTAACAGTTGCGAAGAAGAGTCATTGGACTTGAAAGGTTGACTCTGTTTCTCTGTCCACGGATGCTGTCAGACCTGCTGAGTTTCTCCAGCATTCTTTGTTTGTTTGATTTTATCAAACAGCTACGAGGCCTAAATGTGGGGTGCTTTGTGCTAGGGTACAGTTACATGACTTCAGCGGCCGTCCTATGTTGAAAGTTCCAAGATGAGCTTTAGCTGTGATTGTTGTACAAAGTTAATAGTTGAATGACTTCTGCATTGTTAACAATTATGTCAAATCTCTCCTGTATCCATCACTGTTGAGCGTGGCCCAGAACATCCACTTTCTAGTCTGGAGTCCCTGGAACGCGAGTTGTTTGTTTTCTTTCCCAGCCTGGGACAATGAAGCAAATGTAATTCCTTCCCTGTTGTTGCAACTGAGATACATTCACTTAGGAAACAAGATTTAATGAATTAAACAGATTCAGGTCAGCATGAAAGTAACAGTGCATTTTCATGTTTTTATACCTAGGATTAGATATTTTGTTACATAGATTTTCTCGTACCAATTGGAAAGAAGCCCAGAAAAAAGTAAATCTCTTAATTATTACAATTCTGAGTACATTTTAAAAGTACATCATTGGCATTACATAAGCAAGAACTCATTATTTAATGACTACATAGTTGTAATTTTAAACAGTATATTCAATCTTCTACAAACCAAAATGTTTCTTCTGTGCAGTTTCAAATTGCCAAGTGTAAGAAACGAATGATTTTAGTATTTGTTTTCATTCATACATTGAATGTGGACTGAACCAGCATTTATTGCCCATCACTAGATGCCCTTGAGAAGGTGGTGATGAGCTGCTTTCTGGAACTGCTGCAGTCCATGTTCTTATGTAGACCCACAATGCTGTTTGGGACGGAATTCCAGGATTTTGTCTCAATGTCACTGAAAGATTGGTGATATATTCCATGGTAAGTGGCTTGGAGGGGAACCTGCCACGTGGACATGAATCATTACTGAGAGGTAGTAGCAGTCACCAGCCTTTGGTTCCTTCCAGGAATCTCCAAGAGACATTTGCAAGACCTTGCAGTTGGCCATAAGAAAGGTAACTGATGGCTTGTTTGCCAGGATAGGCAATTATGTCAACTTTGCCACTAAGAATGAATGGGCACTTGGTTCTGTAGCTCCAGGTGGCTTCTGATAAGATGGCACAGGCCATCATCGCCTGCATGCACAAGTCAGATGGAGGATATCCAGAGTAAACTGCAAGAGTTTCCACACCATCAATGTGCAGCAGGTCTGTAGCCAGTAAGTAGTTCCTTAAGATGCAAGGTTCCCAGGCAGCTGCGGTGGTTCTGAGGCATTCCACCCCTCTCTGGACACCTCTGGTCACTCACGAACAAATCAACCAAGGCACAATTTAACCTAAATAGCAACAAGATGCATCACTGAACAAGTCACTGGCCTATTGAATGTAAGCTTCAAGTGCCTGGTGAAATCTGTAGGTGCCCTTTAATACACACCTGTCAGAGTCTCCAGAGTAGTCCTGGTGTGATGCACTCTTCACCACATTGGACTGAAGTTTGAACTGGACTTTTTCAAATACTTCCAAGGAGCCAAAAGCAAGCAGTGGCTCCTGGAATTCCCAACACGTTCTCTTTATTACTAGGTTTCTGGGCAGCATAGTGGCTCAGTGGTTAGCACTGCTGCCTCGCAGTGCCAGGGACCTGGGTTCAATTCCACTCTCAGTGACTGTCTGTGTGGAGTTGCACATTCTCCCCATGTCTGCATGGGTTTCCTCCTTTAGTCCAAAGATGTGCAGGTTAGGTGGATTGGCCATGCTAAATTGCCCATAGTGTTCAGGGATGTTTGGGTTAGACATGGGGAAATGCATGGGTAGGTGAATGAGTCAGGGTAGGATGCTCCTCAGAGGGGTAGTGTGGACTTGTTGGGCCAAATGGCCTGTTTTCATACTGTAGGGGTTCTATGAGCTGTTTATCCACAATGTAAAGAAAAGTCTTTCTCTGTTGAAAGTGGCAGTGCATTTGAGCAGGGTGTGCTGGGTTGAGCCGGCATCCAAACTAATTTGCACTACTTAAAGTTAGCCTGAAGGGGGAGACCAAGTTGAAATCATTATAATCGTGAGTTTGACCTAAGAACATTGCAAGAATGGGAGATAATGGACACCAAGCTGTTTTAATACTGCACTTATGGTCATAGTTAAGAAAATGGAAAGGAAGAGATTTATCAACTATTTACAGAGAGGCATGTAGCCCTTCAGATAAACTTTCAAAAGTCTTTGAGAAATCTTTGGCATTTAATGTGTACAATTTCACTCAAGGACCTGAATTCAGTGCTTCAAGTTCTAGGATCCCACACAAGTGGTTAAGATAAGTGAACATATAGGTCTTCAAATATCATATCCCATGGTTCCATACTGCATTCACACACTGCCCAACTCACCCAAAAGCTTGAACACACATCCCCAGAACATTAGAGCCTAGATTTCTGGATTACTCATCGAATGAAATTACAACAATGCCGCCACCAGTGCCACAACTTCCCAAATATCCCTGCAGCACCTCTGGTGGGCTTGTCCTACCAGTGGGAAAATATCTCAAGGATGATGATTGAGAAGTCTGCAATGCTGATTTGGTGAGTATGATCACAGCAGGCTGTTGATTTACTAGTCTGTGGGACAGCTCTCCCAATTTTGATACCAGTGCCTGGTTAGTTAGGATGAATTTTTAGGGCTTTGTCTTGTCTGAATCCGTGCTTGGGAAAGTACTAAGTAGCCCATCTTGTTTTAATCTTGCTGTGCCTTTTTGAAGAAGTTGATACAATTGAATGCCTTAGTAGACCATTTCAGAGGGTCAGCTATATCACTGTGATTTGTGAATTTCAAACAATAAACTCCTGACTCAAAGTCAAGAATTCCACCCAGTGAGTCCTCTCCAACATTTTGGGCTTTTGTATCTTTTTCATCTCTGTATATCTTTATTTTCTAAAATGATTTTTATTGTTATGATTACCAAAATTGATTTCACATTTTTTTTTTGTCTGTGTAAAAATAAGCATTCTATATTTCCAAAAGATTTCACATTGATAAAGTAGGAAGTAGAAGTCACTTTCAGTAGTTGACTTGAAATGAATGCTTTGATTTTGTGATAGTAAGAACTGCAGATGCTGGAGTCAGAGATAACACAGTTTGGAGCTGGGGAAACACAGCAGGCCAGGCAGCATCAGAGGAGCAGGGAAGTTGATGTTTTGGGTCGGGACCCTTCTTCAGAAATGGGGGGTGGGGGTGATATTTGCGAAAGGACCTCAGAATGGTAATACAGTGTGGAGCTGGATGAACACAGCAGTCCAGACAGCATCAGAGGAGCAGGAAAGTTGACGTTTCAGGTCAGCACCCTTAAATTCTTACTATCTCTGAGTAGGTGGAATGGTCATAGGTGAGTGCAAGTGGGGAGTGGTGGGGATTGGTCAGTGAGGTAGAGGAGCAGATAGGTGGGAGAGAAGATGGATAGGTTGTGTCAGGTCAAGGAGGCGGGGATGAGAGGGAGGGTTGTTTATGGGATGAGGCCGGGAGTGGGGAGATTTTGAAACTGGTGAAATCCATGTTTAGGCCATTGGGCTGTAGGCTCCCAAGGTGGAATATGAGGTGCTGTTCCTCCAGTATCCGGGTGGCGTCATTGTGACACTGGAGGAGGCCCAGGATGGACATATCGTCCAGGGAGTGGGAGGGGGAGTTGAAGTGATTCGCGACTGGGAGGTGTTGTCGTTTGTTGCGAACCAAGTGTAGGTGCTCCACAAAGTGGTCTCCGAGCCTCCGCTTGGTCTCCCCGATGTAGAGGAGGCCACATCGGGTGCAACGGATGCAATAGACCACATTGACAGATGTGCAGGTGAACCTCTGCTGATGTGAAAGGTTTGTTTGGTATCAGTTTCACAATCTCCCCATCCCTGGCCTCATCTCATGACCAACCCTACCTTTCATCCCCGCCTCCTTGACCTGACACAACTTGTCCATCTTCTCTGAGCAGCCCCACCCCACCCTACCTGCATTCACCTATCACCATCCCACCTACCTTCCCAAGCTCCACCCCTCCTCTCTCTATTTATTTCTGAGCTCCCTTCCCCCTCCTCCATTTCTGAAGAAGGGTCCTGACCTGAAATGTCAACTCTCCTGCTCCTCTGATGCTGCCTGACCTGCTGTGTTCCTCCAGCTCCACACTGTGTTATAGCTGCTTTGATTTTGTAACGTCTTGAGGTAGCAGAAATCCCCAGCTTAGTAAGTATATTTCAACTATAGGTGCCAAAGTTTGAGTAACATTTTATAGGGACAAAGTTTGGAGCTATTGTCTCAGTGCTATGAGTTGTGGCTCTATATTCTGTATCCGCATTGTACAGATTATACCTACTGGAAGCACTGGGACCACCGCATAGGATCAATGAGCTAAAGCTGGATGTGTAGGGCAGGGAAGAAGACCCTTCAAACTTTCTCAGTTCTATACCCTGGCCTTGCTTTTTAACCTCAGCTCATGATGCACAATGCTGATGCTGCATTAGGTATTGTCAGCTTTAAAGTAATAAAGGATCACATTTTGATGGCACCAAGAGATTAAAAGGTTACACATCACAATCTTGTGACAATTGTGATCCATTTTTCAGGTTTGGCATCAGAACGTTGTTGATACCTCTCCTGGGAAGAATCTTGAATGTTTTTTTTAAGTCACAGGAGCTTCCTAAATACAAGTTATTGATTATTCTCATCTGGACAGCAAAGAATGTCCATGGGGTTGCATCAATGTGAAGCTTCGAGCTATCCAGTCTTATGCCTGATACAAATGGTCCAGATTCAGTGAAGACATAATCAAATATTTGCTGAAAGGACATGGTTGAAAGATTCACCACAGTATCAGCACAATGAATCCCTGGACTGAATATTCCTTTATTTCTCATCTGATTATTAAGAGAGAAGTAATTCAGACGTTTTAATATTTTCTGCAGGAAATGGCTTGCGTTAAGGTCGAGTGTGTCGTGAGGGATAAGTACAGAATTGGAGAGGCCCCAGTTTGGGAAGAAAAACACAGTTCTCTTCTTTATGTGGATATCACAGGTCAGAAGGTGTGCAGATGGAATGCAGTCACAAAACAAGTGAAGGAAGTACATGTTGGTAAGCGAAAGTTAGGTCTTCAATAGGCTAGTTCTATTCCAAGCCTTACATAGGAACTGCTTCCTCCCTTTGTTAAAATATGTGAAATCTTTCCATCATCAGAAGACAACTATCTGTTACTCCCAATATTTGCACTGCAAATTTCCCTGTAGCATTTCTGTATAAAATCACCATAATGGTGAACAAAGGCTGAATTAAGAATCATTTTGTGCTGTGGAAGTATCCAAGTTCTTAGAATTTGTTTCGCATCCTGTCAGGACTGAAAGAGAGCCTTGCATTTATCTATTGCCTGAGCATGTCTCAGACATGTCCCAGACCACTTCACGTCACCTATCAGTATGTAATCAAATGTTGCAGTCCTTTTGTGCACAGAGCAAGATCCTACAAAGAGCAATGAGATGAATCACTGGTTGATCTGTGATGGTGTTAAATAGTAGGGGAGTGGGGGCATTTGGAAATGTTGACTTGGCCAACATTTCTTCTTCAAAATAGAGCAATAATTTCTTATTATCCACATAAACAGGTGAGGGGAATTTAGAATCAGATCAATTGCCAAAAAATACAGCAATTTCTCTGTCAGTACTGCACTTGGATGTGCTATAGGAGTTCAGCCATTGCCTTGCAGAGAATAGAGATTATTATTTCTCTGAGATGAGTAACAAGTCTAGCCAAACTGCTTGGTATGTTTTCTCAGAGTTGTTGCAGCTCAGAAGGAGACCATTCCTCCCACCGTGTCTGCACCGTAATGAGCAATTCACTGTGCCATTCCACCACCTTCTACTTAGAACCCTGCACATTCTTCCTTTTCAGATAACACTCTAAAAGGTAAAGTCACCATAGCTCCACATCTCATTAGAGAGAGAGAGGACCAGTGGTGGTTTAAGCCGTGGGCCATCACATCTCAGGCAAGGGGGCGAGGTTGTGAAAGTGGCACCTTCATAATAACCTCAGTCAGTGTGGGTGTTGAATCTCTGCTGTTGTCACTGTACATTACACACCAGCTGAGCAGCCCATTGATCTAACAAACCAGTCTAATTCTCCCTCGAAGGCCTGAATTAGCCTACCTCCACAACAGCCTCGGTCAACACATTCCAGATCCTTTATGTTCATGATGTGAGAAAGTCACTTTTCATGTCTTTACTGCTTCTTTTATCAAGTACCTTAAATTTGTGCCTCTCATTCTTGACCTTTCCATTGGTATGAATAGTTTCTCCCTACATACTCAGTCTGGACCCCTCATGATTTTGAACAGCTCTATCAAATCTCTTCTCAAACTTTTACTTTCTAAGGTAAACAATTCCATCTTCTCCAATCTATCTTCATAACTAAACTAACTCAATTTATATAACTCAATACAATCGTCTTCTCATCACTAGCTGCTGGAATATATAAGTATTTAATCTCAAACACATTTTTCTAATCAAACATGTCAAATGAAAAATTATCCTGGTTAAAGAACAAAAATATCAAATAGGGAAGTCACTAAGGGAAAAATGGTGACAGTTAAGTTCAATTAAATTTTCAAATTATTTTTGGTTATCATCATTTTTCCTTAATGATGAAATTGGGGCATGAAAAGTTGTAATTCTTACAATAGAGTCCTAGAGTCCTACAGCACAGAGACAGGCCCTTCGGCCCAAACTAGTCCATGCCGACCAAAATGCCCATCCACGCTGATCCCATTTCCCTGCACTTTGCCCATATCCTTCTTAACCTTTCCTATCCATGTATTTGTCCAAATGCTTTTTAAATGTTGTTAATGTATCTGCCTCAACCACTTCTGCTGGCAGCTCATTCCATGTGCGTACCACTCTCTGAGTAAAAAACATTGCCCCTCAGGTTCCCATGTATTCTTTCCCCTCTTACCTTAAACTGATGCCCTCTAGTCCTCGATTCTCCAGCCCTGGGATAAAGACTGAGTGCATTCACCCTATCCATTCCTCTCATGATCTTATATACTTCTATAAGATCTCCCCTCAGTCTCCTATGCTCTAAGGAAAATAGTCCTAGCTTGTCCAACATCTCCCTTTAACTCAGTCCCTTGCGTCCTGGCAGCATCCTTGTAAATTTCTTCTGCATTCTTTCCAGTTTAATAAAATCCTTCCTATAGCAAGGTGACCAAAACTGAACACAATGCCCCAAGTGCGGCCTTACCAATGTCCTGTGCAACTGCAGCATAACTTCCCAACTTCTATACTAAATGCCCTGACTGAGGAAGGTCAGTGTGCCAAAAGCCGCCTTCACTGCCCTGTCTACCTGTCACTCCACTTTCAGAGAACCGTGCACCTGAACTCCAAGGTCCCTCTGTTCCACTACACTCCTTAAGGCCCTACCATTCACCGTAAAACTCCTGCCTTGATTTGACTTTCCAAAATGCAACACTTCACACATTTGCCATTTCTCGGTCTACTTCCCCCACTGATCAAGATCCTGCTGCAATTTCTGATAGCCTTCCTCACTGTCCATGATACCGCCTATTTTAGTGTCATCTGCAAATTTACTAATCGTGTCTTGTACATTCTCATCCAAATCATTGATATTGATAACAAACAGCAATGGACCTAGCCTTGACCCCTGAGGCACACCACTAGTCACAGGCCTCCAATCTGACAAGCACCCTTCCACTATTGCTTCCTAACATCAAGCCAATTGTGTATCCAATTTGCCAGATCTCCCTGAGTTCCATGCGATCTAACCTTCCAGAGCAGCCTATCGTGTGGAACCTCACCAAAGGCCTTATTGAAATCCATATAGACTACGTCTACCGCCCTGCCCTCATCAACTTTCCTGGTCACTTCATCAAAGAATTTTAACAAATTTGTGAGGCATGATCTCCCACGCATAAAGCCATGCTGACTACTCCTAATCAACCCTGTCTTTACAAATGCATGTATATCTTATCCCTCAGAACCTTGTCAAATAACTTACGTACCACAGTTGTTAAGCTTACTGGTCTATAATTCTCAAGATTTTCTTTGCAGCCCCTCTTGAATAAGGGCACAACATTGGCTACCCTCTAGCCTTCTGGGGCCTCACCCATGGCTAACAATGATGCAAATATATCAGCCAGGGCCCCTGCAATTTCTTCCTTCGCCTCTTGTAGGGGTCTTGGATATATCTGGTCAGGATCAGGAGATCTTTCTAACTTCATACATTCTAATATGCACAACAACTCTTCTACTGTGATATGGACTGTACTCAAGATATTGCCACTAACTTTCCCAAGTTACCAAATCTTCATGCCTTTCTCCATGGTAAAAACAGAGGAGAAATATTCATTGAGGAGCTTGCGCATCTCTTACAGTTCCACACATACATTTTCACTTTGGTCCTTGAGGCGTCCTATTCTCTCTCTAGTTATTCTTTTACCCTTAATATACTTAAAGAATCTCTTTGGATTCACCCTAATCTTCTCAGCCAAAGCTATCTTGTGTCCCCTTTTCGCCCTTCTGATTTCCTTCTTCAGTAAACTCCTGTATCCCCTATTTACCTCCAGGCATTCCCTTGATCCCAGCTCCTGTACCTGAGCCATGCCTCTTTCTTTTTTCTGATCAAAGCCTCAATATCTCGTCATCCAGAGTTCCCTACTCCTTCCAGCCTTGCCCTTCACCCTCACAGGAACATATAGACCTTGAATTCTAGCTATCACACTTTTAAAGATCTTCCATTTGCTAGAGGTCCCTTTGCCTGCAAACAAACTATTCCAATCAATCCATGCAAGTTCCTGTCTAATTCCATCAAAATTTGCCTACAAGAAAGTGAATTTCTTACTTGTATATTGACACTTGTGTGTTTGAGTCTCTCTCCGTGTTTTCCAATGGAGGTCTGCCACAGAAGCTGGCATATATATTAATGGCTTACCAGAAAGCCAACACTGACCCGGTTGTATGTGATTCGTAGTAATGAAGCCAATTATAGCTCCTTCTCAAAAACATCAAAGTTTTAGCCTCAACCATTTTATGTGGCAGAGAATTTCACAGGCTTACCACATTCTGGGTGAAGAAATTTGTCCTCATCTCAGTCCTAAATGGTCTGTTCCATATCCTTAGACAGTGACTCATGGTTCTGGACTACCACAGAAACATAGAATCTCTACAGTGTGGAAGCATGATATTCAGTCCATTGAGTCTGCACTGACCCTCTGAAGAGCATCCCACCAGCCCCTACCCTGTCCCTGTAACCCTGCATTTCCCATGGCCAATCCACCTAGCCTTATATTTAGACTGTGGGAGGAAACCGGAGCACCCAAAGGTAACCAATGCAGACACCTGGAGAATGTGCAAACTTCAAACAGACACCTGAGGAATCAAACCCAGCGCTGTGAGGCAGCAGTGCTAACTGCTGAGCCAATGTGCTGCCAACCGTGCCAGTCATTGGAAACATTCTTACCCCATCTAGACCTGTTAAGATTTTATAGATTTCTATGATATTCCCTCATTCTTATAAACCAGTGAATATGAACCTAATGGATCCATTCTGTCTTCAGACATCAGTCCTGGCTTCCCAGGAAACTAGTCTGGTAAATCTTTCTGGCACTCCATGTTTAGAACATACTTCCTCAGATAAAGAGAGTAAAATTGCACACAGAACTCCAAGTGTGATCTCACCAAGGCCTTGTACAATTGCAGCTGAACATCTCTGCTCCTGTACTTGAACACTTTTTGCTATGAAGGCAAAAATACCATTTGCCTTCTTCATCTCCTGCTGCACCTATATACTGACTTTCAGCTGCTAGTGTTCAAGAGCTCCCAGATCTCATTGCAATTCTCCCTTTCCCAATCTATTGCTATTCAAATAATCATCTGCCTTCCTCTTTTTGCTACCTCACCTTTATCTACCTTATGCCTTTAACTGCTGTGCATGGAAGGATGTTTCCTCTTGTGGGAGAATCCAGAACTATGGTCATAGTTTAAAAATAAGGGGGCACCATTTAAAGCAGAATTCCATGCTGTACATCTCTATGACTCTGTGAAGATTTTGCTTTCTCTCAGAGGATTGTGAGTCTTTGGAATTCCCTTCCTCAAAAGATGCAGGATCTTTAAATATTTTCAAGGTGGTGGTAGATAGTTTCTTGATTACCAAGCGTTGAACCCCAGTTACTGGGGAGTTGCAGGAATGTAGAATTGAAGTTAAAATCAGATCAGCTGTGATCTTATTGAATGGTTGAACAGGCTTGAAAGGCCAAGTACCTACTGTTATTCTCGCTTGTATGATCACAGAATGAGGCTGTTTGACTCTTTATACATTTGGACAGTATGAATGTTGTTATGTTATATATAGAGGTAATACTTTTACATAGGCGAATTTCTCAATGATTGACAGAAAGAACCAAAGGATAAGAATTCATGTTTTAAGAATTTTATTGTGACAAGCTAAAACCATCACAGACCAAACATTACTCAATCAGAAATTAATACACTGAACTTAAAAAAAAATGCTTCTGCATTAGCTAACTAGTGCAACTGAGTTATGTCTTGTATCTCTTTCACTGTATATTTGGAAGAAGTCAAGCCTTACAAGAACCAGTCCAAAGTTACTCCAAACTCCCTCGAAGGCTCACTTTCAGTGCCTTTTGAAAATTGTTCCATTCAACCCAAATCTTTTAGATCTGACTTTCACCAGCAAGGCTCACCTCAGTGACACTTCTCCTCAAATCTTCAAAAGTCTCATTGATTCTATCCCTTTCCTTTAAAACAGGAAATGAATTCTCATTAAACATCTTACTTGTTTGTAAAGGCAGAACAGTCCTTTTCTGTTTCTCTCCACAGCAGTAGCTGATTTGTCTCTCTCTTTTTCCTTTTTTCTCAAAAAGCTGCTGCCCTTTTTTTCTGAGTTACCTTGAAAAGATGTGAAACTGTCATGTGATTTCAAGAGGTTTTTATTTGAGTCTATCCCTTCATGGCAGGCAGATCACATGGGCTGGTCTGCGAGCAGTGTTATTTAGTAAAACATCACCACCCACATTTTCAGTATATTCTGTTTCACCTTAACTTAAAGAAGAATTAAAAATGTAAGCATTTTGTAAAGCACAGCTTCATAACACTGTGGGAACTCAATCTGTGTAGAGAACTGTCAACCTGCTGCAAGGGTACTTCAATCAAAATGCAATGGAGTTAAACAAATTTATTTTACAACTGGCAGTCACCTGGTCACTTACAGAGTCTATCACAACTTACTGTTTCCATCATTGATAATACTCCATCCTGTATCGACTGATCTTATTGTGAGTAGCAACAAAGCTCTTAACACTGGCTGAATGCCCCCATTCCTTGGGGAAGGGGAAAACTCAGTTGGGCTTTGTATTCCTGGTACTATTCATTTGAGACCTCCTAGCAGTTTTGTGATATTTTCCCTCCTGAATAGTTAAATGACCAACTGCAATTCACAAAGTAAATAAAATGTAATGAATGGCTGCTTGTCCACAGATTGGTGGGCAGCTGACCCACGGAAGAGGAAGCAGATGAAATGTTTCAGGTTAATGAATTATACACATCTATCACCCTACAGATGCCCCTGTTGGATCTGCAGTCCCTCGAAGGTCAGGGGGTTATGTTCTGGCCATTGGAAAAAGCTTTGCCTTCCTAGACTGGGAAAAGCAAACAGTTACTGAAATAGCTTCAGTTGACCCAGATAAAGTAAATAACCGATTTAATGATGGCAAAGTGGACCCTGCTGGACGTTTCTTTGCAGGTTTGTCACAATTTCTTTTGCATTTTACATTCTCGTCCACATATAGAGCTGAGCAGAAAGTGGACGGAAGCATTTTTCCTTGTGTTGATCTGTCTACTTAAGTCGATCTTAAATGAAGTACTTTCAACCTAAACAGGCATTAGGTTGAGGGAGGGGTGCAGAAGGAAGCTTCTTTTTGAAGAACGAGCTAGAGGGGCTGAAGTCACACTCCTTATATTTGTACGTTAGAACAAAAGAAGCATTGAAGACTGATGGATTCAAAACATTGGACGCCTGAACACCTGAAAGAGATTTATTTAAAAACCAGCCTTGTTGACAATGCTGAAAATGATTGCACATTGCAAATTACCTTTGGGAACTCTTGAACAGTTGCAATGTGTGTGGTGTAGGTACTGTCATAATGCCACGATGTAGGGAGTTCTAGGATATTGACTCACTGTAATAATGAAGAAACACTGATATACTTCCAAATTAGAATAATATGTGGCTTGGGGGGGAGCTTGGAGATGATAACATTCCCATGCGTCTGCTGTCCTTGTTGCTCTTGATGTTGAAGTTATGGATTCGGGCATTAAACAAGATGTAGCCACAAAAATTTCTTGGTAGTAATCATAGGATTCATGCAAAGATGAAGAAAATTACAAAGCTTGCCTCATTTTCTACCTAATTACATGAATATCTAACCTAACGTCTAGTTTATTTGCTATACCTGAAAGTGTCCTAACCTGTTCTCTTAAGAACATATTGTTTTTCTATATACAAATCGTAATTTGATTATAAAGAACTTGCTTATTTCTGAAAGAAGACACATTACATAAAAGGTTTTGTCTTGCACTCTCAGGATATTTACAAGGAATCCAGTGTAAAGGAGAAGAAAATCTCATACTGTATGAGATGAGAGTTCATATTGGTTGGCAAGTGGACTCTGGTTGGACAATGTAGACAAAAGCCATTCTCTAGGTCATTCCTCAGGGCAATGCCTTGACCAATCAGTGTCAACCTTCTGGATTTAATTTAAATAAAGCTTGGCAGTTAACTGTTTGTCATTATCTAATTGGTGCATTCTCTAAGGCAATGTCTCTACCAATCAAAGTCTACTTGCCAAACAATCAGCACTGTCTTCTCATATATTGCAAAATGTTAATTTATCTTAAGTTTTGAATCTATTTTTGAGCTGGCAGTTACTTTCTTGCTACATCATGATACTTAGACAAGAGAGAATTAATGAATGTGACAGAGAATATAGTAGCTTTTCAATGATCCTAACTTACATTATCCTTAGTTCACACTCCTGATGAATGTGACTTTCCTATTGGAAGTATGTGATTGTGGAATCAATTCTATAGTGTCAATAAAATTATTGGATACTGTTGACACATACATCTGGGTTAAAAAAGGGTTTTAATGTATTTGGAAAACTGCAATGTTGAATGTTTACACCGCTAATGCTGATTTCTGTTATAGGGACCATGGCAATGGAGACTCGGCCAGCTGAGGTAGAAAGGCACCAGGGATCAATGTACTCTCTGCAAGCAGATCACTCTGTGGTTAAGCATTTTGATCAAGTGGACATTTCAAATGGTCTGGATTGGTCCCCAGATCACAAGGTTTTCTACTATATTGACAGTTTATCATTCACTATTGATGCGTTTGACTATGACCTGCAGTCAGGAAAGATCTGTGAGTATATCTTAAAATGAACACACTCACATGTTCGATTGAGCCATTCTATGTTGATGAGTTTTTTTTCATTTTAGAAAAAAAATACTTTTTCCTTCTCTGTGATAGGCTGTAAATGATACTTGGTTGAAAGGAGAAAAGGGATAAAACTGAACCTTTTCTGTGCGATAGTATGCATGTGAGAAAGACACGAAGTTAACTTTTCCTTTGAGCTGTCCCTCCAAGTTTAAAGGTGCTAATATCTGATTGTCTCTTGGTGCCTCATTGGCAGAAACTGAATAGGAAACTCAACAAGGTAGGAAGTTGAATCCTGTCAAACTCAGACTGCATGTTAGGACGCCAAAACCCTGCCTATGTTAAGCTTTTTTGTCTACATTAATTGTTTTAGTCCTCATTTTCTGCTCACAGTAAGGAGATTTTAAATAAATAACAGGTAAACAATTTTATACTTAACTATACTAAAATGCTGCCATGTTACTTTCCATTGCATCAGACAATGTATGACAGATACTTTAAATGCCTAGCAAAATAAAGTAGTGATGCCTGTACAAAATCCTGCAAATCCACTGGCAGGATAGATGTTTCAATATCAGTGTTCTCTCTGAGATCAACGCCCCCAGCATCAAGGCACATTCAGTTGCCTGGACCACACCATTTACATATTTTGCGCAAGGCAAGCTCTCCATTCCCGGCATTGTCACAGCAGGTAGTTACCAGGAGGGCTGAGGAAAGACTTCAAGGATATCCTCAAAGCCTGCATGAAAAATGCAACTCCCTCCACTGACTAGTGGGAATATCGTGACCAGGGTCGCTCACACGGGAGAAAAAGCAGCTGCCGAGGTGTTTGAGCATCTCTGGCAGGCCCAGGTGGAGGCCAAGTTCAAATAGCAGACGTACATGAGAAGCTGAGCATCCCACCCCACTCACTCACCTGTGGCAGGAGGTGTGGATCTCCTCTTTGACCGTTTAGTTACCTCAGGACCCACAACCCCGGAGCAGAAGAAAGTCATCCTCAATCCCGTGGGACTGCCTCAGAAAGTAAGGAATCGTTTCGGCTGGGATTTATTGCAGTACGGAGGGTGTGCTGTATTTTTAATGGTGCTCTCCCTTGATCAAACATGAAAGCAAAATTCTGTTATTTTCTGCTCCAGTATTTCTTAGAGATGTTAAAGACTCTATGAGAGTAATTGCAGAAAGAACAAGCTCTTCTACCACAGTGTCCCTCAACTCACCTCAACTAAAATGAACACTATGTTTACTTATGTGAAAATTGTGATTGAGGCATTCTCATGCAAATTAGTTGATACATTTACATCAAATCTATACCACAGATATTTTAATCTTATTAAGTTGTAGCATCATCATGATCAATTTTCAGGCAAGATTCTCTAAAAGGGCTTCCCTTCTTTATTCACCTACTGCCTCAGTTAGTCAAAAGGATTCCTTGTAGATATCTTTGTCCCAGATAAAACAAATTTAGGTTTTAATGGGAGTTAATTTAACCAGATATTCTTGAGTGAGTTTATTAGTTACGAAAAGTGAAAAAAAAACAATATTGCAACACACGTGAACGCAAAAAAAGGTCAGAAGTTAAAAAGAAAATTGTCTCTGAGTTATACATGATGAATGGATACCAGAAGCATTGAAATTGGTAGTTAAACAGTCCATTTTGAAAATCTTGACTTTGCAGGTTGATTGAAACTCTTTTCCCCAAGTTCTTTTCGACAGTGGCTTCCTGGCAAAAGTCAGGGAGAGAGAGAATACATTTTTCTTTCTTTGCAATGTAGGGGCGTTTAATGCTTTTTCTTAAAGCTGTGATCTTCACAGCACACACTAGGACTTCAGGCCATTAGCACACATATGTCAGTGTTGAAGTTTGCTTTTTTTGTACATCCCTGGAATGGTAAAACACAAAGAAATGACTGCAGCAGACGGCTGCATCCTGCAAAGGGTTTGGATATCAGCCTATCATTACCTCCTTTTTAGTATTTTTTTGTTTGAAGTTTCCCAGACTTTGTACACATGTGATATTCCAGAACTTTCTTCAGACCAACCACAAAATTTCATTCATAGTCATCTTTTGGCTGTACCTCCGTTTTTCTACAAAATACATTGCAGTGTATGATCCAGAGTTATGATCCATGGTAAAGACAACATGCATAACTATTTGACATAAATACTCAAAATATTCGCAACCTTGGAATCCCTACAGCGAAGAGGTAACTTTGTCATATGGAATGTCATATTTCAGATTCCAATTATCGAAAGGAAGGAGTATGCTTTTCCCATATGTATATCTTTAACATGTGTCTTAATTGACTGTGTAGCAAATCGAAGACTTGTGTACAGGCTTGAAAAGGAGGAGGCTATTCCTGATGGGCAGTGCATTGATGCAGAGGGAAAGCTTTGGGTTGCCTGCTACAATGGTGGAAGAATCCTTCGGATTGATCCTGAAACTGGTAAATCAAATACATAAACAGTGGTATTTGATATTGTGTTTGTCATTATTTTCTCACCTCAATACTAGTATCAAATTTAGTTTGGATCTATTTCAAAACTGGTTTATTGTTATCTTTGTATCCCTTAATCTTCCACATGACATCTTTTAGCCTGATGCAGACCATTATTAACATTGAAAGTGATTCACTTCTAAACCATCTTTAAACCACAAATTGATATCCAATATTTCTTTTCCATCATCCCACAAGGGAGCGCGTGCTGGAAACATTACTGAGATCAGTACTCACCACATGGGTTATCATGTGTTCTAACCCAAGATCTCTGACTCTGGCACTCTTCCATGTCCCTGCTGGACAAAGCAAATCCATAATTACAGCAATAGCATTTTGTAGCTCATCAGACATTCTGAAGCAACAATGGTTACTATGTAACAACAGAGAACGAGGCCATTCAGTCCGTCAAGGCAATGTTGGTTTTCTGTAGCTCAATCAGATAGACCCACTTCCTGCTTTACACTTGTGGCCCAACAAGTTTATTTCTGAAAATAGTTGCATTTTGTCAAAGTTTTTTGCTTTGCACTCTTCAGGACATTTCACAAGAATACCAATTAAAAGTGAGTACCAACATTCTTGCTGCATGAGAGGACAGTCCTAATTAGTTCACAAGCAGACTTTGATTGGAGAATTCAACCATAAATGCAGATTGACAGTTAACAGCCAGGTGTTGTTTAAATGTTAAACCAGGCAGGTGGGCTCAAACTTGTCAGGGCATTGCATTGAGAAATGAACCATTGAATGGCTGTCACCTATTAACTTGATTTGAAACATGTGCAGTGTTATATGTTCTTTCTGTCGGCAAAGATTAGGGCCCTGTGTAGTAATATCTGGTGCGCCATATTGTGAGCCTAACTGACAGCACTAAATTGGTTGTCAGCATAATTTTTCAAACACTGGAATTGGACAATGGAATATTGGATTGTCAACCAACCAGTACTTTCTTCTCATGCAGTATAAATGTTGATTTACCCTTTGAATTAGTATTCTTGCAAAATGTCCTGATGTAAAAAAAAGTAAAGGCCCGCTCTCTCATTAGGCAGAGACAGCTGGTGGTGGTTTAAGAGCTGAGGGTTATCACATCTCAGGTGAGGGGAGAGGTTGAGAAACATGATAATGAGATAACAAGGTGTAGAGCTGGATGAATACAGCAGGCCAAGCAGCATCAGAGGAGCAGGAAGGCTGACGTTTCGGACCTAGACCCTTCTTCGGAAGTCTTTCATGATAACCTGAGTGTGGTGTGGGAATTGAACCCATGCTGTTGGCGTCACACTGCATTGCAAGCCAGCCATCTAAGCTAACCCTACCAGCATCCATCAGCTATTCCCCACATCTTCCCTCATATCTCTTCGTCAAAACCTGAAAGCTGTATTGTTTAAGCTTCTAACATAGCTAATGGGAATAGCTTTTCGTTTTCTACATTATGTAATCCTGTCATCATCTTTGGCGGCCACTTGCTAATGAGTCTGATTGTTCACCTTGGGAATTCCATGTCACTGATCATGGGTTCTGTGTGGCTGATGATCCTAATCCTACAGCTGCATCTCTAACCACACATTTGGTGGGAAGTGGGATGGTTCCTTGGCCTTAGATCATTGGCATTCCTTTCTTAGGTTCCTTTTCTGTACTTTTTGTTTTATTCATTCACAGGATGCTAGGCCAGCATTTATTGCCCATCCCTAATTGCCCAGCGGGCAGTTAAGAGTCAACCACATTGCTGTGGGTCTGGAGTCACATGTAGGCCAGACCAGGTAAGGATGGCAGTTTCCTTCCCTGAAGGGCATTAATGAACCAGATGGGTTTTTCCTGATAATTGGCAATGGGTTCATAGTCATCATTAGATTCTTAATTCCAGATATTTTATTGAATTGAAATTCCACCATCTGCCGTGGCAGGATTCAAACCCAGGTCCCCAGAATGTTGTCTGGTTCTTTGGATTAACAGTCCAGCGATAATACCACTAGGCGATTGCCTCCCCATTCCTCTTGTCATTGGGTGTTCTTGAAGAATTGTGTCCTTTCATAAAGGAGTTTCCTTCAAGTTGGTTTCTTCTGAATGAGGGTCTCCACTGTATAGACATCTATGTTGCATTTCTTGAGGGAAACCTTCAGGTATTCTTTGAAACTTCCTTTGTCCTCCTCTTGTTCGAGTGCCTTCCTTGAGTTGGGTGAAGAAGACCTCCATAATCTTGTAGACCTTTACCAGATCTCCCTTGAACCTCATTTACTCCAAGGACAGCAGCCACTCCGACCTAATTTTGCAGTTAAATGCCCTCATTCCTGCAATAATTTTAGTTGATAATGGTCAAAAAAATTAATTCCTTGTTTGAGCTTGCGTTTGGAAGTTTGCACTTAGAATGTCTGTTCTTCTGATCTCCCAACATATGTTTGAGATGGCATAAACTTCTAAAAATGACTCTTTATACCATTTCTCCAGTGGATATATGGAAAATCCAATGGGAATCCCCATCTCCTTCCTGACTAGATTTAAAATCAGTAAATCCGATGCCAACAGACTCTCAATCTGTAGACTGAATCAATATGAATTCTTATTTTAGTCACTTGAAGTCTGAAGCTAAGAAAAATAATCACAGATCAGATTGATTCCTTCAGGTAAACGAATCCAGACAGTGAAGCTGCCTGTTGACAAGACTACATCGTGTTGCTTTGGGGGAAAAGATTACTCTGAACTTTATGTAACCTCGGCTGCAGATGCAATGGACGAAGAGTGGATTAGAAGACAGCCAGAAGCAGGTAGCATTTTTAAGGTAGGTAGATAGAATGGTACAGTTGCTGACAATAAAGTGTTTCAGATGTGTTTTTCAGTTTGCTAACTTTTTGACCTTGGCATTTCCTGTTGGGGCACACAAAGTAAGCAGACTGCTGGTCATGATCCTAAACTGAGACCACAGTATATTAACTTAGAATGTTGTGTCAGAACCAACAGTGCAAGTGGAATGCATAATAACTTTTCAAAATAAATTGATAGATATTTATTAAATATTGTGTGGGTTTCCTCCAGGTGCTACGGTTTCCAACCACAGTCCAACAATGTGCCGGTTGGGTGGATTGTCCATGCTAAATTGTCCATGGTGTTCAGGGATGTGCAGGCTAGGTGGTTTACAGGGATAGGCTAGGAGGGTGAGTCTGTGCAGGAAGCTCTTCGGAGGGTCGGTGTGGACCTGATGGGCCAAATGACCTGCTTCTATACTGTCGGGATGCTATGATTCTATGATTCAATGCTGTCAAATTCCATTATTCTAATGTTTTCTGATCAAGGTTGCTTGACCGAATTGTTCTGAGGAAGGGCCACTAGACCCGAAACGTTAACTCTGTTTTTGCCTTCACAGATGCTGCCAGACCTGCTGAGCTTTTCCAGCAACTTTGTTTTTGTTCCTGATTTACAGCATCTGCAGTTCTTTCGGTGTTTACGTTGTGTCTCTAGTTTATTACCAGTCTGCAATATCAGGAATGTTGCTATCTAATGGACATTTTTTGATGTCCAAGAGTGTGCTGGTCTATAATGAGATGGCAGCAGTGCAATCACATCAGTGATAAATCATCATTACACCCATCCCTCTGGGATGTAAAGGAGATTTACTCCAAACTGATTGGTATAACCAAGTCAAGTGACCATTTAAGCAAGTAAAATTATAGGGAAACATCCAAAAGATTTAAGCGTAGAAGTTCTTCCAGGGCAATGATGCATAACATGCAGTATTAGATTGGTCCCCTTGTACACCAAGTTTAATATTTTATTTTATCAACTGTGTTGGAACAAAATATTATATCATTCAAATATTGGTGACGGTCATCTTAATATGCAAACCGATCTTTGATTAAAAAATAATCAATTTCTTCAAGGTTCCACAGAGCCATTTTATTTTAATGGTTGGTCAGGTTAAAACTGTACAATGGCATCTGGGTAAGTCGGGGTGCTGGTGAGGTCGCGAGCGGTAACTTTGAGGTTGTGAACTCTGACCAAGTTGGGCTCCACTTCTAACAAGTCTATCAATGAGGATCGCAACAGTTTTCAATTCTCAAAATGGGTCACGGGGTAATGTATTTGGGAAATGGTGCAATGTTATGTTAATTGTAAGCTCGTGTCTGTTGCAGTACACTCACTGTAGGTTCCAAGCCTTGCCATGGGACTTGAGGACATCATCTGTGTTCTTTCAGAAATAATACTGAGCTTGCATTCTTTCCTGTTTCAGATTACTGGGCTTCGAGTGAAAGGAATTCCACCATATTCATATGCTGGATAAAACACACCCCAATGACCTAAAGCCTGTAATCCTTGCAATTATGATGATCATCCACCTTGGTATCTTCAAAAGCAAGCTTTACAAATTTGCAAAATAGTATTCTGTAGATGCGCTGATGATTTTCAAATTTCTTTTGCTCCATATGATGCTTTTATTGAAACTTTTTCCACATTCTAGCCATGGTTTATAATTTACTGAGAATATACTGAAAACATTAAGGATGGTCACCTTGATATATTAGTAATAAATCTTCTATTAAACTTTTTAAATGATTCCTTTAAGACTCTGCTGTTCCTTTCCTTTTTGTGATGTTTGATTGTGTGAATATAATGTTAAGTGTCAGTTTGCCTCAATAGTAGCACAGCTCACCGTGGGGTCATGCCCCTTAGTTAGACTTGTCTACTTCATCGAGACTAATGCTCCAATTCAGCATCGATGAGGGGTTAAGCTGAAGCCTTGTCTGGCAACTCAGGATGTCTCATGGCATAGTTTGAAAAACCAAAGGAGAGATTTCTCCCTGTCCTGGGCAACATACATTCCTCGACCAGCATCTAAAATGAATAAAGTTGAGTTATCTCAATTGATTACAATCTTGCCTACCAGAGCAATTACGGATGGTAATAAACACTGGTCTAGCCAACAACGCACACATCCTGTGAACCAATTAAAAAAAGATGTGAAAGTCATTTAAGAATTTTATTTTGGGTCTTTGGAGCAATTGAGACATCCATTCATATTGGGGATGATGATTTGTGGCCGGGGTGTTGGTCATTTCTGGACTGAACATAATCTTGTAGGAGTGTCCCCTCCACATCACAAATCCAGGCAAGTTGGTCAAGTATCAGAACCCTCCTCTCTGCATTTCTGGTCTTGTCCAAAGAAAGGATAAAACTAGTACTGTTTGAACCAACTCTGCTGCAGGAGTTGCCAGAAGGCTGTCCTTTTTTTCTTATTAACTCATTGGCCATTGGTGTCACTAGCTTGTCAGCATTTATTATCCATTCCTATTTGCCCTTGAGAAGGTGGTGGTGAGCTGCCTTCTTGAACTGCTGCAGTCCTCGTGCTGTAGGTAGACCCAGAATGTCCTTAGGGAGGGAATTCCAGGATTTTGACCCAGCGATACTGAAGGAACAGTGATATATTTCCAAGTCAGGACAATAAGTGGCTTGGAGAGGAACTTGCAGGTGGCGGTGTTCCCATGTATCTGCTGCCCTCATCCTTCTAGATAGTAGTGATTGTGGGTTTGGAAGGTGCTGTCTAAGGAACCTAATTACATTCTGTTAATGGCCAGTTAATTTTGGGTTTTTTGTCCAGGTTTATTCCCTTAGTCTTCTTCCCTCCTGAGACACACTCAAGGCATTGGGACCACTTACCAATAGCTGACGGTCTTGTTCCTGGGCACCAGGCCTCATCTGAGTCCCCAGTAGTTTACCCTGGGACTGCAAATTACCCAGTTTATGTTTGCCACTACAGGAAAGGATTAAAAGGGCTTGGCCTTGAAGAGGCTTTGCATTAGCAGGAGAGGCTTATACATTTGGCTGTCTTTCCCACAAACACTTATACTACTAGCCATCCATGAGAACTGAAAGTGAGAGGTAACAAGACGGCTAATCACTAAGCATCATGCACTATGCTAACGTACACGTTCATCACATCCAAGAGTGATATATAACAATGTTGCAGCATAAAAGGGGAGGTTCTCATCAGTTTTTAGTTCATAACAGTCTGCGCAGAGAATTGGGCAGAGGTCAGAAGTTATTGTGCCTGGTTTAATCAAGAATGGTTTAAATTGGGCAAGTTTATCTCCATGTTTTGACCTTCTGACCAGTTATTGCTGTTAACATTAATTCTGAATTGGAATTGAGTGTCTCAATTTCAATACAAGTAACTAATATCACAATTATCAGCTCAGATTAGAGGAAGCTATTGTGAGGTGTTCATTATTGGTAGAGTGCTGCCAGTTGCAGGGGACTTGTATGCCAAGGTAATATAGTCAACAACAACAGCTTGAATTTAATGTCATGAATATAGTAAAATATCTCACAGAAGAAGGTTGTCTTGACTATTTCCTGGGATGAAGAGGTTATTTCATTTTATGGAAATGTTGGGCCTGTATCCATTGAAGTTCAGAACAATAAGTAGTGATCTTATTGAAATACATGAAGTCTTGAGGGGAATTGATAGGGTGAATGCTAAAAGGATGTTTCTCCTTGTGCGTCATATTAGAACTAGGGGATTCATTTTAAGAATAACTTTAGACAGATATGGAAAATTCTTCTTCTGAGGGTCAAGAGTTTGTAAACCTCTCTTCCGCAGAGAGTTATGAGTATACCATCTGCCCAATAATATGGGAAATTGCCCAGGAATGTTGTGTACACAGAAAAAAAAACAGAACAAATTCAATCTTCCCCAGTCTCCGTCATCAGCACAGTGATAGAATGGGTCATGACTGTGTTATCAGGCAGCGCTTGTAAATGAATAAACTGCTTAGTAAGGCTCAGTTTTGGTTCTGCCAGGGTCGCTCAGCTTCTGATTTCATGTGCAGCCTTGGTTCAAATTTGAATGAATGAGCTTTGAGTTCCAGAAATGAAGTGATAGTGACTGCCCTTGACATCAAAGCCACATATTGTGGGAGGAAAGGCCTAGTCTACACAAACAGACGTACATCAAACAAGAAACGCTGACTAGGATCATTTTTATTCACGAATGATTAACTCAAGCAAGAGTGTGGTTTAAGCTGAAATCAGTGACATCGAAAACAATGGGATAAACGTGCAGCCATCAGGTATTTACTGCTTCTTTTCGACTTTCTTTCCTTCTTCCCTTTTGTAACTTCCCAGGAGCATGTATCTATTGAACACCGTCACTGCCCTGACACTATTACTATGTGGAACTGTGGGATGAGGCCAGTGTCTGGTTTCCAGCTGGGGATTTGCTTTGCAAGGGCAGCCGAAGACGAGCTCAAGTCTTTCTAACAGGGCCAGCTGAAGGCTGGAGCAAGGATAAAGGCAGCACTGGAGGGTGGAATTCCGTATTGACGATCTCTTTGTAACTGCAACTGTGCGTGAGTCAGGCACTGAGCCGGAGTGAATGACAACAGTTTTATTATGTTGTCAGATTCTGCCGCAGCTCAGTTCCTGTGGGAAATTAACCAGAGAATGAAAGAACGGGGTTGATTGACTAACAATACTTGCATCTTTCCTGGGCACAGCAAGAGAGCCAAGCACTCTAGAATCATTGATGAATCTCTTATGATTAGTTACAAAATGATCTTTTGGAGAACGATTTGCAGAATTCTGAGTTACACAGGGATTTAGGTGTTCCGGTGAATCGGCTATAAAAATTTAGTTTGCAGCTACAGCAGTAAATCAGGAAGGGCTAATGGGATGCCAGCCTTTATTGCGAGCGGAATTGTGCATCGAAGCAAGGATGTTCTGCTACAGTTACACTGGGCATTGGTGAGCCCACATCTCGAATACTGTGTGCAGTTTTGGTCGCCTCGTTTAAAGAAAGTTGTAAATACGTCAGAGGCAGTTTGGAGAAGGTTTGCTAGATTAATTTCTGGAGCGCATCATCTTATCAGGGTAGGCTGGACTTTTTTTCACTAGAGGCCAGAGTGTGAATTTTATTGAAGTGGTCTTGACAAGGTGTATGTGGAAAGGATGCTTCCTCAGGTGGGTTAGTCTAGAACTTCATGGAATCATACAATACAGAAGATGCCCTTCTGACCATCAAGTCTCCATTTCAAGAAGTATACTATTAACCACTCATGTTCCACTTTCCCACACTAGGCCTCGAATGTTATGACACTTCAAGTGCTTATCTAAGTAATTTTTAAAGATTGTGAGGTTTCCCACCTCAATTACCCTCCCAGGCAGTGCATTCCAGATCTCCACCACCGTCTGGGTGACAAAAGCTTTTTTCTCAAATCACCTCTAAACTTTCATGCCTTTCATTTTAAAACAGTACCAGACCTTTCAATTAAGAGAAACAGCTGCTTTTTGTTCATTCTGCCCATGCCTCTCATAATCTTATTCATAGAATATAGAACATAGAACAGTACAGCACAGTACAGGCCCTTCGGCCCACGATGTTGTGCTGACCTATTATGCTACTAAGATCAATCTACCCTGCATACCCTACATGTTACTATCCTCATGTGCCTATCCAAGAGTCGCTTAAATGTCTCTGACTCCACTACCACTATCGGCAGCGCATTCCACATGCCCACCACGCTCTGTGTGAAGAAATTCACCTCTATCAGGGCTCCCCTCAACCTTCTCTGCTCCAAAGAAAACAACCTGAGCTTATTCAGCCTCTCTTCATGGCTGAAATGCTTCATCCCAGGCAATATCCTAGTGAATCTACTCTGCAGCCCCTCCAGTGCAGTCACATCTTTCCTATTGTGTGGTGACCAGAAATGCACATAGTACTCCAGCTGTGGTCTAACCAAAGTTCTGTGCAGCTCCAGAACAGCCTCCCTGCTCTTATAATCTATGCCTCGACTAATAAAGGCAAACATCCAGTATACCTTCTCCAATTACCCTATTAAACTGTCCTGCCACCTTCAGGGATCATGGACAAGCACTCCAAGATCCCTCTGTTCCTTCAGTTTCCTAGCGTCTTGCTATTCATTGAGTGATTCTTTGTCTTGTTCCTTCTTCCAAAGTGTGTCACGTCACATTTATCAGGGTTAAATTCCACCTTGATCTGACCTTCTGACCACTCTGTCTATATTCCCCTGAAACCTTCCTCCTCAATGTCCACCACCCAGCCAATCTTTGTGTCACCGGCAAAATTATGAATCATCCTTTTCACATTCTCATCTACCTCATTTATAAATATCACAAACAATAAGGGACTTAGCACTGATCCCTATGGTACGCCACTGCACACAGGCCCCAGTCACACATACAGCCTTCTAACATCACCTGCTGTCTCCTGTTACTAAGTCAATTTTGGATTCACCTTGCCAAGTTTCCCTGTTCTGAAATTAGAAGTCTTCTGTTTAGGACAGAAATGAGAGAAATTTATTTTCTCTCAGAGGGTTATACGACTTTGGAGCTGCCTGCCTCAGAAAAGGGTGGAGGTGAGGTCACTGAATATTTTTAAGGCAGAGGTAGATTCCTGTTAGGCAGGGTTGGTCGGGAATGTGAAATTCTGAACACATTAACCATGATCTTGTTGTATAGTGGAGCAGGTGTAAAGGGTTAATAGCCTACTTTTCCCCATCATTTGTATATTTATCTATTTTAATCCCAAAAGACCCCACAGTCACCTCTCATTCCTCTATAGGATCTCAACAGGTTCTAAGACTTTTGCCTCCATATTCTGTCTGCGCACATACTCCACAGGTAGATCATTCTTTAGCCCATGCAGAGTTACTAACCATAAATCTCCATCTCCCATTGCCATTCTTACAAAACATCTACAACCCGAATTGTGAAACCAAGGAAAATAGTCCACTGCAATGGTGAATAGTTGCATCTTTTAAGTATGCTGCTGTTCCGGTATAAAGACTGGTCTCCAAATCCAAGCCACAGTTCCAGGGTTGTGAATCTCCGTGATATAGACGGGAAATTGGGTTCCACTATTTGACACACTTGTAACTGCAAGGTTATAAAGTAACCCAAAGAACCCTGTGCCTGAGCTGGGGACTATGGGTTAGCTTAATGAAAATTTAGGACATAAATGGCAAGATAGAAATTTTACAGGGAGTTTGTAGTCATTGACTTCAGTGTCAATGTTGATAACAATAGTTTAAGAGAGTGGGTCAACAGTACATGAGTTATTCATTAATTAGACATAAGAACAGGAGAATACCATTCAGTCTATTCAGCCCATCCTGCCATTCAGTACCATCACAGCTCATTGAACACTTCCACGTCTTTTATCTACCCCATCCATACAACCCTGTATGCCATTGGTAATCAGAAATCTCTACCTTAGACATATTCCAAGACTGATCTGTGGTAGAGAAGTCCAATGGTTCATAACCCTCTGAGTGAAAAAAACTCTTCATCTCAGACCCTAAATGGCATCCCCCTATTTTTAAATTGTGTCTCTGGTTGTAGACTCCCCAACCAGGGGAAAGAGTTTACTTACCTGCATCTACCCTGTCTATCCCTTTGAGTATTTTGTAAGTTTTAATGAGATTACCTCTCATTCTACAAAATGAGGTCCAGAGAATATGGACCCAGTGTGCTCAATGTCTCTTCACAGGACAGTCACACCATCTCAGAATGAGTCTGGTTAATCTGGTGTCATGACTGTTTTATTTTCTCTTAATAAATATTTAAAGAAGCTCACAGTTAGGAACCAAAAATCTGTTAACATGCTGTAAAATTAGGACCTATTCAATGTTCAATCTGAATCCTATTAATTAAAATAAATTGGATTAGAATGTTAACCCTAGGTAAGTGCAGCACTGTTGTTCACTTAGCCAGATGGATTTGGGTTCTCAGTAGTGAGTTTTTTTTTAGATGAACAATTACATTTCATTTGAAAATTTTGTGGATGCTGCTAGATGGTAATTTATCAGTTTTTTAAAAATTCATTCTTATGATGTGTATGCCCATCCCAAATTGTCCAAAGGGCAGTTAAGAGTTAACTCCATTGTTGTGGGTCCGGAGTCATAAGCAGACCAGACAGGAAAAAGATGGTAGTTTCCTTCCCTAAAGTAGATTTACAGTGAGAGGGGAAAGATTTAAAAGGGATCTGAGGGGCAACTTTTTCAGACAGACAGTGGTACATGTATGAAATGAGCTGCCAGAGGAGGTGGTAGAGGTAGGTACAATTACAACAGTTAAAAGATATCTGGATGGGTACATGAATAAGGAGTGATAGAGGGATATGGACCAAATGCTAGCAAATGGGACTAGATCAGTTTAGGATATCTGGTTGGTGTGGACATGTTGGACTGAAGGCTCTGTTTCCGTGCTGTATAACTATGGCAAGTTCACACTCCTTGACCATTCATCTTGGGCATAGAAAACATCTGGAGTAGGGCTACGCCAAGTCCTGGCTGATATCAGGGATTTGGCTCGTGTTGAATTGTTTAAGCACAAACCTGAAAACTTGCAAAAGCTGATTAGTAGTTTCGAAAATTTGGCAACTCAATAAATAACCTGAGGAAAAGACTTTGGAGAACAAAACTGTAAGTCTAGTGTCCTTACCTTTAAGTGGTTGTCCCCAGAATTGGAGTGAACTTTAACAGCAGCGGTTCAGGAGAAGTCCCAGTTCCTTTGTGTTTCAGCTTTATGGCTATTTGGCAAATATTGGCACAGTTTAGGGAACAAACCAGATTTCATGCTGTTGTTACAGTCAATGATAGAAATATGAAGCTCAGCCAGATTCACAAAGAGAAAGCCATGGCTACTTTTCTTGTTTCAGACAATGGGATCGATTAAAATTGAATGTGTTTTGAAGGAGAAGTACTCGGTTGGAGAAAGCCCTACATGGGAGGAAAAACATGGCACATTGCTCTATGTTGACATTACTGAACAGAATGTGTACAGATGGCATCCTGACAGTAATCAAGTGGAGAAAGTCCATGTTGGTAAGAAAATTACACCTTAATTTACTTAGGAATTGAGAAAGAGTGGCATGGACCCAACTATTGACTAAACTAATTCTTTCTGTCACTTAAATGCGAAAAGGTCCCATTGTCAACTTTGCATTTTGACTGGAAGCATCAAAGGACATATTCCTCGATTTGTTCTTATTTTGTCTTTTTTAATTCAATGACTACTATTTCTTGATGGCCTGTATTGGTATTCTGCTGGAAAGTGCATGTATGGGTGAGCGTGTGAAATACAAACAAAAATTGCTGGAAAAGTCAGGAGGAGAAATCAGCAGAGAAGCAATGTTGTCATTTCAGGTCAACTTTCTGCCCAACATTAAACTCCGTCCTCTGCTACTGATCTATGTTGACTTCCCAGCAATGTCTCAACTTTAACGTTTTCAACCTGGTGCTCAAATCCTCTTATGGCCTAGCTCCTCCTTACCTGTCATTTTTGTCAGTTCTCCATTCCATCAGCACATCTGTTCCCCACCAATTTGTGGCCTCTACACAACACGTTCCTAATCCCACTTTTAGTTGCCTTGTAAGCTCTGGAATTCCCCTTTTAAATCTGCTCATGCTTCCAGATCTCCTCCTTTAAGATACACCTTAAAATTTACAACTTTACCAAGCTTTAAGTCACCATCTTAACATCTCCTTCTTTTGCTTCACTCCCACAACGTGCCTTCTGACATTTTGCTACATTAAAGGTGATGCAAGCTGTTACTGAGCTTCCTGTGAGTTGGGTACACTGCATAAACTTATGCTTCGATTTATTTCATTGCTATGACTAATGGAAAGGTGTAATTCAGTGTTACAATATCTCTCAGATGTGATTGTTCCTAGCTCATTCCTGCATTTTTCAGATGCTCCAGTTGGATCTGTTGTTCCCTGGAGTTCTGGCGGATATGTCCTGGCAATCGGAAAAAGGTTTGCCTTTCTGGACTGGGAGAAAAAGAAGGTTACGGATATTGCACAGATCGATAACAAGAAAACAAACGTCAGATTCAATGATGGCAAAGTGGATCCTGCTGGACGCTTTCTAGCAGGTTTGTCAGTTTGCAGTGTGTCTTGGCCGGTCACTTCCCTGATTTCAACTCATCTGCTGCTGAAACACTCATACCATTGTGATCTAAAGACCTAGCTGCTTCAAATCATTGCAGCTCTTTACATATAAAATTCTGCTGCTAATATCATTACCCAAACTGTATCCTGTCCATATCTCAGCGATCTACCTGCTGATCCATCTTGGCTCTGGGTCCCAAAAGACCCCACAGATGCTTCTCATTCCACTATAGCATCTCAACAAGTCTTATATTATACTCAAATCCCCCCATAGCCCTGCCTCTTCTGACCTGCTACGTTTCTTGGACCTGATGTGTTGCATCCTAGGATTTTAAAGGAAGTGGCTATAGAGACAATGGATGCACTGGTAATAATCTTCTAAGAATCCTTAGATTTGAGAAATGTCCCAGGGGTTTGGAAAACTGCCAATTTAACAACCTTATTCAAAAAGGGCCACTTAGCTCAACACCTGCCATTGGGAAAATGCTGGAGTATGTATGAAAAATGTAGCAGGAGAGCATTCATAAATAGATAATAAAATGAAGCAGAGTCAGCATAGCTTCTTGAAGGGGGAATTTGCTAGAATTCTTTGAGGAAATAACAAGTAGGATAGATAAAGGAGGCTGGGTAGATGTAACATTTGGATTTCGAACGGGATTTCAGTAATGTACTGCTTATGAAGCTGCTTGAAAAGATAGTATCAAAAAGATGAAAAAGAGAAAAAGTACTGGGGTAGTATTTTGGCATAGACAGAGGATTAGCTAACTAATTTCAGGCAGAAATTGGATTAAGGGGGGTAATTTCAGGAGTGCCATAGGAATGAATGCTGGGGCCACAATTATTTACAATACAGTAATTATTTTGATGAAGAATTTGAATTTTCTGTCATCAGATTGGAGGATGGCACAAAAATGAAAGGAAAGCAAGTAGTGAGGATGATCTTGACAGGTTGAGTGAGTGGGCAAAAACCTGTCAGCTGGAATATAATGTGGGAAATAATGAGGATATGCACTTTGACAGGACTACTGAATATTATTTAACTTGGGAAACATGCAGAAAGCTGCAGCACAGAGGGATTTGGGGATCCTTGTACATGAATCACAAAAAGCTTGCATCTAAGTCACAGACTAGATGTTAAGGGGTTGTTTCCTCTTGTAGGAGAGTTTAAGAGCAGAGAGAATAATCTCAGAGTATGCAGTCAGCCAGAGAGTTGGAGAAGTTCTTTCTCTCAGGAGAGTAGTCTGTGGAATTTGGGGAATTCTTTATCTCAGAAGGCTGTGGAGATTGGGCCATTAAGTATATTTAAGTCTGAGATAGACCAATTTTTTTTTATCAATTAGAGAATCAATGGTTATGGCGAAAAGGTAGGAAGGTGGAATTGAGGATTTTCAGACCAGCCAGGATCTCACTGAATGGTGGAGCAGACCTAATGGGCTGAATGGTCTCTTGTTACTCCTATGCCTTATAACCCTTCTTTTATGAGGGCAGGTAAGGGCTTAGGTTAAGATTACGTACAAAAGGTTGTGCTCCCTCTGAGCTGGCATAGCATCTGAACTCCCAATGAACTCCTTCTCGACGCAGAGAGTCTGGCCAACAGAGCTAATACACCCACAGCAGTGATACTGAGCAGTGCAAGCCCAGAAGGCTGCCAGTTCGCCCTCCCTTCTGCATGATGAGTACCTTGAGTTCAGATAAGGTTTCTGCGATTGTCTTTAATCTCTTCAGACTTGCAGGAACTGGAGGAGAGTAATCAGCCATGGCATCTGCCTGTGGTATGCAGTCAATCTGCTGGATGACGTATCTTTACTTGAGAGGTTGAAGGCACACCTGGGGTTATTCATAGAATCAGAGAATCCCTAGTGTGGAGACAGGCCCTTTGGCCCAACAAGCCCACACCGCCCATCAGAGTATCCCACCCAGACCCATCCCTCATAACTCATCTAATCTACACATCCCTGAACACTAGGGGCATGGGCAATCCACCTAGTCTGCACATTTTTGGACTGTGGGAAGAAACTGGAGCACCCAGAGGAAACCCATGCAGATACGGGGAGAACGTGCAAACTCCACACAGACAGTCACCTGAGAGTGGAATTGAACCCGGGTCCCTGGCGCTGTGAGGCAGCAGTGCTAACCACTGAGCTACTATGCCATGTCTGCTGAAAATTATTGTGGCCACTCACAAAAGAAATAAAGCTATATCTGCCTTCAAACATCAGAGAAATAATATTTGTGTGTGTTGGGTGGACAATAGTGAAATATCTTAATAAACAATCCCAATCTGATCCCTTTCACTGTGCTATTTTGATTTTTGAGTGTTGGATTGTCCAGGGAAAGTACAGCAATCTTTGTACTGTTTCAAGTTTGTTCTTAACAAGGTTCTGTGTTTCAGGCACCATGGCAACGGAAACCCAGCCTGGTGAATTTGAAAGGCACCAGGGTGCTCTTTACACCTTGCAGACTAATCGCTCTGTTGTCAAACAATTTGATCAGGTGGATATTTCCAATGGTCTAGATTGGTCGCTAGATCACAAGATCTTCTATTACATAGACAGTTTGTCTTTTACTGTGGATGCATTTGACTACAACCTGCAGACGGGAAAGATCTGTAAGTATTGCAGCTGACAAGCAAAATTATTTTTCATTTGTTTAATGGCCTGAGATCACTGCTGCAAAGGCTGCATTTTTGACCTGACCTTAGTTGTTGTAAGATGGTGATGCGCCTGCTCCTGGACAATCTCCTGTCACGTAATGCAGTAAGAACTCTCTACTGTAGAGGTTCCACTGCTCCACCTCTGGAGAGCGATTTGTAATGTGTAAACTTTGCACTAATTTATTTTGACAGCTAATCGGAGGGTTGTGTACAAACTTGAAAAAGATGAAGCTATTCCTGATGGACAGTGTATCGATAATGAGGGAAAACTCTGGGTTGCCTGCTATAATGGTGGAAGAATCCTTCGTATTGACCCAGAGACAGGTGAGAAAACCATGAGAGGCTTATCCACTGTCAATGTTTTGTAGTGGAGTTTTTGAAAATCAGTCAACGTGGTGACAGTGTTGTGGAGATGAAGGTAAGTGATCTGGGTAATGAAAAGAACCCCAGGCTTCAGACTCTGGTCTGGTGGGATGCCAACGTTTCACGCAGTTTGGTTTACCCTGAGTAAGTTGGCAGAACAGGAGATTGACTCAGTAGCAAAGGAGCAGAATTTCTGGCACGGGGCTGGAATGGATGCTTTAAAGGAAATTTTGATTCAAACATAAATTCTTGCCACGGTTTGTGAAGGTTGTGAGAACTCTTGAGGGAGTGCAGCGGAGATTTGCCAGGGAGGAGGATATTACCTATTGGGTTATGTTGGAGACAGTTATTCTCCTCGGGGAAAAGAAGATTGAAGGGAGCTTTGATAGAGACAAACAAGGGTTTAGATAAGGTAGACAAAGAAACACTGATTCCATTCACTGATAATTAGGACTTGAGGTTTTTGGGCAAGAGATGCAAGGGGAATGTGGGAAGTAATTTTTTTACGGGGTTCTAATGACCTAGAACTCTCTGCCCACAGAGTAATGAAAGGGGAAGTGGAGAATTATTCCAAAAGGAAATTGAATTGGCATTTGGAGGAAATAAATTTGTAGGGCTAATGGGATAGAGCCAGGGTATGGGACAATTGAGAGGAGGTAGAAATGTAAAGGTGAATATCATCGACATTTGGGACTTATTCTGCACATACAGATGGTGACAGTGAAGATAAGGAATCTCATGGAGCAACTACCAATAACTGGGAACTCTAGAGGTTTAAGCATGGGTTGGGAGAAGAAAGTATTGCCGAACTACTTTATTTGGATAAATAGGGCAAGACAATAAGACTTCTTTTAGAAGCTCAACCTTTAAATCCAATGTCAACACCCTTTGAAAGTCAGCTCTGGTCAATGGGTGTCTGGGTGGTGGTTAGAAGTTCTGCCCATGGAAATATGCCTTATTCAAGTAACTCTAACCTTAACCCTATAACAGTGATGAAAATGTTGGATCTCTTTACTCACCTGACCCTTCCGTTTACCCAAACTCTCTTCTCATTCAGCTGCTTCCATTTCCTCTGCAACTGTTGACCTTCTCTCTCCCCAGTTCAACCTCTACTCTCAGCTTCTTTATCCTATCACTGCTGCTGCTTGGAACTATTCCTGTGGAAGATCAGCTGCCATGATCTGCCTCGCTCACCATCCTCTTACATCCACTGCAAATTATCTACAACCGCTCTCTGACTTCCATCATCCAACTAAGCAGAAAGAGAGGTGGATTTCAGTAGTCCTCCACTTTGTCCTCCAGTTTTTTTTCCAGCGACACTTTCTAAGAGTTCTTTTGGCTCTTTTTTTATTTCAGGCAACTCTCTATCTGTCTTACAATTTGTACATGGAAGTTAAGCATATGGATCTTAACATCTGCATTTCAAGGACCTCTATTTCTTCCACAGCTGTCCAGGTTTCTGAGGCACTGTAGGAAATTGGATTGAGCGTAGCACCTTATGAGATTTCTTCCTTGTTACAAGCTTGAGCCTTCCTGTTTTTAACACATCCCTCCCAAGCCCCTTGATTATCATCAGTTTCCTTTCCTTTCATTGTTCCCATTGCCTCCTATCCATCATTGACATTTGTTTTTCTCTTTCATTACTCTACAGTTTCCCTATTCATTGTCATTCATTCTCCCCTTCCATTGATATCTAGTCTCACTACTCATTCTGTCTTGCTTCTTCCCGAATCTGGCCTCTAATCTCTGCAATTGGCTCTTGATCTCCATGCTACATTCATAACAAAGTCTTAATAGAATTTAGTTTACTATTGTTTACAGTCAGACAAGTGACCTAGGAGGATTTTTTTCTTGTAGGTAAAAGGATCCAGACAGTGAAGTTGCCTGTTAGTAAAACTACATCCTGCTGCTTTGGAGGAAAAGATTATTCCGACCTATATGTAACTACAGCTACCAAGAGAATGGATGAAGAGTCCCTTCAGAAAGAGCCATTGGCTGGGGGCATTTTTAAGGTATATGGAATTGTTTTACCATGTACTGAACATACAAGTAGCACGAGCAGCACATCTAAAGGACCATCTACCTGTTTGTCTTCCCTACCTATGTAAAGCAATAATGAGATAATGGAAAACAGCCCCTACATCTCTCACAGGGTCATAGTCCAAGATTAAAGCTAGATGCCAAACACTTTGCCACCTTCACACAATGATTTCTCAGCTACAACTCATTGTTTTCCAGCAGAGATGACTAAATGGCAATCTCCAGTGAAGATCCTGGCCTTTCAGCAGGGTGGTACAGTCCTGATGAAGGGTCTAGGCCCAAAACGCCGACTCTCCTGCTCCTCTGATGCTGCCTGACCTGTTGTGTTCCTCCAGCTCCATACTGTATCAACTCTGATTTTAGCATCTGCAGTTCTTGCTATCTCCTTGGCACAGTAGGTCAGTAGGTAGCACTGCTACCTCACAGCGCCAGGGACTTGGGTTCACTTCCAGCCTTTGGTGACTGTCTGTGTGGAGTTTGCACATTCTCTTGTATCTGCATGGGTTTCCTTTGGGTGCTCTGGTTTCCTCTCACAGGCCAAAGATGGGCATGTTAGGAGGATTGGCCATGCTAAATTGCCTGTAGTGTTCAGGCTAGTTGGATTAGGTGGTTGGGGGGTGGTGTAGAGGTTGGGGAGGGGGAGAGGTAGGTGGGTCTGTGTCGGATGCTTTTTGTAAGGTCAGTGTGGATTTCACCTGGTTCAGCAGTATTGTTATCCTAGCTGGGTTTTTAACTCTGCACAAACCAAGGATTAAAATGCTGACAGTTCTGGTCATTAGGCTTCAGATCTATGCTGATTCTAATGATAACAGCAACAGTGGAAGAAACACACACACAAACAAAGGAATAAAAATCTGGGATTTAAACAGAACCTTTTGCACCCTCTAGTTATCCTAAAGTATCTCACGATTGATGGGGTTGACTGATGTAGAGGAAAAATGATTCGCATTTTGTGCACAGAAAGCTCCCCAAAGAGCTGTATGCAAATGCATAACCTTCCAAATATTTTTCTTAAAGGATAAATATTGTCTGGTACACCTGCCTCTCTTTGAAATAGTGCAACAGGATCTTTTCAAGGCACCTCAGAAGACAGACAGTGCTTTGGTTTAATGCCTCATCCGAAAGATGGAATCTCTGCCTAAACGTCGAGCTCTGGATCAGTTTCTGATTTAGAGACAAAAGTGTTAAACATTGAGGCATGTCTGAGAAAGAACATAAATTTGTTGTATCACTGGCAGGTGCAACAGATTGGATGCAGAAAATATAAAAAGACAGTCTTGTGAGGATGGAAAGTAAAGGCATCTTTGTTGAATAACTCATCAATCATAATGATTATTTTCTCCCAGTCTTTTCATCTTTCCTACTTTTGTATGAGATTTCTCCTACCACTGCCCCTCCTGAAGTGACTAATTCCATGATCTATGACCTATTTATTCAGGGGTTCGCTGGCTGGGCTGGTATTTAATGCCCATTCCTAATAGGCTGGAGAAGGCAACAGTGAGCTGTCTTCTTGAACCTCTGCAAGCTATTTGGTGTAGATACCATTGCTGCTAGGGAGGGAATGCCAGGTAATTTAACCCAGCATCACTGAAGGAACAGCAACATTTCCCCTATTGGTTCTCCAAGTGGCATTTGTCAAAGTGAACATTGATCATTTGGGTTTGTGTGTGTGTGTGTGAGAGAGAGAGTCTGTATGTGTGTGTGTCTGTGTGAGAGTGTGTGGGAGAGAGAGAGAGAGTGTGTGTGTGTTTGTGTGTGAGTGGCGTTTCTGTGTGGTTATGTATGTGGCGTGTGTTTGAGTGACGTTTGTGTGTTTATATGTATGTGGTGTGTGTGTGTGTGTGTGTGTGTGTATGAGTGGTGTCTGTGTGTGTGGGGAGGGGGCAGGGAATACATCAGGCTTCATTGAGCCTCATACATCCCACCCAGGTCCAACCACAGACTGATTGACCTTTTTCCATTCATCTTTCTCCACTTCCTATTCAGGGGTCACTGGGTAGAGAGAGTGTGAACAGGAGAAAGAATTCCAGCCAATTTTCCTCCTCTGGAGGTATGTAAAGCTAAGAAGTGTAGGTGCAGAAATCTTGCTGGGGAGGTGATGGACTGACGGTATTATCACTGGACTGTTAATCCAGAGACCCAGCTAATGTTCTGGGGACTCAGGTTTGATTCCTGCCACAACAGATGGTGGAATTTGATTTCAATAATGAAAAAAGAGTCTGGAGTTAAGGGTCTAAATGATGACCATGAATCTGTTGCTGATTGTTTGGAAAAATCTATCTGGTTCACTAATGCCCTTTAGGGAAGGAAACTGCCACCCTGACCTACATGTAACTCCAGACCCACAGCAATATGGTTGACTTTTAACTGCCCTCTTTGCAATTAGGGATGGGCAATTAATGCTGGCTGAAACAGTGATGCCCTTATACCATGAATAATAAAAATAAATTGCTAGTGTGTGCAACTCAAGTACTTGCTGCTTTAATCATTATGAAGCATCAGGCAGGTCTAGATAAACTCAATGTAACTTTCCAACATTATACACAGGATTACTTCATTCAGTGAGAGATATTTGTGATCTGAGTAATATAAAAGAAGTTTTGAAATGAAAGTAACATTTAATTTTTTTTCTCCAGGTTACTGGACTGGGTGTGAAGGGGATTCCACCGTATTCATATGTAGGATAGAATATTTCCACAAGCAGATTCAACGCCAACAGAAAAGACATGCAACAAATTGCAGCAGTGTTTGCAAACATGGAAAAAATGTAGACAAAATATTACACTATCTACTGAAAACTGTATCTTTGTTTCCATTTCTCATATAAACTGCACAAATCTAAAACTGGTCACTGTGGTGTCAATTATCAGAATAAAAGAGTTCGTACCCATTCTATGTCACTTTAAATGGCTGCTGTGCCTTTTGCTGGTTCTCAGTTTCTCACCCTAATCTCTCAGCGATCTATGATGACTCAGTTGGTGGTCGTCTCATATCTGATTTCAAAGGTTGTGGGTTCAAGTGCCACTCCAGGACATTAGCAATAGAACTCAAGATATACAGCTATGTACATGTATATACAGCTATAGAAACTCCTGGCCAGACACTATTTGGAGTACAGTGATCATATTTGGGCTCCACACCTTAGGAAGAATATATTAGACTTGGAAGGAGTACAATGTACGTTCACAAGAATGATACCTGGACGTCAGGCATGAAGTTATAGGAGAGATTAAACAAATTAGGCCTGTTTTGTCTGAAATTTAGAAGGTTAAAGGCTGATCTGATCAAATTTTTCATGATAATATCAGGAAAAGACAGGGTAAATAAAGATATACTCTTTGTACTGATTGAGGATTCTAGAACTAGGGGCCATAGTTTAAAAATTAGGGCCAGACCATTCAGGAGAGATGTTAGGAAGCATTTCTACACACAAAGGCTAGTCGATGTTTGGAACTCTCTTCCACAAACGGCAGTGAATGCTGGATTGGTTGTAAATTTTAAATCTGAGTTAGATACATCTTTGCTAAGCAAAGGTATGGGCCAAAAGCAGGTATATGGAGTTAGGCCACAGATCAACTATGATCTCATTGAATGGCAGAACAGGGTGAAGGAGCTGAAGGACCTCCTCCTGTTCCTTTGTTCCTATAAGACTGCAAGCTCTAGTGCCATGCTGAGCTAATACCGTACTGTTAGAGGGGTGCAAGGTTAGCTTTCATGTTAAACATAGTCCCTATCTGGGCTTGCATTTGGAGGCAGAATATCCAATACTGTAATTTTATTGAGGAATAGATAGGTAAGTTATCTCTGTTCTCCTGGCCAATACTTGTATATCATGGTTGGGTAGATACTGAAAGGCTGTAATCCCTGGCTGGGGAATCTAGACCATGATGGCTTGTTTTTTTTTCTTCGACAAGGTGTGGACATCAGTGTCTAGGTCAGTATTTGTTACCCATTGTATATGGCTCTTGAGAAAGCAATGGTGAGCCACCTCCCTGATTGACTACAGACCAAGTGGTGTAGGTACACCTGCTGTGTTGTTCTGGAAGGATTTTAACCTACTGAGTGAAGGAACAGCATTTGTTCAGCCCTCTGTTTGTGCACTGTTATTGTTGGACAGACCAGCATGTATGTATTTATTTATCGGTCAGTAGCTTGGAGGGGAACATGTAAGTGGTAGCGTTCCCATATAAGTGCTGTCTACTTCCTTTTAAATTTTAGAGGTCACTAGTTTGGAAGGTGCTGTGCAAGGACCTTTTGTGAATTTTTGCAGTGCACCTTGTAATGGTACACACTGAACGCTGGCGGTGATGGGAGTAAACATTGAAGGTGGTGGACAGGGTGTCAGTCAAATCAGGCTGGCAAGTGGGAATATTCCATCACACTCCTGATTTGTGTCCTGTAACTGGTGGATAGGCTTTGGGAATTAGGAGGTGAATTGCTACAGAATTCTCAGGTTCTTGTAGGCATAGTTGCACGGTGAGTCCAGTTCAGTGTCTGGACAATGGTAAGTCCTGCTCCCCCCACCCCGCCCCGCCCCGCCCCAAGACATTTCAATGCAGTTACTTGCTTCCTATCAGCCCAAGACTAAATTGATATGGTACGCTGCAGTTCGACATAGAGTTATAGAATCCCTACAGTGTGGAAACAGGCCCTTCGGCCCAACAAGTCCACACCGACCCACTGAAAAGCATCCCACCTAGACCCAATCCCCTAATTTCCCATGTCTAACCCACCTAACCTAAGCATTCCCGAACACTATGGGCAATTTAGCATGACCAATCCACCAACCCTGCGCATCTTTGGATTGTGGAAGGAAACCGGACCACCCAGAGGAAACCCACGCAGGGAACGTGCAAACTCCACACAGACAGTCATCCAAGGCTGGAATCGAACCCGGCAGTGCTGCCCAATTGGACAGTTCCAGTATCTAAAACACTGTGATTGGTGCTGAACATAGTGCAATCATTAATGAACATCCCAATTTTCAACCTCATGATGGAGGGAAAGTCATTGGTGAAGCAGCTAAAGATTGTTGTGGCTAGGACACTACCCTGGGGAACTGCTGCAGAGATCTCCTGGAATAAGTGGCTGACAGTTTACAACTCAGAAGAATCTTAACTGAAAGAGTTTGAATATTTGGAATCCTCTATCCCAGTGGGTTGTGGTGCTCCATCATTGAATATATTTCATACTGAGATTGCCAAGTGATATGGAAAACATGGTGTTGATGTGAAAGGTCAGCCATGATCGAATTGAATGACAGGGCAGGCTTGGGTGCCATGTGGTCTAATCCTTAATCCACATTTTATGTTTTTATTCCTCAATCAAGACCATACACACAAAATAAAAGTCTGGGTCCTTATCACATTGTAGAAAGTTTCAGTCTGCACATTGGTTCCTATATTTCCCACCATTACAACAGTGACAACACTTCAAAAATATTTATGGCTGTAAAGCTCTTTGTGACGTCAAAAGATCAAAATAGGTGCCACATAAATGCAATCCTTTCTTTCTGTGAAAGCAATGACTCTTGCACTGTGGTGTCCCATGAAGTCAGCGTCCCTCCACTGAAGGCAGCTAATAATTCACTATCGCAAAACTACAATCGACTCTTTGGTACAGTGCCACAAATTAATCTGTGCGTTTAATGTAGCAATACAATAAAAGTAAAAGGTGTGAGAGTCCTCACAATGGATGGTCTCACCTAAAGCAGGTTTGGTACTGGGAAACAGTAAGGACTGCAGATGCTGGAAGCCAGAGTCAATAAACATGGATAGACAAACAGGAGGCTGGAAGAACAGAGCAAGCCAGGCAGCATCTGCAGGAAAGGAGAGGTCAACGTTTCGGGTGTTACCCTTCTTCAGGACTGGTACTAGTGGAGCTGGACAAACATAGCAGGTCAGGCAGCATCAGAGGAACAGGAAAGTCAACATTTTGGGCCGAAACCCTTTGTCAGGACTGGTACTAGGTAGTGTTTGGAAAAATTGCCTTATAGTGGCCTACTGGATCTCATGAGCATATTCCAAAATCACTACAGAATCTTTCTAATTTTATTAGAAAATGAGTACGTCCACAAATTCTTTAACGTTAGAAAATGTTTACCAAGGAAACACAATGTTACAGGGTTCAAATTCTGCACGGATGAACTAGTTTCCTGAGAGAATAAACTATAACAGAGAGTGATGGCATTCTTGCTGTTTGAGACTGCAAGGGTCTGGTAGCTGCAGCCTAAATCTTTTTGATAGAGCTTCAAACTATGGTGCTAGTTACATCTCTTTACTTTGACAAGCTAGAGCAGGCCTTCTCAAAGTTGAGAGGAGGATCTGGTCTTCAAATGGGCAGTACATTGAAATATTAGGGTCATGATTCAGAGGCAGTCCTATCTGCCGTGAGACCCAATCCTTTCTCGCCTCCCCCTCCCAATCTTGGGTCCTCTCCTGCCCCCACTCATCCCCTGCTCTCAATGTTCTTGCTGAGGGGTTGTGTCAAAATAGAGTTCAATGGGAAAATATTTAGGAAGCACTGATCCAAACCTTCAGCAATAGCAAACCATTACCATTGAACTTGATTTGCTTCTTCTCTACCCATCTTTTAACCATTGGTGGTGTTTGATACCACAGGTAGTAATAATGAATAAATAATTTGTTCAGCTCTGTATTTGTGCGCTGTTATTGTTAGACAGACCAGCATGTATGCATTTATTTACCAGTCATACCGTTGCAGAAAAACTCAGTAAATCACTGTGGAAAAGATGGTGTGAAACCTGAAAGGGTTCAGAAAAGATTTACGAGGATGTTGCCAGGATTGGAGGGTTTGAGCTATAGGGAGAGGCTGAATAGGCTGGGGCTATTTTCCCTGGAGCGTCCTGCCTTTTCTCTCTCTATAACCCTGCACGTTGTTTCTATTTTAAATGCCTCATTTGAAACTGCCTCCAGCACACTTCCAGGGAGTGCATTCCAAACCTGAACTACTTACTTTGTAGAACATAGAGCATAGAACAGTACAGCACTATACAGGCCCTTCGGCCCACGATGTTGTGCTGAACTTTTACCTAAACCTAAGGTCTATCTAACCTCCACCCCTACCTTATACTATCATCCATATGCATTTCTAATTGCCGCTTAAATGCCCCTAATGAGGCCGACTCCACTACCCTCTCCGGCAATGCGTTCCATGCCCCTACCACTCTCTGAGCAAAGAACCTACCTCTGACGTCTCCCCTATATCTACCTCCACTCACTTTAAAACTATGCCCCCTTGTAATAGCTACCTCCAACCTAGGAAAAAGTCTCTGGCTGTCCACTCTATCTATACCTCTGATCATTTTGTACACCTCTATAAAGTCACCTCTCATCCTTCGTCATTCTAAAGAGAAAAGCCCTTGCTTTCGCACCTTTCCTCGTAAGACTTTCCCTCCGTTCCAGGCAACATCCTGGTAAATCTCCTCTGCACCTTTTCCAACACTTCCACATCTTTCCTGTAATGAGGTGACCAGAACTGGACACAATACTCCAGATATGGCCGAATCAGGCTTTTGTATAGCTGGAACATAACTTCACGGCTCTTGAACTCAATCCCTCTATGAATGAAAGCTAACACACCATATGTCTTCTTAACAACTCTATCCTCCTGGGTGGCAGCTTTCACGGAACTGTGGACATGAACCCCAAGATCCCTCTGCTCCTCCACACTGCCAAGAGTCTTTCCATTAACCCTGTATTCTGCTTTCAAATTTGTCCTTCCAAAATGAATCACCTCACATTTTTGAGGGTTAAACTCCATCTGCCACTTGTCAGCACAACTCTGCATCCTATCAATGTCCCTTTGTAACCTAGAACAGCCCTCCGCACTATCCACAGCTCAACCCACCTTCGTATCGCCCGCGAACTTACTAATCCACCCTTCCACTCCTTCATCCAAATCGTTTACAAAAATCACAAATAGAAGAGGACCCAGAACAGATCCCTGTGGTACACCACTCTTAACTGAGCACCATGTTGAATATTTTCCATCCACTACCAACCTTTGTCTTCTAAGGGTCAGCCAATTCTGAATCCAATCTGCCACATTTCCCCCTATCCCATGCCTCCTTACTTTCTGCATGAGCCTACCATGGGGAACCTTATCAAACGCCTTACTTAAATCCATGTATACCACATCCACTGCTCTACCTTCATCCATGTGTTTGGTCACCTCTTCAAAGAATTCAATAAGGTTTTTGAGGCATGATCTACCCCTCAGAAATCCATGCTGACTATCACGAATCAAACTGTGCCTATATAAGTGATCATAAATCCTATCTGTCAGAGCCCTTTCCAATAATTTTCCCACCACTGAAGTAAGACTAACTGGTTTGTAATTTTCGGGGTTATCCCTATTCCCGTTTTTGAACAAGGGAATGACGTTTGCCTCTCTCCAATTTTCCGGCACTACACCCGTGGACAGTGAGGATGAAAAGATCATCGCCAGCGGCCCTGCGATCTCTTCCCTCGCTTCAAATAGAATCCTTGGATAAATCCCATCAGTCCCAGGGGACTTATCTATCTTCAAGTTCCTCAAAATTCCTAGAACATCTTCCTTACTAACATCGACCTCCTCTAGCCTACCAGTCTGTTTCACACTGTCTTCCTCTACAACTAGGTCCCTCTTAGTTGTGAATACCGAAGAAAAGTATTAGTTAAGGACCTCTCCTATTTCTTTAGGCTCCGTGCACAAATTGCCTTTACAATCCTTGATCGGCCCTACCCTTTCTCTGGTCATTCTCTTATTCCTCACATGAAAGAGTATTTTCTCACCTCGCATTTGGTTCTTTTGTAAAACACTTAAAAACTGTGCCTTCTGGTTCCCAGTCCATTTAAGAGTAGGAACAGTTTTTCCCTGATGGCATTGTAGCCCAACATGGGAAGAGTGAGCAGTGAGAGAGGTCCCCAGTGTCTATGGCAACAGTATCGAGAAGAGGCAGCTGAGGAATCCCATTTCAGTGAGCTAAGCAGAGGACTCAACAAAGACTTGAACTTTTAACTCTATTCCTGTACTTTTCCAGTTTATATTAAGAAGGACTTTATTGTTAACTGTTAACGTTTCTTTACTTTTCTGATTATTCTATTAAGGTAATGCTTAACTTTTTAAACTTTGTTTCTTTTATTACTTTGTACCTAAGTGTTTTTTGTACCTAGGTACCTTTGTACCCAAGATGATGCTGTGTGTGGCGATGTTAGACATGTTTCACTGTACTCCTGTACTTGAGTACACGTGACAACAAAATCTAAATCTAAATCTAAAATCCAAATCTATCCACTTTGCACATCCCTCAAGGTATTGAAAATTTCTATCAAACCTCCTCTCCAAGGAAAACAGTTCCAACTTCATTTCTTCACGACTGAATTGTATTATCCCTGGATTATTGCAATTTAAAAAAAATCACCTGTTTGGATATGTTATCGCGCACCGCTAAGGCAAGTGAGACTTGAACACGGACCCTTAGGCCCAGTGACAGCATTTATTGTCCAACCCTAACTGCCCTTGGCAGTTGATGGTCATAAGTTGCAGACCTTGGAGTGCATTGACAGCCACAGTGCGCTTGGAAGTGAGTTAGACTATAAGAAATAGGAACAGTACTAGGCCATTTGGCTCCTCGAGCCTGCCCTACCCTTTAACAGGATCATGGCTGATTTGCTGTTCCTCACTTTCTTGCCTTTCCCTGTAACCCTTGATTCCCCTACTCATCAAGAATCTATCTATCACAGCATTAAATATACACAAGGACTCTTCCCTTACTGCTCTCTGTGACAAGGAGTTCCAAAGACTCATAAACCTCTGACAGGAGGAATTCCCCCTCATCTTAATCTTAAATTGGCCTCCCTTTATTCTGTGACTATGCACTCTGCCTCTAGACTCTTCCATGAAGGGAAACATCTATTCAGCATTTACCCTGCCAAGCCACTTAAGAATCCTACATGGAGATAGCAAGAACTGCAGATGCTGGAGTCAGAGACATCATGGTGTGGAGCTGGAGGAACACAGCAGGTCAGGCAGCATCACAGGAGTAGGAAAGTCAATGTTTCGGGTTGGGATCCTTCTTCTGAGGGTCCCAACCCAAAACGTCATCTGTCCTACCCCTCTGACGCTGCCTGATCTGCTGTATTCCTCCAGCTCCACACTGTGTTTTCTCTAAGAATCCTATATATTTTACTAAGATCACACCTCATTCTTCTAAATTCCAACGGATAGTGTCCCAACCAGAATTCCAGGATTTAGTCCCTGTGAAAGAACAGCAATATATTTCCAAGTCAGGATGGTGTGTGGCTTAAGGGTAAACTTGCAGGTGGTATTATTGCCATGCATCTGCTGTCCTTTTCCTTTCAGGTAGAAGAGATTTTGGGTCCCAGCAAAGGAAGCTTAGTGACTTCTTGCAATGCATCTTGTAAATTGTACATGTAGCTGCCGTAATGTGTTTAGGGTGAAGAGGTGAATTTTGAGGGTTTTTGTGGATGTGGTGCTAATCAAGCCAGTTGCTTTATCCTGGATTGTGTCGAGCATCTTGAGAGTTGGAGCTATCCTTGCCCAGGTAAGTACAGGATACCCAACATATTCCTGACTTGTCCCTTGTAGGAGGTGGACAGGAGACACGTGGCACCTTAACCACTGCAGAATTCCCAGCCTCTGACCTGCTCACAGTTAGATACGATTCAGCAAATATAGTTTGTTGTTTGACTAGTCTGTGGACAGCTCTCACAGTTTTGGCACAAGGAAAAGAGGGGACTTTGCAGGGTCAACAGGGCATGTGTTATGTTCTGTATTATTTTTGACCAACATCGACTCAAATTCGATAGTGTTCATTACAAAGATTGTAGCATGGTACTACCTTTCTTGTGACTACTTGAGCCATAACTGAATTCCTCTTTCTGGCCTCTCCCAGGCAACCCTTGACTCCTTTGTCAATCAAAAACCTGTCAAATGAGTTGGCCTTGAATATATTCAATGAGCCTGCATCTGTGGAAATGAATTCCAGTGATTGACCACCCTATGATTGACAAACCCTCCTTATCTCCATCTTAAAATGAGAGATTCCTTATTTTACAAACTGTGCCCCCCTGTTTTTAGACTCCCCTATGAAAGAAAGCACTTCTCAGCATCTACTCTGTCTAGCCCCCTCATGTCTTTAAGAAAGTGAGTTCTGGCGGGTTCTGATTAATGCAACTGGACTCAGTGCCTGGAGGCAGAGTGTTGGTTACTCCAGGACTTGAGTTGCTTTCTGACATTAGCAAGGTGTTTGGAAGACAACATCATTCACTAGAATCGTGTTTGTTATAAACAAAAACATAACCCATAAGTGAGGTTATTGCCAAAGGGACAAACACCCTATGTTGAGTTCTGAGAAAGGGTCACCGGACCTGAAATGTTAACTCTGTTTTCTCCTTCACAGATGCTGCCATGTAATTAAGTAGAGTTATAGAGATGTACAGCTTGGAAACAGATTCTCGGTTCAACTCGTCCATGCCAAACAGATATTCTATATTAATCGAGTCCCATCTACCAGCATTTGGCTAAAGTCTTCCTATTTATATATCCATCCTGATGCTTTTTACAGGTTGTTATTGTTATTGGTGTGTGTATGGAATGCACTGGTGGAGGAGGCTGGTGCACTGGTGGAGGAGGCTATACCAGCCTCCTCCACCAGTGCATTCCATACACACACCACCCTCTGTGTGAGGAAATTGCCTGTCAGGTCCTTTTTAAAGCTTTTTCCTCACCTTAAACCTATGCCCTCTAGGTTTGGACTCCGTTACCCTGGTCCAAGCCCAGAGGCCAGGAAACCAAACTTCCAGTTGGGAGCACAAGCTCAGCAAATTCATGGAATCCCTGCAGTGTGGGGGCAGGCCATTCAGCCCATACTGACCCTCCAAATAGCATCCCACCCAGACCCCTATCCCTGCATTTCCCATGGCCAGTCCACCTAAGGGCACATATCTTTAGACGTTGGGAGGGAAGCCAGAGCAAACCATGCAGGTACCGGCCGAATGTGCAAACTCCACACAGACGGTTGCCTGAGGGTGGAATCGAACCCAAATCCCTAGCACCGTGAGGCAGTAGTGCTAAACACTGAGTCAACGTATGTGTATGATGTGTGTGTGTGAAAGAGAGATTTCTAAACCCCACCCCACCATCACCAAACCCGCTGTAAATTGCTGAAAACGGTGAATGTATAAAGTGGGCGAACGTGGGCTCCTTACAAATGTGTTAGTGACAGCACCCCCGGTGTTTTAGGGAAGCAGATTGCGAAATGGAGGAATATTAGAGTCATAGAGAACCACAGCCTTTCGCAATTGTGTCGGTCAAAAACAACTCTTCCAAATGTTGTTACATTTCAACCCGCCGGATACAGATGTTGCACACGGAGGAATGATCAGATGCAGCCAGTGAAGCTGTAAAAGCGGACACGGCAATAATAATGTCTCTGGGTGACTCGGCTTGCATTCACAATGTGTTTGATCCGTATTCACAGAGACATCTGTGCACAGTGGGGAGATGCTAACAGGCTGCAGGGGAGCGGTGTGTCAGTGTATACACACATTCCGGCAAGAAAAGGCAGCAGCTGAAACACAGGAATGGAGATGTCGGAAAATTTACAACCAGGGGCAGCCCAGAGAACAGGCCTTTCCCCAAGCTGGCGAGCATAGGCTTTCCTTCTCTCGGCGTCTCGGAACATCGTTTATCCACGATTTTACTCCGCCCTGAATTTAATGTTTTGGTTTTATAATTAACGCGCACATGGACTGAGATTGGGGCATCGTGCAGTCTCCGGAATCCCAACAAACAAGAAGGTACATTTTGATAGCGCCTGCAATGAAACTTGACGATGGCGCTTCGCGGGAGCTTTACACAGCACAGTCTAACAGACAGGGATCTGGAGGTAGTTGGCCAAAGGTTGGTCAGAGAGGTGGGATTTCAGAATCCCCTTAAAGAGTCATACTCATCTGTGCAGACTAGATATCCCAATCTGACCTAGTCCCATTTGGCCCATTTCCCCCGAAACCCTCCCTATTCACATACCCAACCAGATGCCTTCTAAATGTTGTAATTTTACCCACCTACACTACTTCCTTTGGCAGTTCATTTCCATACACATACCAGCCTCTGTGTGAAAAAGTTACCCCTCAGGTTCTTTTTAAATCTTTCCCCTCTCATCTTAAACCTATGCCCTCTAGTTTTGGACTCCCCCACCCTAGGAAAAAAACCTTGGCTATTCAGCCTGTCTATGCCCCTCATGATTTTATAAATTTCTATAAGGTCTTCCCCCAGTCTCTGACGTTCCAGGGAAAATAGCTCCAGTATATTAAGATGTGAGGTGGAGATGCCGGTGTTGGACTGGGGTGGACAAGATCGAAAGTCACAGAACACCAGGTTATAGTCCAACAGAAATAGAAGGTGCTGGAAAAGCTCAGCAGGTTTGGCAGCGTCTGTGAAGGAAAAAAAAAATCAGTTAACATTTCAGGTCCGGTGATCCTTCCTCTGAACACGTTTATTTGAAAACGCAAGCTTTTGGAGCTCAGTTCCTTCTTCAGGTATAGTGTGACACAGAACTTATAAGTAGAAAGTAACAACCCCAAAACTGACCGCTTCTTGTTGAAACTTTAATCAGTTAGGAAGGAGACTACTGACGTGTGTGTATGTTTGTCCTTGAGAGAGTGAATGTGAGGGAATGTATGGGTGTGAGAGTGTGTGTGTATATGTGTGAGAGACGGTCTGTGTAAGTGTGCGCGTGCGCGCGAAGCTAATAGCCAAGTTCCATACCCATGAAAATGGCCTCAATCGTGATCTTGGGTTCAGTTGCCAAACAGGTGACCCCACCACACTATATACTCCCACTCTCATACGAACACACACACACACTCTCACACAAACATACGCACACTTACACAGACCCTCTCTCACATACACTCTCTCTCACTTTCTCAAGCACACACACAGACATGCACACACATGAATGATTTCATCCAAAATAATTGTATAATTGCAGGTACATTCTGTTTTGCTCAAAAAAAACGTGACCCCAATTTAAAACATAGACAGATTCTAAGCAAGACCTCACACATTGTCTGACCTAAGATGTCACCTCTCATACATTGATAGTGGCAGGTTAAGTTGCTCCATTCGCAGCTCACTCTGCTCGCCAGTTCTCGTTCTTTCTTTCTTTCTTTGTTGTTGCGTTCTTTTTTTCTCCTTTCTTCTCTCTCCCTCTGTAGTAATTCTATCCCCACTCCCCACTCCTTTTAACTACCTACGTAAGGAATCACGTGGCGGGAGCTGAATGTGCGGGTTGTGTCCTGCAGCGACGGTGGAATGGGAGTTGTCTGGCGAGAGCAGGACACTGGCATCGGCATGGTGTGGGCTGGAAAGCCTGAGTGGGACTCTAGCGGAGGAATGGCGAGGGCTGGAAAACCCAGAGTGGGACTGCGGCAGTGAAAAGGAAAGTTGGACTCTCTTAAGTGTAAGTGCATTCAGCTCCCGCCACGTGATTCCCAGTCACGACCCGGCTGCTTCCCGACTCCTTACGTAGGTAGTTAAAAGGAGTGGGGAGGGGGGATAGAATTACTACAGAGGGAGAGAGAAGAAAGGAGAAAAAATCTCCCCTCCCCCTACCGCATTCCAAAACCAGTCCAGCTCGTCCCCGCCTCCCTAACCTGTTCTTCCTCCCACCTATCCCCTCCTCCCACCTCAAGCCGCACCTCCATCTCCTACCGACCAACCTCATCCCGCCCCCTTGACCTGTCCGTCCTCCCTGGACTGACCTATCCCCTTCCTAACTCCCCACCTACACTCACCTTTACTGGCTCCATCCCCGCCTCTTCGACCTGTTTGTTTCCTCTCCTCTATCCGCCTCCCACTCTCTCCCTATTTATTTCAAAACCCCCTTCCCCTCCCCCTTTTCTGATGAAGGGTCTAGGCCCGAAACGTCAGCCTCTCTGCTCCTATGATGCTGCTTGGCCTGCTGTGTTCATCCAGCCCTGCACCTTGTTGTCTCTCTTAAGTTATCTTTTTTTCTCTCATCCTATTCTAAGTTAATGAGAATGGCACCATGTATCTACGATGAAGGTGCACACTTTTCACTGTAATTTTTACATTGAATACACGTGACAATAAATGATTCAATGATAAAGCCTTTAATTATGTCGGGACAATGTCTTGAAAGGAATCTGGATTTTGCATTTCAATCAGTGGTCTTCTTCCTGACTGATTAAAGATTCAACAAGAGGTAGTCAGTTTTGGGGTTGTTACCTTTCTGCTTATAAATTCTGTGTCTTATACCCCCTCTCTCACACTGCACCTGAGGAAGGAGCTGAGCTCCAAAAGCTTGCGTTTTCAAATAAACCTGTTGGACTATAACCTGGTGTCGTGTGATTTTTGACCTTAAGATGTGAGAGTGGAGGGTAGTTTAAACATGAAAGGAGCCGGGGAAGGGGCTCAATGGAGTGGGGGAGGAGGCTGTGTTAAAATCAACTAAAACTTACAACTCTTAAGTGGCCAATTCACTCATTCGGAGTCCCTCTTGCATCACTCGTATTTGTCCAGAAGACTCCTTGGTCTTCCCTAGCACAGGCTTCCCTAGGAACATGGGATTAAAGGCAGCTGTTAAGGGATATTGAAAGTAAAGGCACAGCCCTTAAAAAAGGCAGTTTGCTTGCGGTGGATGAGACAGCCAAGAACTAAGACCAAGTCAAGCAGAAGGGTGAAGGACATGAGCAGCACAGCACAGAGGCAGAAGAGACACGTCTACCTGATCTCATACTTTCAGCCACCAGCTCAGACTGAAGGCAGGGTAGCATAGAGGGAGGATTGACACAAATTGCCTGCACCAAGGCAGGGAGAAAGGATTTACATACGGTGCTGGCCGAAATGGATGGTCAGCAGTCAGGAGCTGAGATCTCAGTCCAAACCCCTTGCTCTGGTGGAGAGAGACACAAATAATTCTGTGCATGACTATGAGGAGTATCCTCCATACAATCTAAGTGACAGACTGATTGCCTCAAACTCAGCAAATGAAGAGGCCATCATGACTTTGAGGATTTGCATATGTGAAGTAATAATGATAATAATAGCTGTTCAGTGGGAATGAAGTTTAACAAGCAGAATGTATTTGAATTGCCCGTAATGAGCTTTGCTTGTAAATACTTAACTGGCTATATGGGTGATTACTGGTGATGATTAGTAGTTTAAAAAAAGGAAAAAAAAGTCTGTTATTTTGGTGGTGGGAAAGTCGCTCAGTTGTGTGTGATAGCACTTCCGGGTATAAGGAAAAAAAGCAGAATTTGTGTATGCAGGGAGATAGCAACTCTGAGAAAAACCTGGCTTCAGGGCAAGGCTGGAGAAGCCTTGGAGAGGATGGGAAATTTTAGCAAGAGGAAAATGTTGGTGATGCTAGAGATCTGATGTTAAATCATAAAGTGTGCGAGAAATTCAGCATCTTGGAGAAAGGAGAAAGTTTAAAGTTTTGAATCCAACATGCCTCCTCTTCACAACCCTATAGGAAAGATATTGTTAAAGTTGAAAGAGTGTGGAAAAGATTTACAAGAATGTTTTTGGGTCTGGAGGGCTTGAGCTACAGGGAGAGGCTGAATAGGCTGGGTCTATTTTCCCTGAAGCATTGGAGGCTGAGGGGTGACCTTATGGAGGTTTATAAAATCATGAGGGGCATGGACGGAGTGAATAGCCAAGGTCTTTTCCCCAGGGTAGGGGAGTGCAAAATTAGAGGACATAGGTTTAATGTGAGAGGGAATGATTTAAAAGGGACCTAAGGGACACATTTTCACGTAGAGGGTGGTGCATGTATGGAATGAGCTGCCACAGGAGGTGGTGGAGGCTGGCACAATTACAACATTTAAAAGGCATCTGGATGAGTACACAAATAGGAAGGATTTAGGGGGATATGGACCAAATGCTGGCAAATGGGACTAGATTAATTTAGGATATCTGGTTGGCATAGAGACGTTGGACCGAAGGATCTGTTTCCATGCTGTACAACTCCATGGTTTTATGAGTCTATGAGTGGGGTAGAAAGGTGATATATTTATGCTGTAGAAAAGTGGGGGAAACAAGTGGAACAGAAGGGAAAAGTCAGGGAAAGGTTAGAAGACAAAGGAGATTAGAGATCACAGGTGTCACGACAAAAGGCAAAGGGAATCATAATGGTTATGGAGAGATAGATCCAAAGTACATGATATTATAAGGTGTTAATAGTAGAATATTGGTCAACTCTGCTGAAAGGAAACCCATACAAACAAGATACTAGAGAAATGGGGAGTTAAATGGAAGACAGAGCTCACAGTGTGCAGTTCCTGAATTTAACATGAGTCCAGAAGACTGTAAAAGACTTTAAATCGGAAAATGAGGTGCTGTTCCTCTAGTTTGCAACTGGGCTTCACTGGAGCGCTGCAGCAGGCCTAGGACAGAAATGTGAGCACGAGAGTAGCATGGTACATTAACATGGCAAGTGACCAGAACGTCAGAGTCATGTGAGAAAAGTACGTTTTGAAAAGACAAGCAATTGGAATTTATGCAAAAGTTTTGGGCTGCTATGAGGAAGTTTTTCTTCTCACATTGCTTAGCATATGTACGCTTCCACATAGGCAAAACCCTGGAGACATCAAAGAAACAACTGGCGATTACAATGCATGGATGCAGAGTGTTCTGCATGGATGAATTAGAAAGGTCAGAATGGCCTTTCACATCTATAATGAGCTTGAACTTGGCTTAGTTTTCTCAAGGTAATGTTTTCTATCCATGTTGTGACTGCACTAGGTCTTAAAGGAAGGAGGAAGGATTATAAAACTGGAAAAACTAGTTCCAGATATAACATAGTTTGGAGTTGGAGGAACACAGCAGGTCAGGCAGCATCAGAGGAGCGGAAAGTTGATATTTCAGGTCGGGACCCTTCTTCAGAAATGTGGCGTGGGGGTGGTATTTGTGAAAGGAGCTCAGAAATAAATAGAGAGGGGTGGGGGTGGGGAAGATAGGTGGGATGGTAACACAGTGTGGAGCTGGAGGAACACAGCAGGCCAGGCAGCATCAGAGGAGGAGGAAAGTTGATGTTTCAGGTCGGGACCCTTCAATTCTTACTATCTCTGAGTAGGTGGGATGGTGATAGGTGGGTGCAGATGGGGAGTGGTGGGGATTGGTCAGTGAGGTGGGAGGAGCAGATAGGTAGGAGAGAAGATGGACAGGTTGTGTCAGGTCAAGGAGATGGTGATGGGAGGGAAGGTTGGTCATAGATGTGGCTGGGGGTGGGGAGATTTTGAAACTGCTAAAAATCAACATTCAGGCCATTGGGCCATTAGACCATTTAGGCTGTAGGCTCCTGAGGTGGAATATGAGGTGTTGCTCCTCCAGTTTCTGGGTGGTGTCATTGTGACACTGGAGGAGGCCCAGGATGGACATGTCGTCCAGGGAGTGGGAGAGGGAGTTGAAGTCGTTCGCAACTGGAAGGTGTTGTTTGTCACGAACAGAGCGCAGGTGCTCTACAAAACGGTCTCTGAGCCTCCGCTTGGTCTCACCAACATAGAGGAGGTCACGTCAGGAGCAGCGGATGTGATAGACCACATTGACGGATGTGTAGGTGAACTTCTGTCTGAAGTGGAAGGTTTGTTTGGTTCCTTGGATGGAGGTTGGGGGGAGGCGTAGGGGCAGGTGTAGCACTTCCTGCAGTTACAAGGAAAGGTGCCAGGGGTGATGGGGTTAGTGGGGAGTGTGGAGCGGACGAGGGAGTCGTGGAGAGAGCAGTCCCTACAAAAGGCAGATACGGGTGGGGAGTGAAATATCTCTGTGGTTGCGGGGTTAGATTGTAGGTGGCGGAAGTGGTGGAGAATGATACGTTGGATACGGAGGTTAGTGGGGTGATGTGTGAAGACAAGGGGGATTCTGTGTTTGTTTTTCTTGGGGGGAGGGGATGTGAGGGCAGAGGTGCGGGAAACACAAGAGATGCAGTTCAGGGCATTTTCGATCACCAGAGGGGGGATATTACGGTCCTTGAAATAAGAGGACATCTGGGATGTTCACCAGTGGACCGCCCCATCTTGGGAGCAGAAGCAGTGGAGGCAGAGGAAATGGGAGTAGGGAACGCATTCTTGCAGGAAGGTGGGTGAGAGGAGGTGTAGTCTAGGTAGCTGTGGGAGTCAGTGGGCTTGAAATAGATGTTGGTTTTGAGGCAGTCACCAGGGATGGAGACAGAGAGGTCCAGGAAGGAGAGAGAGGTATCAGAGATGGTCCAGGTGAATTTGAGGTTGGGGTGAAAGGCGTTAGTAAAGTTGATGACCTGTTCAAGTTCCTCGTGGGAGCATGAGGCAGTGCTAATGCAGTCATCCATGTAGCGGAGGAAGAGGTGGGGGATAGTGCCAATGTAGCAGCGGAAGACGGACTGTTCCACGTATCCTATGAAGAGGCAGGCATAGCTTGGACCCATGCGGGTTCCCATGGCCACCCCCTTAGTCTGTAGGAAGTGGGAGTTCCATACTAGTTCCATATGGTTTATTTTGTTTTTTGCTGGTGTTCTGTACTTTACTGCAATCACTGTGATAGTGGAATGCACAGCCCTGTAGACCACTGTAGGAACAACAACATATGTAACATGCAAATATTTAGAATTTGCAATTGCAACTCTGCTAATTTGTGACAGTGGAATTTCCTCAAATGTTGACAAAAATCTATTCAGGACAACAACGTGAATTTGCGTATGTTGATAGACTGACTGCTGACTCATCCCCTAGTTGGAAAAACTGAAAACGCTTGATGTGACTGTACACCCCTCACAACTCATTGTCACTTGTACAAGGTAATTTTTAGGACATTGAAATGAGCTGTTTCCTCACTGTCCCCTATGTTGCTTCATTATTGTAAGATTGTTCATGTTATATACCATTATACTCATTCCAGAAACCACCAATTTCTTTCCAATTAAGATTTAAAGTTCAGAATGTAGGCCTTTCTGTGTGTTATGAGGAGACAGGTGGGATTGTCAATAGCAAGCATTCATGGCATTAAATTGTAAAGAAGGAGAAAATCAATGGCTCTCACACAAATCTCTAAGATCTCAGAGTAAGCACTATCTAAATAAAGGTACAATGGCCCTCTTAGCTAATATTCCTGACACAAGAATTCGATGGAAGAAGGCGTTCCTGACTGGAGGGCAGAAGAGAAGGCAGAAAGAACATTCCAGAAGGTTTATCCTGGCTGTAATTTCGAGAGATTAAGCTTTAATTTTTTACAATTAATTTGGTTTATATAAGTGGGACTTGTTATCTTTGGGAGCAGCGTATCATTAGAACTTTGTTTTATTCAGGAATAGTTAGTAGTTAAGGGGAATTGTTCAGTTTGTTAGTAGTTCTGTTAATTTGTTAACTGTTAGAGTTAAATAGATAAATTGTTATTTGTTGATTATAAAGTGAGTATCAGGGATTTCTTTCATTTAACCACTCCTGGTTTTCCATTATAATCACCATTAGTATAGAGCCAGTCTTCTTCTCACTCACTTTTTGTACTGAGAAGGTCTTACAGGTTTAGAAATTATGTTTACTGAGCTGTGAGCTCAGACCAGAGTTGTATGCGGGAAACCCAAAATTAAGGGGGTTTTAAGTTTTTCTCCCTTCCTGCAGTCAGCCTGCTGGAGTCAAAAAGTCATAGAGTCATAGAGCACAGAAACAGACCCTTTGGTCCAACTCGTCCGTGCTGAACAGACATCCCAATCTGACCTAGTCCCATTTGCTAGCATTTGGCCCATATCCTACTAAACCCTTCCTATTCAAGTACCGATCCAGATGCTTTTAAATGTTGTAATTATACCAGCCTCCACCACCTCCTTTGGCAGCTCATTCCATACACGCGCCACCCTCTGTGTGAAAACGTTGCCCCTCGGGTCCCTTTTAAATCTTTCCCATTATCTTTGAGCCATTTCCAATGGTTGGTGCCCCTCCTGCAGTTACCCTGTAAAAAGGGTTTTATATAAGCTGGTGAAAAATGAATCATAGTTCTTTCTAGCTAAAGTTCTAATGAAAGAGCTCTCTTTGACGAAAACATTTTCCTTCAAGCCATGGCTCAACATGTACAAAGTCCCACCCAGAGATTGTACTGCACAGAAGCCAGATATAGACTGGCTGCCTGTCAAGCAAGAAAGACAAATCTTTGAAAGGACTAGAGGAGCAGTTTGATCTGGGGTGGTGGGAGGAAAACAGACAGGCTTGGGGGATAGTTGAGTAGGCAAAACACTTCTGTGGTCACAAGTGGTAGAAGATATTGTAGGATTGGAAATCGGACAGATTGATGGGAGATGTTGGGGTGTAGCTTCCTGTACCTATTAGCCTGCAAGCAGTGCTGTAAAAACATTTACTTAATGGATCCATCCTGTCTCATGTCCTTTGATCTTCTGGGATTTCCAAGGGCAGGGAACCCCAGACAGCATTCGTTAAAATTGGAAAGCATGTTAAAATGGAGCCATGCAGCCTCCTTAAAGGTATTCCACTTCCTGACAGTGGATTGGCCACTTGCCTCCATCCTGTTTCCATTAAACCAGAAGTGTTGGGTGCAAGCTGAATTGGATTTGGGTTTGAAATGTTAACTTTGCACTTGACTCAAACCTATTCATTATTGGGGAGTTAAAATTACTACTCAAATTACAAAGTGTGATAGCTTGATTTGCATAATTCTGCTGTTGAATCATTATGACCTCATTACATTACATCTTATGTTTTCAGTTTGACCCACTGCAGATGGGGACACTTGAGTGAAATCTCTGACTGGACAATGCATTGCACCCAGCCTAGCGAACAAGTCAATGACCAAGGTACTTGCTAACTCTGCTTCTTTAAAATGGGCTAGACTGTGTCATTACTGGGTGGTACTGTAGGTTTCAGGGTGTACAGGTGTCTTTTAGTTGGGTTTAAATCCAGTTCTTCCTGCTTTTGGGTTTGAATGTCCTGTTCAAACTAAATTTGCTGAGTCGCTTTTAACGAACATGGACCCAGAGCAAAGGAAAAACGCTGTCCCCAGTCTGGGATTCAGCTTCATTCAGAGGCCACAGCATATGTGGAAAGTACAGGAGAGTGAATGTATTTTGGGTATGATAGTCCCGAGGCACATTGTTCAGCAAGATAGTGGGAACTTTACTCTGCATCCGTGTTTGGAGTTTCTGACAATGTATGCTGGAATTTTGAATGATTATGTTTCTGTTCGCCGCCTTCCCCCATGCGTTTTCCTTTCACTTGATGAGTGCAAAGATTTCCCACAGTCCGAAATGAACTAGGCATTAAATGGACATAAAGATCTGTAACAGGTTGAGAAGTAAAGCCACTCTCTCTCCTGTGTCATCCACCAGGGTATCTGAGGGTGGTGTTACAGAGGGGGGAGGCAGTGATCTGGTGGTAATGTCGCTGGACTAAGTAATCTATAGACACGGACTAAGTAATCTATAGACACAGACTAATATTCTGAGGACATAGGTTCAAATCCTACCATGGCAGATTGTGAAACTTGAACTCATTGAAAAAAGTTCTGGAATTAAAAGCTAGTGTAATGGTGACCATGTAACTATTGTCTATCTTTGTCTGGCTCACCAATGTCCTTTAGGGAAGGAGATCTGCTGTCCTTACATGGTCTGACTCCAGACCCACAGCAATGTGGTTGATACTTAATTTCCCTCAGAAATAGTTTAAAACGGTAATCAGTTGAAGGGCATCTTGGGATCGTCAGTAGTTGCTGGCCTTGCCAGTGATGCCCATATCCTATAGAAGAATAGGGCGGCACGGTGGCTCAGTGGTTAGCACGGCTGCCTCACAGCGCCAGAGACCTGGGTTCGATTCCAGCCTCGGACGACTGTCTGTGTGGATTTTGCATGTTGTCTGCGTGGGTTACCTCCAGTTTCCTCCCACAGTCCAAAGATCTGCAGGTTAGGTGAATTGGCCATGCTAAATTGCCCGTAGTGTTCAGGGATGTGTAGATTAGGTGGGTTAGAGGGGAATGGGTCTGGGTGGGATGCTCTGAGAGTCGGTGTGGACTTGTTGGGCCGAATGGCCTGTTTCCACACTGTAGGGATTCAATGATCAATGAAGAATAAGGAACTATTCTTGCATGGTGATCAGACTCTGATATGGCATCTAGATCCCTACCGATGATACAGCTGATTTTGTGAACTGCCAGGTTAGGGACTACTGCCCATGTGATCTGTACTTTGGAACAAAACTGATGCTTCAGTCTCAGAGGTAAGAACATCATGTATAACTGGTGTCTCCTTTACAACATTCTGTAGAAAATGGCAGATTCGAGGAGAAAGCAACAAATATCATTTTCAAGTGTTCTTCAGAACCGGTTTGCCCACTGGATGTCAGACTTACCAGAAAAGCTATGGGATAAGTCACTCTGCAATTTGGCGATTCCAGGTAATGATGAGTGGTTGATCCCAATGTTGTCTTTTGTGGTCAACAAGAATAGGATAGAACAGGAACAGGCCATTCAGCCCATCGAACCTGTTCAGACATTCAACATAATCATGGCTGACTAAACACTTTCTTTTACCCACCTCATTCTAAAACTCTGTTTGCCACCGGTAATCAGAAATCGATCCATCGCTACCTAAAATATTACTCAAAGACTGAACTTGCACAGGCCTCTGTGTAGAGAATTCCAAAGGTCTGTAGCCCTCTGAGTGAAAAACAGTTCTCCTCAGCTCAGACCCTAAGTTGCATTCCCTTTATTTTTTAAATTGTTTTCCCTAACAAGGCAAAGTTCTAGTCAACATCTTACCTGCATCTGCCCTCTCTATTCCTTTAAGTATTTTGTTGGTTTCAGTAAAATCACCTTACTGAAACTCTTACTTGAAACTCTCAAGAATACAGAACTAGTTTGCCCAAGCTCACTTCAGAGAACAGTCCTGCCACGCTGGGAACAAGTTGCATTCCCTCCATAGCAATAATATCTTTCCTGAGATAAGAATGAGAATATAGGAGGCGTGCTTAGTAAGTTTGCCATTGACACCAAAATTGATGGTATAGTGAACAATGAAGAAGGTTATCTCAGATTACAAAGACACCTTGAACAATTGAGTCAATGGCCTGAAGAGTGGCAAATGGAGTTTAATTTGGATAAATGTCGGGTATTGCATTTTGGTAAAACAAACGAGGACAGAACTTATACAATTAATGGTAAGGCCCTGGGTAGTGTTGTAGAACAGAAAGACCTAGAGCTTCAGGTACATAAGTCTTTGAAATTTGTGCCACAGGTAGACAGGGTGTTTAAGAAGGGGTTTAGCACACTTGCCTTCATTGCTCAGACTTTTGAGTATAGAAGTTGGGATGTCATGTTGAGGTTGCACAGCATGATGATGAGGCCTCTTCTGGAGTACTGTGTGCAGTTCTGGTTGCCCTGCTATAGGAAGGATATTATTAAATTGGAGACAGTTCAGAAAAGGTTTACCAGGATGTCAGAGATAACAAGGTGTAGAGCTGGATGAACACAGCAGGCCAAGCAGCAGCAGAGGAGCAGGAAAGCTGACGTTTCGGGCCTAGACCCTTCTTCAGAAAAAATCCCCTTACCAGGATGTCGCCAGGACTGGAGGGTTTGAGTTTTTAAAAAATGGCTGGATAGACTGGGATCTTTTCCACTGGAGCATAGGAGGTTGAAGGGTGACCTTATAGAGGTTTATAAAATCATGAGAGGCATAGACAAAGCGAATACCAAGGGTCTTTTCCCGAGTGTAGGGAGTTAAAAACTAGGGGACATATTTTTAAGGTGAGAGGAGAAAGTTTTTAGAAGGAAATGAGGGGCAACCTTTTTACAGAGAGTGGTTCATGTGTGGAATGAAGTGCCAGAGGGAGGGGTGGATGCTGGTACAGTTCAAACATTTAAAAGACATTTGGATAAGTACATGAATAGGAAATGTTTAGAGGGATATGGGCCAAATGCAGGCCAGTGGAACTAGTTTGATTTGAGAATATGATCGGCGTGCACTAGTTGGACTGAAAGGTCTGTTTCTATGTTGTAAGACTCTTTGACTCTATGATTCAAAACTGCATGCAGTACTATATGTGTGGTCTGTTCCTACACAATTGGAGCAAGACTTCACTGCTCCTGTACTCAAATCCTCCTGTGATAAAGACTAACATTCCATCAGCCTTCGTAATAGCTTGCTGCACCTGCATGTTAACCTTCAGTGACTTATTGATATGGACACCTCGGTCCCTTTGTGCATTTGTATTTTCCAATCTCTTACTATTTAAGACATACTGTGTACAACTGTTTCTCATACTAAAGTGAATCACGTCACATCTTTCTACATTATATTTAATCTGCCATGTTCTTGCCCATTCACTAAGCCTGTTCAAATCATCTTGAAGACATTTTACATCCTTCTCACAACACACTTAGCTTTGTTTCATCTGCAGATTTGGAAATATCACATTTTGTCCCCAAATCCATAACATTGCTATATATTGTAAACAGCTGAGGTCTGAGTATCAATCTTCGTCGTACTTCACTGGTCACAGCTTGACAAGACAAGAATGAACCATTTGTTCTTACTTTGTTTTCTGTCTGTTACCCAATCATTAATCCATGTCAGTACATTACCTGCTATCCCATCCACTTTTCTAACAATGCTCCTGCGGGCTTATTGAAAATCTAAGTATTCTAGGTTCAGTGCCTCTCCTTTGTCAATATTATTTGTAACATGTTCAAAAAACTCCAACAAGTTAATCAAACATTCTTTTCCTTCGCAAACCCATACCTAATGTAAGGTATTTAAGTGAAATTGGTGCCTTTAGTTTTATTAGACACTGGAGGAAGGCAAGGAATGTTTTATACAACTCTTGTCAGTGATTGTATCCCCATGTTTGGTTACAGAAAAGGGTGTCAGTGTTTGTATGTAATGTGAAGGGAGATAGTGAACTTAGGGAATGTCTGCAAAAGTATAGGATACTCCCTTTTCTTAACTGATTTCTTTCCCTCTCCTCTGGCATTGATGCTTATCGATTCATAATTGCTGAAAGATATCAATTGTGCTGAATGAAACAATTTTCCATTTCAGGGTTCAGAGGCTGAGGATCAAACATGGCCATATTGTAACAAAGTTTCTTCTTCTCATTAAATCCTAATTGATGCAGCTTTAACCATCCCCCTTATCCCAATAGCAGATCTTTTTCCCCATAGTAACATAGGGTAACAAGTTTACACTTGGAATTAAGGTGCTGGATTTAATGGTACAAATGTTGGGGGGTGCCCAGAAACTGAACTGTTTAGCAGAAATGTAAAGCTGGTTACAATTTAAATGCTGTAGGAGATTTAGTTCCAGCCCAGTTTTTAGCTCTTGTTGCAATAGCCTTCAACACGATTTCTATTTATTCTCAAGCAGCTATGGCCTGTTCCTGTATTTATTGTCTGTTCCCAGATATTCCCAGGGTGGCACGGTGGCTCAGTGGTTAGCCCTGCTGCCTCACAATGCCAGAAACCCAGATCTGATTCCGCTCTCGGGTGACTGTCTGTGTGGAGTTTGCACATTCTCCCAGTGTCTGCGTGAGTTTCTTCCGGGTGCTCCGGTTTGCTCCCACAGTCCAAAGGTGTGCAGGTTGGGTAAAATGGCCATGCTAAATTGCCCATAGTGTTCAGGGATGTGTAGATTAGGTGGGTGGTTGGAATGCTCGGAGGGTCGGTGTGGACTTGTTGGGCCGAAGGGCCTGTTTCCACACTGTAGGGATTCTATGATGACAATGAACATGTACAGCCTTAAGGTTGATTTGTGTTTCTATATTGTGTGTGTGAAGAAGGGAAGACAGTTGTAGTTTCATTTTTAAGTTCTGAGAATGGTGATGGGTTGCCTGGAAATGTATTTATGTGCATTAGATGAGGCTTTAAAAAAGTCTTTAGGAATACTTCTATGCTTCAAAAAACAACAAATAGAAGAGAGGAAAAAAATGGACTGCTGCTTAGCAACAAGGTGTCCTTTGACACAAGGAGAGACATAGACAGAGGGAAGTTATTTTAGAAAGGCAAAGGCGTCCAGAAGGATCCAAAAGGCATCCAAATTCTATGGTAACTGAAGTAAAATGTATGATCTATCAAGCCATATTTCACTCTATGATCTGATTTGACCATCAGCTGGGATCACAACAGTAATATGAATGATTTTGTGTCAAATCATTCGAGAATCAAGAGAGTCCAGTGTTCAAATCCCACTTTAGTAATAATACTCAAGCAGAACACTGCAGTTCTAAAGGTCCATCAGTTTCCTTAGGTGTTCAGTGGAAGGCCTGTCTGCCCACATATGTACACTTAAAATGTCACGTAGCTATATTTGAAAAAGGAACTAGTGTGGAGGACGTGAAAGAAGTAGTTTGGGTTGAGAGTTCCAAAGAGCTTGGAGTACTGATCGAAAGTGAAAGGCTGTGACTGGGGCACACAGCTGATGGAGAACCATTCAGATCAGGTGTAGTGAGGAATCCTGGTGGATGTTATCCATTGCTTTGTATTTATCGTGTATAAAATATAAATATTGTAAGCAGGAGTGTGGTTGATTCACTTGAAGTAATCGTACAAAGTTTTAACAGTGGACCTGCTTTTGTCCCTTCTAGGAAGCCATGACTCGATGACCTATTGTTTAGATTTAAACTCTCCAATCAAACCTTCAGATAAGATTTTAAACTATTTGGATCATGTAATTCCCTGTATCATTCGACCAGAGATATATAAATGGTGTAGGACACAGGTAAACTACAACTTTGCAAACTGCTTTATCAGTCCACTTTGCACCCTGATTTAGTGTTTTTGCTCTTCTGCTTATATTTCTCGTCAAGGCCTGCTGCAGTGCCCCAACAAAACTCAAAGCAAACATGAGGAACAGCTGCTTATTTTCTACTTGAGCACTTTTACAGCCTTCAGAACTGAACTCAGAGTTCAACAACTTCAGCACTTGAACACTGTCTTCCACCCCATGCACGCGCATTCAAACACAGACACACAACACACACACTCAAAAACAGACATACACAGACACACACACAGTCACACAGTATCTTGATTGCATGGGTTTGCTCTGAGCAAAGTCAATCTATTTTCCACCACTCACATCTATTATGAGCACACATTTTGCATCCATATCTCTCCTCTACTTCGATTAACTCTCCACTCGTCGTTTGCTTTGGACATTCTTACAGCTGTTCCACTTACCACTCTTCCCTTTTGTTAGCAGCATAAAACTATCATTCTCCAGCCATTTTCAGTTCTGATGAAGGGTCATACAGGATTTGAAATGTCAACTTTGTTTCTCTCTCCATAGATGCTGCCAGGCCTGCTGAGTTTTTCTAGCACTTTCTGTTATTTCAGCTGTTTGGCATCCACAGTATTTTGCTTTTGTATAAGCATTCTGGAGACCATAAGACCATAAGATGTGGGAGCAGAATTAGGCCATTTGGACCAGTGAGTCTGCTCTGCCATTCGATAATGGCTGATATGTTTCTCAACCCCTTTCCCCTGCCTTCTTCTTGTAACCCTTGATCCCCTTACTAATCAAGAACCTATCTATCTCTGTCTTAAATACACTCAATGACTTGACCTCCTGTGACAATGAGTTCCACAAATTAATCACCATCTGGCTGAAGAAATTCCTTCTCATCTCAGTTCCGAACCATCGTTCCTTCACTCTAAGGGTGTGCCCTCGGTTCCTAGTCTCTCCTACTAGTGGTAACATCTTCTCCATACCACTCTGTGCAGGCCTCCCAGTATTCTGTAAGTTTTAGTGAGATTCCCCCTTCAACCTTCTAAACTCCATTGAGTACAGATCCAGAATCCTCAAGTGCTCCTCGCATGACGAGACTTTTATCATTCTTGTAAACCTCCTCTGGATCCCTACCAACACCAGCACGTCTTTCTTTAGATACAGGGCCCAAAATTGCTCACAACATTTCAAACACAGTTCTGACCAGAGCATTATACAGCCTCAGCAGTACATCTCTGCTCTATATTCTGCTTTCTTGAAATGAATGCTAACATTGCATTTGCCTCCCTGACTGCCAACTGAACCTTAAGGGTATCCTGAATTAGGACTCCTAAGTCCTTTTGCGCTTCAGGTTTCTTCATTTAGAAATTAGTCTATGCTTCTATTCTTCCTACCAAAATCCATAACCTCACAATTTCCCACATTGTATTCCACCTACCAATTCTTTACCCACCTTAAGATCCCTAATCAGGTCTGCCTCATTACAAATCACCAGATCCAGAATTGCCTGTTCCCTAGTGGGGTCTACCACAAGCTGCTCCAAAAAACTCATCTCATAGACATGCCACAAATCCCTTTTCTTGAGATCCGCTACCAACCTGATTTTCTATGGCCACCTGTATATTGAAAGCCCCCATGATTATTGCAATATTATCTTAACGTGCCTTTTCTACCTCCCGATTTATTTTTTGCCCCATTTCCTGACAACCGTTAGGAGACCTGTACATAACTTTCAACTGTGTCCTTTTTCCTTTGCAGTTCCTCAACACTACCCAAACAGATTCTACACCTTCTGACTCTATATCACTTCTTGCTATAATTTTAATTTCATTTCTTACTAACAAAGTAACCCTGCCCCCTCTGCCCATCTACCTGTCCTGTCGATAGATCACGTATTCTTGGATGTTTAGTTCCCTGCTCTGATCCCCTTGCAGCCAGTTGCTTGATACCCACGACATTGTAAACCCCAATTTCAATCTGCGCTACAAGCTCATTTACCTTGTTTTGTATACTGTGTGCATTAAGTACAATACCCTCAGTCCTGTGCTGACTGTTTCCATTCTCATAGTTGTCCTTTTATCTGCGGTGTCTGAAATTAGATTCCTGAGCCTTTCCATACTCTCTGTTGTATTACTTGTTCTGGAAACTTTAGTAACTTCTGCTTAGCACTACCTCCTTAACATTTTCCATAAGTCTCCATACAACTGAACCTAATCGCCTCCCTTTACTATTTGGTTTAAAACCCCATCCACTGCCCTAGTTATGTGATTCACCAGGACTCTCTTTCTAGCATTAATCAGGTGAAGCCCAACCTATCAGAATAGCTCCCACTTTCCCCAGAGATAAAGGATAAAGTCAGGATAGATGTAAATCAAAGTTTCCTATAATATTGTTTCATACTGTGCATTCGCTGCAATGGGTGACAAGTGCCAGTGTGACCTTTTTATCTCATTCTCAACATGTTTCATCCTGTGGCGTCAGTCAATACTAGTTTAACTTAAAATTAATGTCAGTTTGTGCCCAAATCAAGTTTGCCCCAACCTATGTCGTATAGGGCTTCATTCCACTCATCTGGACTAGATTCCAATGCAGTTTCTGGTTCATCCAGCTCTACACCTTGTTATCTCAGTTTCTGGAGGTGTTTGGCCACTGTACAACCTTGTTTACTAAAAATCACAGTTGTGATACAAACCAGTCCCATGTAGACAGTATAGTTGTGAATTACTATTTTAGACTTTCACATGTACACACATTCTTAATGCAACATTTCACATCAAAGATCAATATCTGGTGTCATTACACTTGGGGGGTCTAGACTGAGTTCCAAAGGTACAGTTAGAGTGTGAAGATAATTGAACCAGGCTGCACTAACATCGTTTATCATTCTAGTAAACGTCTGCTGCACTGTCCAAAATCTTGATATCCTTCTTTGATTGCAGTACCAAGAATAAGACACAGTGATATAGCTGAGGCCTTACCTTTGATTACTAAGGTCACCTGAATTCCAAGTTGTTACATTTCACGCATAAGTGAGTCTGTATTGTTTGCGGTGTATTCAAATACAAGAAAGCTCCTGTTTATGCTTTTTCAATTAGTAGGAGGCACAATAGCAGGTAATCTGCTGTGATGTCTTTGTGCATGTGCTAGGTCTCATGTTTGTAATGTTGTATCTGTAAACTTTTTGTACCTCTGAATTTGTCATCCCAACTTTGTGATGTTATCTATAGGTCAGTCTGTCAGATTCTTTATACAATTTTTATTTGCTCCCTCTCCTGGCTCTCTTATCATATCAAGGGTTGGTATAAAGTCAAGCACAGGAGTATCCTAGTTCATCACTTGTACATCGGTAAATCATGTGCATACACTCTTCATGTTGAACTAATTGTTAATATACAGTGGTTTGATTTGAGCACCCCAACTCAGTGCCTCACAGCACCAGGGACCCTGGTTCGATTCCACCCTCAGGTGACTGTCTGTGTGGAGTTTGCACATTCTCCCTGTGTCTGCGTGGGTTTGCTCCGGTTTCCTCCCACAGTCCAAAGATGTGCAGGCTAGGTGGATTGGCCATGCTAAATTGCCCGTAGTGTTCAGGGATGTGTAGATTAGGTGGGTTATGTGGGATGGGCCTGGGTGGGATGCTCTAACGGTCGGTGTGGACTTGTTGGGCCGAAGGGCCTGTTTCCACATTTTAGGGATTCTATGATCTTCTATGATCTATGAAAATGCTCTTCTGGTTTTATGTGATGTGATGCTAAGCTATATAAACCACAAAATCCTTTGAGAAATTAGTTTATCGTAGCAGTTGGAGTGCTAAAGATTATGTTCACCTCCCTGAGATAGGGAGAAGAAAATAAGCAGACTTGTTTCACTCTTATTGGGTATCTAGCCAGACCTGTTAGATTATGCTCCGGTTCCCTCCCACAGTCCAAAGATGTGCAGGTTGGGTGGATTGGCCATGCTAAATTGCCCATAGTGTCCAGGGGTGTGTAGGATAGGTGGATTAGCCTTGGGAAATGCAGGGTCACAGGGATAGGGTAGGGGATAGATCTGGGAACGATGGTCTTCGTAGGGTTGGTGTGGACTCGATGGGCCAAATAGCCCTGATTCCACACTGTAGGGATTTTATGATTATTCGGTTTGTCTCTTCTTCAATTCTGTTTTGGGAGATGGTATAGTATCTGGCAAAGGCTATAGAGGGGTTTCCAGTCCTGGGCTGCAGAAAGAGGGATCTGTCCAGAGTTACTGACTGCTGTTGATGTGAGAAGTAGCTTATGAGCAATAGGAATATCTGGGATAGAAATTGTGCTTCAAGTACACTACCTCATACCTGTCTACTCATCTTTTCACCATTCCCTACCTTCCTTTCTCCATTTCTTGTTTCCTTTAGCTGTAATGACTCACTGCATTTCCTCATCTGCCTCTGAAACAGCGTTCTGTTACATTCCTGTAAGCTATACATTAAGTACATGTTTAAAGTAAAAGGTACTTCTACGGTATATGTATGAAGCCTTTTACAATGCTTTATGGCTAAGGAAGTACATATTGTTGTCATCGCTATAATGTAGCAACATATCTAAGGTTTTAATTTTATGTTTCGTAGTGAAAAAGGAGCAATAACCAAAATCCTGTTCTTCATACAATAGGAATCCAGTATAAGTGAACAACTGGAAGCAGGTATTCGGTTCTTTGACTTAAGGATCGCTCATAAACCAAATGATACTTCAGATCATTTATACTTTGTACATGGGATCTTTACAACTGTAACTGTTCTGGTAAGTCTGGCTAAAAAGTGAAGTATTATCAGGAAATCTGATTTGAAATATAAATGGTTTGTTGGATTATATGCTGCCACTTGATGTTTGCAGTTTGTCTTTATTTCTTCTCAGTTATATTGGAAACAATGATTCAAAGTGCTCATAATGCAGAACACCATCATGTTAAGGGGAGTGGGAGGATAAGTCAGCATTTAGGTTAAATGGATCTTAACTGTGATAATTGCATTCCTCTTTTCAGTGTAATAGACATTTTGAAAAATTTGTATTTTAAAGGAGACTTTGAAGGAATTTGGACTTTGGCTGGAAGCTCATCCTAAGGAAGTGGTAATATTGGCCTGCAGGTCCTTTGATGGGATGAATGAGCAACAACATCAGGGGTTAATTCAGGAAATAAAGAACGTATTTGAGTCCAAAATGTATCCAAAAACCTCTGCTGTAAGTAAAATTGAACAACAATAGATAAGATGAGTTGCAGGTGCCTTTTCCCTAGGGTGGGGGATTTCAAGACTCGGAGCATATTTTTAGGGTGAGAGGAGAATGATTTTAAAAAAGACATGAGACGCAATTTTGTTTTTTTACACAGAGTGGTTTGTGTGTGCAATGAACTTCCACAGGAAGTGGTGGATGTGGTTACAGTCACAATGTTCTAAAGACATATAGATAAGTGCATGAATAGGAAAGGTTTGGAGGGATATGGGCCAAGCGTGGGCAAGTGGGACTAGTTTAGTTTGAGATTATGGTCGGCATGGACTGGTTGGATTGAAGGGACTGTTTCTGTGCTGTATGACTCTATGAAGCTATAACTTCTATAACTAGCAAAACCATAATTAAAAAAGACCATATACATTAATTTTACAAAACTGTGATGTAAAGAAAATATGGGAAAGGGATATGGGAAGATTTATACACACCAACTAAGACCAAATATGCATCAAGGCAGGTGTATTCCAGATACGGACTTAAATCGTGTTGCCTGGAAATCAGTTAAGTTTCTGGATCGATTAGTAGATGCATCTCTAATGCACATGTTTTTTTTTACAGGAACTGGCAACACTAAGAAGGCTTTGGGAGTTGGGTTGCCAAGTCATCATCTCCTATGATGACAATATTGCAAAACAATATCCAGAACTTTGGCCTGGAATCCCTTATTGGTGGGCAGACACATATGATCCTAAATTGCTCGTCCAGTATCTAGAAAACCAGAAACAGGCTGGACGACCAGGTGCGGAAAATATGATCCTTTTAATAAACATAAAGTGTTCCAAATGTGGTCACCTCAGTGCATGTTTATGAAATTGACCATGTGACTAGAAATGGTTTTCAGAAATCTTGCCCATTAGTTGAAAAGAAGGGAACCTTTATAAATTTCTGGTTAGGCCACAACTGAAGTATCGTATCCAGCTCTGGTCACCACATTTTAGGAAGATGTGAGAATTCTGGAAAGTGTGCAGAGTAGATTAATCACAATGCCAGGGATGGGGGATTTTACCTACCATGTTGAGAAGCTAGGCTTGCTCCCCTTGGAGCATAAGGGATTGAGGGTAAATTTGATAGAAGTGTACAAGAGAATAACAGGTTTGCAATAAGGTGGACAAAGAAAAACTGTTCCCATTTTGAGAGCAAGGAACAGTGGTTTAATGTTTTAGGCAACAGATGAAAGGGGCCGTGAGAAAGGATATTTTAATGCAGCAAGTGGTAATGACTTGGAACTGGCTGCTTATGAGTGGTGTAAGTAGAGATGGTCAATGATTTCATAACGAAATTGAAACAAAAGGGCTCCTGAAATTTGCAAGATTACGGTGGCAGAATGGGGAGATGGGACTGACTGGATTGCTCAATGGAGAGCTGGCATGGACTTGATGTTCTTTTCATTTGTTCGTGGGATGTAGCCGTTGCTGGCCAGCATTTATTGCCCATCCCTAACTGCCCAGATAAGAGTCAACCACATTGCTGCAGATCTGGAGTTCACAGGTAGGCCAGAAGAATGGTAGACTTCTTTGTTAAAGGGCATTAGTGAACCAGATGGGTTTTTACAACAATTGGCAATGATTACATGATTACTATTAGACTAGCTTTTTTATTTCAGATATTGTTGAATTCAAATTTCACTATTTACCATTGGTAGGGTTCACACCCAGGCCTCCAGCAGCTTTGCTAGTCCACTGCCATTACTACAACACCACTACCTCCCCACTGAATGGCCTCCTTTGGTGCCATAAATAACTGCATGAATACCTGAGATGTTTGGTTTATCAATCTCTCCCAAAGCAGAATGTGTGACTGATGGGATGAAATTCTCAGCCACCAACCAGCCTTGCTCGCTGCATCAGCAAAACAAATTATGAGGGCTGACATTCATAGACCTCTGGAAATTCCAGGCATGCTGTCCAAGATTTCCTACGATGGAGCGATATAGCCTAGAAAAGCACTGGGTTTGATTCCTAGTGTGTGCTGATCTCAAGCAAAGCAGCATTTATCTAATTGAAAATGTAGAAAATTTCTGACAGGGTTTCATCAGAACCAGAAAAACACATTCCAACCCAAGTGCATTGAGGGGGAGTGGGCTAGGTAGGAAGAACACAAGGGAAGGTCTATGGTCAGCTGGGATACAGGAAAGATTAAATGACAAAAAGATAACTTTGCGAGGCTTCGACAACGAAAGAAATAAAATGGAATAATCATCAGTTGCATCTGATAAACAAAAAGGGAGCAGTGTTTATGATCTGAAATGTTAAACTTAGTATTGAATCTGCATGGCTGCAAAGTGCTCAGTTGGAAGGTGAGACACTGTTCCTTAAAAAAAAAATATTGAGCTACAGTGGAACTGTTTAGGAAGCTGAGGATGGAGAGGTGAGAATGGGAGATTTAATGTGTCAAGCACCCAAAACATCAAGGTGATGCTTAATAAGGGTCAGTGTGTTATAATATTTGCTACAAGGAGAATATCTTGTAATATCTTCAAAGTTATATTTTGTTGAATACTTTGTCTTTTTTTTAACATATAGATGGATTTTTCGTTGCTGGTATAAACCTGACGGAAGATTGGTGGTACATCCTTACTCATCTTCACAGCTCTTTGAAGAGACTGACTTTTCCTAACTATTCATATTTGAGTGACTGGATTAAGAAGCAGGTTGCAGGACCAGGAGAGCACTGTTTTAATATAATTGCTGGAGATTTCATAGGAGCTGGCTACCTAGTACCTGCTGTACTTTGTCTCAACAACATATTGATTTAAAAATTGGCAAATTTTACTGAAAAAAAAACTGGAAGGTATTTTTGTAAGAGACCGTAAGATGTCACCTTGGCTTGGTGAACTCTGTGCTGGGAATTCAGGTGTTTTGCATTGCTTGGCTGTATCAACCTGTAGCCAAGTAATGGCTCAAGGTGAGAGCTGCCAGCTAATCAGGTGGTGGCACTGCTGGGACTACTGACAACCGGCTCACCCACCCTCCCCTCCAGAAAGATGGGCTTACCTTCAAAGCTGACAAACCCTGGTGAAGGACATTGGAAATGGGGCCAGATTTGTGAGAGTGGGGGAACTGTTTTTGCTGGTGTGGGCTTCCTTTGGGAAAAAAGTTAGAATTATAGAATCCCTATAGTGTGGAAGCAGGCCATTTGGTCCATCAAGTTCACACTGACCCTCTGAAAGCATCCTACCCAACCCTAACCCCATCCCCATAACTTATCCCTGTAAGCCTGCACATTTTTGGGCTGTGGGAGGAAATTGGAACACCAGGAGGAAAACACGCAGACACGGGGAGATTGTGCAAACTCCACTCAGTCACCCAAGGATGGAATTACCTGAACCAGAGGCACTCACTCACCCCAGCCTGGCAGTTAAGGCCTCCAAGATGATTGGTTCTGTAACTCTCTACCAAATTCTCAATGGCTGCTGGAGAAGGAACATATGTAGGCGTTAATCGGCCAATGAAGTGGCTTTAACCATGGGAGGGCAGGTCACCCTGACACCTCTCCACTGTGGGTAAAGTAAGCCACTGACATGATGCCCTACTTTACGCCCAGTCTCCCACTCCCTTCAACCTATCCAACGAAGTGCAAATTTCCAGCCTAAATCTGTAATTTGCAGTTAAACTTCAATTCCAGGAATTAAACTTCATAACCTAGGACTGGGCAAGTGCTATATTGTTGGATTTTCTGTATGGTGGATGAGATGTTTATTATGGCCAATTTAAGCTTATTCAGATACACCTAAAAAATCCCATGGCACTGCCCTGGCATGTCCAGAGGCTTCCTGGCCATCATCAGTCTCCTCAAGTCATAGAATCATGCAGGCCAGTAGGAGGCCATTTGGTTCCATTGTGTCTGCATTTGCTTTGTGAAAGAGCTATCCAATCAATTACTCCAAAGAAGATTCTTTAGCCACAAAGCATTAACTCTGTTTCTCTCTATCTCTCTCCACAATTGCTGCCAGACCTGACATTTTCTATTTTCCAATTAATGCCATCCCTACTCTTTCCCCATAATCCTGCAATTTCTTTTTCATTTTATAGATTATATCCAATTCTCTTTTGAAGGTTACTGTTGAAACTGATTCTACCATTCTTGATGACAGTGCATTCCGGATTGTCATAACTCATTGCAGAAAGAAAATTCTCCATTTTCATCATAAAAACAGCTGAAATGGTGATTGCTGCATTTCAGACTTTACTACATGCAGAAAGATTACATTCCATTGGATGAAAACTTAAATAATAGGCAGCCCATGTTTTGATTTAGGGGTTTAAAAACCAATGATTGGCTGGAGGTTAGTCCTGTTGTTATCCCAATACAACAAAATGCATGACTGCTACACCAATATTGTGGTTATTTCCTTTGCCTCTACAGATGCTGCCAGACCTGCTGAGCTTTTCCAGCAATTTTTGTTTTTGTTTCTGATTTACAGTATCTGCAGTTCTTTCGGTTTTTAGTTAAACATTAAATATTAGCTTTCAAGTATCATGAGTCTTCATCAGAACTGGAGCTTTTTATAATGCTTGTAAAAGGCAACTTCCTCTCCTTCTTTTATCTACAAATGAACAATGTACTGATCAACAGAAAGAATAAAAACAGATGCAGCATTCGCCAACCAGTCATTATTATCTCTCTTCCAGAGATTCATGAGTTCTCAACATGTGGTAAGGCTCAGAAAGAAATATACTTGCCAGGGAAATATATTTGAGATTGTTAAATATTATATTATTGCACAATAGTCTTTTGAAACATAAAACGCATGAAATATCTCCTGTCCATGTTAAGGTACACAGGAGATCAGTGTTTTCCCTCCATTATACTGAACACAATGAATGAAATTTTTTTAATCTGATGTTTGTGCAAATATCAGCAGCCCCACAGTATGTGATATTCTTCACATATCAGCATAGCCAGTTACTGATGAGAGATTAACTGACTGTGAGGTCATTGAGTCATACAGCAGAGAAACAGACCCTTCAGTCCAAGCCAAACATAATCCAAAACTAAGCAGTCCCACCTGCCTGCTCCTAGCCATTATCGCTCCAAACCTCTTCTATTCACGTACTTATCCAAATGTCTTTTAAATGTTGTAACTGTACCCATATCCACCTGTTCCTTAGAAAGTTCGTTCCATACGCGAACAACCCTCTTGTGTAAAAAATGTGCCTCGTGTCTTTTTTAAAATCTCTCTCCTCTCACCTTCAAAATGTACCCCCTAGTCTTGAAATTCCCCGTCTTAGGCAAAAGACAACTACCATCAACTCTATCTACACCTCTGATTATTTTATGAACGTCTAACAGGTCACCTCTCAACCTCCAACGTGCCAGTGGAAAAGAGTCCCAGCCTTCCTTTATAACTCAAAACTTCCATACCTGGCAACATCCTGGTAAATCTCTTCTGAACCCTCTCCAGCTTAATAATATCCATCCTGTAACTGGGCGACCAGAACTGGACACAGTATTCTAGAAGAGGCCTCACCAAAGTCCTGTACAACCTCAACATGACTTCCCAACTCCTATACTCAAAGGACTGAGAAATGAAGGCAAGCATGCCAAATGCCTTTTTAACCATCCTGTCTATATGTGGCACAAACTTTAAAGAATTATGTACCTGCACCCCAGGTCCTTCTGTTCTACAACACTATCGAGGCCCTACCATTAATTTTATAAGCCCTACCCTTGTTTGTTGTACCGAAATGCAATACCTTGCATTTATCCAGATTGAATTCCATCTGCTATTTGTCAGCCCACTGACTTATTTGATCACGATCTCTTTGTAATCTTAGAAAACCAAAGTCCACCATTTTTCAGCATACATTTCTGGGTGGTGATCAGTGGCTGGAACCTTGGCTCACTACACTTAATGCAATCAATTGTGACTTTACCACTTTCATAAGGATATCATTTTATTAAGCTTTTACTTTATTTAAGTACTTAAACTTTAGAGATGTTATATCAGTACTGTTGTGCAACACCATCACAATCTCTTTGACTTCACCATAATGCTACTCCATTCTGAATTTATTTTAAAAACAAGCTTCATCCTTGGAATGAGACAAACCGAGTTCCTATCTGTTTGTCCCATTGATGAAAAATTCCATGGAAAAAAGTGGGGAATTCTTCCAGTATCATAGTCAATAATCTTCCTGGAAGGGAAACCACTGAAAGAACTGGCTCATTGTTTATCTCATTCCTGTTGCAGGGGCTTTGTTTGTGTGCAAACCACTTAAGTTTGCCTACAGGATGATGATTTCTGCACTTCAAAGTAATTCTTTGGCAGTGAATCCTTTTGGAGATGCACATCAGAGATGCTATTCACAAATAACTTCTTTCGTGGAGAAAAATGGTAAAATTCTCTACATTGGAAATTCATTTCTTTTCCCTCATGGTTGGAACAGCTTCTTGTATTTCCCATAAGCGGAGCTGCTGATGATCACTCTCACATTAGCCAAACCATCTTCTGGCAAAACGTCTACTCCCTGCACAGTGGCTTCCTTATACAACCAGCTGAAATGATCAAAAGAAGTAGTGTTGTATGTCAGCATCTTTCCATTAGCCTCCCCATGAATTAACCCATCAGAGACCATTTCTCCATATCCTCCTGAATAAACAACCTTCACTAACTGTTTAAAAATGGTCTTGCAAATGCACTAATTTTCATCAGATATATTTTAAAGCCATGCACTTGCACTGAGATTTCTTTCTTACCTCAGTTGAGGCCCAGCCAATTCTACTTGAATAGTGCGGATCAGTCTTCCTGTTGCTTGTAGAACTGCCTCTTCGATTTTCTTTTTCAGTTCTTCCATGCCAAGCCCATGTAGCGCTGAAACTGCAACAGTGTTTGGGTCTGTGGGTTGGTATCTTTAATAAATGGGGGAAAAAAAATCAGCTTTACATAGAGTCTGATCACAGGTTAATGGGAAAGATGGTTAACAGAATAACTTTGAACTGATTGAATAAACACCAAGAGTCAGTGGTGAGAAGACAGCAGGCTTGATATTCCTGCAGGATGACTCAGAATAAAGGCAAAAAGAGATTTGCCAGGATGTTGCCAGGTATGGAAGGTTTGACTTATAAGGAAAGGCTGGATAAGCTGGGACTTCTTACACTGGAGTGTAGGAGGTTGAGAGGTGACCTTATAGAGATTTATAAAATCATAAGGGTTAATGGTAGGGAGGAGGATTTCAGGACCAAGGGGCACATTTTTAAGGTGAGAGGAGAGAGACTTAAAAAAGACATGGGGGCAATTTTATTTTTAAACACAGTGGGTCATTCACATGTGGAATGAACTTCTTGAGGAAGTGGTGGATGTGGGCACTTACAATGTTTAAAAGACATTTAGATAAATGCATGAATAGGAAAGGTTTGTAGGGATATTGGCCAGGAGCAGACAGGTGGGACTAGTTTAGTTTGGGATTATGTTCAGCATGAATTGGTTGGACCCAAGGGCCTGTTTCCAGGCTGAACGACTTTATGACTCTATGAAAGGCTTTTCTTTTAAAACCTGAATCCACTGAATTGCCCCAATGGCTAAATAATCCATCTTTTCTAGGTCCATTGCAAGTCAGATTCTTGTACTCACAAAATGAAGGAGTTGATAAAGATGGAGAAGAGATATTTCAAGTTACCTGTTGGAGGAAAAGAAATTTGGGAAGGGTATCTTTTTTTTAATCTTTCAACTAATATTTTATTTCTCACTGTTTCCAACTAATAAACACTTGTTTATTCTTGGAATCCTGGCAGTAGTTATTTTCTTGAGTTCATTAAGAGTTAACCATGTAATGCCAACTTGCAGGCTTGGCCAGAACAGGAACAGCAGGTTCCCAATAACAATCCTGCAGAAATCAAGGCTATTTTTATTGCTGCAAAATCATTAATGATCAGATTTATTGAATTTAATTCTCAATTTTCCATAATGGGGTTTCAATTTATGGTCTCCAGATTGCTATACCAGTACAATTAGGTTACCATTCCCAGCAACAGAATATTTCAGTTTACCTGACATTTTGAAATATAGCTTTGGGACCTTGTTAATTCGTAAACCATCATCAAAACACTGTTGTTGTCTCAAGTCCATTTTACCTCCAATTTCTATTATCAGAAACATGGGGAACAATTCCTCATGTGGGACCAATGGTACTTCAACCAATATCTTCACAGGACCTGAGTTGGAAGTCTGTTGATTGAATGATTGTCATGCGTACTGAAGTACAGTGAAAAGTTTTGTTTACAAGCAGTACAGGCAGATCATTGTAAGCATGGTTGTACAGATCAAAAAGACAGACAGATACATACAAGTTACATTGCACAGGGTGGCACTAGGCGAAAATCAACGTTAGCAAGATCCAGCATTATTTGAAGCTAGAGAGTCCATTCATCAGTCTAATAACGGCTGGGAAGAAGCTGTTCCTGAACGTGCATGTGCTTGTGTTTAGGCTTTTGTATCTTCTGCCTGACGGAAGAGATTGTAGGAGATCATTACCGGGGTGGGATAGGTCTTTGATGATTTTAGCAGCCTTTCTGTGGCATCAAGTCATTTAAATGGAGTCTGTGGATGGAAGTCTGGCCTCTGTGATGGTCTGGGTTGTGCAGACAACCTTCTGTACTTTGTTATGATCCTGGGCAGAGCAGCTTTCATACCAGGCTGTTACGCACCCGGACAGTATGCTTTCAATGGTGTGTCTGTAGGAGTTGGTGAGGGACCTTATGAACATGGCAAATTTCCTGAGCCGCCTGAGGAAGAGGAGGTGTTGTTGTGCCTTCTTGACTGTCACATCTACGTGGGAAGTCCAGGACAGATTGTCTGTTATTGTCACTCTCCACCCCCTCAGCCTCAGTTCCATTGATGTAAATGAGGGCGTGTTCTCCTTCTTTCTTTCTGAAGTCAATGATCAGTTCTTTAGTTTATCTGACGTTGAAAGACAGATTGTTTTCATTGCACCACGTCACCAAGCCCTCTATCTCCCTTTTGTATTTTGACTTGTCGTTGTTAGATATCCATCCCACAACAGTAGTGTCATCAGTGAACTTGTAGATGACATTCATTCGGAATTTGGCAACATCGTCCTGGGTGTATAGGGAATACAGTAGGGGGCTGAGGACACATCCTTGGTGGCCCCAATGTTGAGTGTTATTGTGGAGGAGGTGCAGGAACCTATCTTCACTGGTAGCTTTCTGATCCAGTTGCAGAGGGCGGAGCTGAGACCGTCATGGGTTTTGAGATCAGTCTGGAGGGGATAATGGTGTTGAAGGCAGAGCTGTAGTCAATGAGCAGGAGTCTGATGTAGGTATTTTTGTTGTCCAGATGTTCCAGGGATGAGTGCAGCACCAGGAATATGGCATCTGCTGTGGACCTGTTACATCGGTAGGCAAATTGTAGGGGATCGAGGCCGGCTTGGAGACTGGCGTTGATGTGGGCCATGACCAGCCTCTCGAAGCATTTCACAATTATTGAGGTCAAAGCCACCGGGCGGTAGCCATTAAGGCACACTGCATGTGCTTTCTTAGATTGGGGGATGATGGTTGTCTCCTTGAAGCAGGTGGGAACTTTGGCTTGTAGGAGGGAGAGGTTGAAGATGTCAGTGAATACCTCTGCCAGTTGGTTTGCACAGGATCTGAGTGCTTGGCTGGGGACACCATTGGGCCTGTCGCTTTCCTTGGGTTGACTCCCAGGAAGACCGATCTGACTTCTGTGGTGATGACAAAGGGAACTGGTGTATCTGGGGCTGTCAGAGCAGGCGTCACCATGCCAGTGGTATTCTGCTCAAACCGAGCATAGAGAGCATTAAGCGTGTCAGATAGTGTATTGTCTGTGTCCATTATCTCGCTTTGCTTCATTCTACTTCACAACAAGAGTTATTGCTACCAAGCTCAGTTGTGTCCTCATCTGCCAAGCATTAACTGTTTGCTCCCTGCCAAGTGAGGATCAGGATTCAGCTAGTTTTTCCTTTCCTTCGAGAGATCAGAGCTGAGGCCAATATTTCCTTTGCTGAGATGAGCTACATTAGGGTTTCTTCCTGCTCCTTCTACGCTATATGACCACATGAAGGCCAGTGACCAAGAATATAGGCAAACTGAGATAACAAGGTGTAGAGCTGGATCAACACAGCAGGCCAAGCAGCATCAGAGGAGCAGGAAGGCTGACGTTTCGGGCCTAGACCCTTCTTCAGAAAATGATGCTGCTTGGCCTGCTGTGTTCATCCAGCTCTACACCTTGTTATCTCAGATTCTCCAGCATCTGCAGTTCCTGCTATCTCTGAAACAATATAGGCAAACTATTGAAATATAAAATCTGACAACCTTATATAAACAAATGCATAATTTGACATTACAATTTGGGATTAAAATCCATGTGGACTCTTATAAAAATCTTAACGGAAAAAAGGAAGTAGTAGAGGTCACAGGCATATGCATATTATATCAGCTGTTTGTTGTGTGTGAACATTAGAATGTTCTTACCCTTCTACGAGATCAATTTTATTGTGGACTTCAATAATGGAATCCAAGAGTTGGTTTGGGAGTTGGAGATTCTGGAGAACATTCAAAACGTTGACTTTTTGGTTCGTGCTTTCAGGATGACTGATGTCTCTGACATGAACGATTACATCCTGGATACAGATAAAAAGGGGGGTTCATATAAACCATGTAATTCATGTAACTGCTGATTTCTCATTTGTTATCTGTAACAATCACAGTCAAGCTTATTGCCATGAGGTCTAGAGTCACAAAATATTACAGCATAAGTGGCCATTTAGCTTTGTCACTGATTCAGCTGCCAATGGAAATAGCTTTTCCTTTTCAAGTTTTATAATTTTGAATACATCTGTTATTTCACTTTTAACTTTCTCTGCTGTAGTGAGATTCTCAGCTTCTCTAATCTTGCATCTCATCACTAATGACTTGCTGAATCTCTTGTGTATCTTCTCCATGGCACTGATCCATCATAAAGTTGGCTTCCAAAATTAGACGTAATATTCTAACCAACCAAATACAACAGGCTGGATTTTCTGAGGAATGGCAATCACATTCAGATTCCCACTCTGCTTGTTTTTTGTGTTAAGAGCGAGCTCTGTATTCCTGACATGAGATTCTGATCAGGGCTTCTTCAGAAATGCAGTGCCTTACTTTAAATCTGACAGGTACCTCAGTGCAGGATAGTCGCGGGAAGACAAATCACATGCACCATTTCCACAGGAGTCAGTCATTATTCTATAATTGAAATGTCCAACTTTTCGGACAGACTCTATGACAGTTCATATGAAAAGCCAAGTAAATAAGGCAAATATGAAGTTCGGGTGCCAGGTGGGTAGAAGGCAGGGAGCAAGGTGGGACAGGGGCCAGCTTAGTGATGGAGAGATTAAGGTAGGTTGGGACAGGCAAGATTGGGTTGTTGGGTTCCAGAGGAGGAAAGAGAAGTGGAGTTTGGGTCCAATGGAGGCGGTGGCGTGAAGGGGTGTGTGTGTGTGCGTGTACATGCATGCACGTCTGGTTAAATGATGGGTCCTGGATGGGGTGGTCCTGGTATTTTGGTTTAATATTACTCAGGTGTTAGACGAGGTACTTAACTGCATTAGAACCTTCAGAAATTTTAGTTTTAAATGGATACTTTCAGAGGGTTCCACGTGAAGGGAAATTGCTCAGCAGAATCTTCAATTTCTTAGGCAATTTTGTGGTTGGTTTGCACTGATGATGTTACCCAACAGGGTAATGAAACATCTGCGGAACAACGAATCAGCTCGGCGAGCCAACCAACCACAACATTCACAATCCGAGCTACAAATCAACTCTAAAAATTTCAGACAATTTCCTAAGAGTCTGCAACATTGGGAGTTTTGCACTGTCCTGATGTGGAACTCCCACTTTCACTGCAGAAATGGCTATCTGACTATATTAAGAATGTCCTTTACACCTCAAAGTTTTGGAAGTAAAGTGTCAGATCATCTTAAACACTGCTTCTCCATACTATTGTAATAAATAACAAACTATGGCTATGAAATCATGGTTATTGTAAAATAGAATTTCATCCAAATTAACAAAAGGGAAGTGAAAATTTATCTTAAGTAGGTTTCAAATGAACACACGTTTTTACATTCATCCAGGAGGGTGTACAGACCCTCTGTTCAACATCCTTAGGGTAAGATATGAAACAAAGGCCCCTTCTGCCCCCCTGTGTTTCCATAAAAGATTGCATGGCACTATTGCTTTGGAAAGTAGGAGAATTATCCCCAGTGTCCGAGTTAATATTTATCCCTAAATGAATATCCCAAAAGTGGAAGTTTAATAACCATTAACCATTGTTGTTTGTGGGCCCTGGAACTGTCTGCAATAAAACAGTGACAGCACTTCATAGAGAAAAAGTGCTTAGTTCACTTTATAGTACCTCAGAGCAACCCAAAGTTGTGGAAGGTGCTATATAAATGAAGGTTTTTTAAAAAATGTGTTGCCAAATATATTCACTATGGACAACATAAGGTGCTGCACAAATAAAAAGTTCTCCCACCTTCTCTGGGCTGAATTTACTCTAAATTTTTAATGAAATTCAATCCTTGTAAGAATATGGATGAGCCTCATTTAATTTATTTCCATATGACACATGCTGATAAAGGACAGCAAATAAGGGAGTTGTGAAACGTTAATGGCCTGCTAATAAAATACTGCTAATAAAAGCGAAATATGTACTCAGCTGTTGGTCATTCAAAGGATGTGTTTTGAATATATCAGACATCCAAACACAGGATCCTATTTTGCTGAGTCCTGTCCACGGACTTTCCTAAATAACATAATCTGCTGAGTTAAAACAGAAGACGTGGTAAAGAGTTCAGGGTTTGGTAGCTTTTAAATAAAAAGCCATGCATACAGGGAAAAACAAAAATAAGACTTACTGAATAGGCCACATCCTCTAGAGTTGCTGAGAAGGATTCAATTAGGTTGTGGGGAAGCTGTGAAAGAAATCCAATTGTATCGACATAAAGAACAATCAGGCGGCTTGGCATCAAGCCGGCATGGGTGGTAACATCAAGGGTAGCAAACAACTGATCTCTCGGGTGAAGGCCTGAGTCTCCAGTCAGAGCTTTGATTAGGGTCGTTTTGCCTGAATGGAAAGATACGAAATGCAGCAGATTTCAGTGTTCCATTACTCTGTGGTAAGAAGATACGTTTTTGTGAATTAAACAAACCTAAGAAATAGGGGAAGTTCCTTACACCTACTCTGCTAGTTATACTTGATCTTGAGTATCAACTCCACTTTCTCACCACGTTTCCATAATCCTTTGATTTCCTTAGCGATGAATATACTGAAAGCTGAAGTAGTTTTAAATGCTGTATCTAAAACCTTCTGGGGTACAGAATTCCAAAGATTCACAAACTTCTGAGTGAAGAAACGTTTCCTCCTCTCACTCTCAGATGATCGACTCCTTACCTTGAGGCTATAACCCCTTGTTCTAAATTCCATTTCGTCAAATCCCCTCATAATGTTAAACATTTCAATGAGCTCACCTCTCATTCTTCTAAACTCCGTAGAACATAGATCCAATTTACTCAGACGATGCCCCACTGCATTTAACAATGTGTTTACTCCAACAACGGTGCTTGAGGAGAAACCAAACCATTTTTGCATAGACGCTGCATAATTAAAATGTGCTATAGTCTACAGGGGGTTGTAATGAAGAGAATGATCACTATTTTCAGATTTACGGTAACAACTAAGGAGAAGCATGCATTCATCTCCATTCATTGATTTAAATGAGCGGAAACAATATTTTCCCATTTTATACTGATTTTTTTCTTTCTAAGAAAATTCAAGAGGCAGAAGAAACTATATTGCCTGGATTTTCTGCACTTTTTAAGCAATTCTCATGAACAGTGAATAACCTTTCAGCAAAGGACAACAATATTAATTGCAGCTTTTTCCTGACAAATGCAGAATGGAAACTCACCACAATTTGTGTAACCCATGACAGAAATAACTGGGAACTCTCTGCGCTTACGCTTAGTCCTCAGCAACTGTCGTTTCTTCCTTAGTTTTTCTAGCACCCCTCTAATCTTCAATTCCCTTTCTTTAAGGAGGCGTTGTTGAACTTCCATGAAGGTCTCACCTGAAATTAATAATTTGATTAAGACAAGTGAATGCATCGTCACTGTTTAAAAAATCTACTCTTTCAGAAACGCCAACATTTGTTGTCCATCCCCATTTAGGGATGATGGCTTGTTTGGCCATTTCAAATGGCAGTTAAGAGTCAATCAACAGTACTATGGGTCCAAAGTCACACCTAGTCTACAGCAGGAAAGGGTGGCAGATTTTCTTCCCCGAAGGACATCAGTGAACCAAGTCAGTGTTTACAACAATTGAATATATATTCTACAAAAAAATCGCCACTGAACAATTTTTGGTCCAAAACCAACTTATAAAATGTACTAAATTGAAAGGAATGTTTAAATGTATGAAGATATTTGACACCCAACTTATTGTCTAATCTACACTACAGTACTGCAACAAGTCTGATTAATAAGAACAAGCTACCAAAATTAGAGCCAGGCCTGATAGACTATTGACAGTGTATTAGGTCTGGGGAGAGAGACATGGAGAACTTATTCATCCATCTTCTCAGAACCCTGGGAAATCCCTACATCCCTTGCTAATTACCAAAAACTATACAAACACTATTACTGACTGATTGTAAATTAAAGTATTCAATAATTGTGATAAATTTTATGCTAAACAATATTTTTGACATTTAGTAGACTACACCTCAATTATCAGCAGCTGAGAGGTGACATGATAGAAAACTACAGTTGTGTTTCATTGCCTTAAAGGTTTTGAAAGAAAATAAGTGGGTAAAAAGGTAATTTTCTGCAGAATTCTAAAAGACCACAGGCTGCTGCGTGAGAAATAAAAGATGAATATCTTAATAGAATCTGAGGCCCAGAATAGTTGGAGACAAAATAACAGAGTAGGAATCTATTATGTTTCTTTTACTATGGTTGAATTTGGTATGGTATTGGGATATTTACAAGCCGGTAAGAGTATGTTTGGGAAGTCAAAGAACCCGAACTCTGAATTGGCTATGGGGAGTAGATAATCACGTTGTAATTGGGCAGTTCCAATATAAGTGAAGTAGAGATTGGCTAACTTGATCTCCAAAGGATTTTCTGTGCAACAAGAATATAAGAAAAGGTGTTCTGAACAGAAATTGTGAAGGTATTATGTGTCACAATTATTGACGCAACAGTACCAAGGGCAAGGGAAATTGCACAGAGGCCAGAGTTCAATGGAACGCTTTTATTCTTTGATACCACTGCTCATCATCAGCTGTGTCAAGTCTTACTAAACTGAATTGAAATTGACTGCTTTCACTTTCATTTCAGGACCTGTACATGAAGGAGATTAAAGAGTTAGTTTCCTCAGATGCGTTCTAACTTAAATACTGACCAATGGCATCAATTTTTTTTGCCTTTTATAATCCTAGGGTGGTACAGTGGCTCAGTGATTAGCACTGCTGTCTCAGAGCGCCAGGGATCCAGGTTTCATTCCAGCCTTGGGTGATTGTCTGTGTGAAGTTTGCAGGTTCTCCCTGTGTCTACATGGATTTCTGCTGGGTGCTCTGGTTTCCTCCCACAATCCAAAAGATGTGCAGGTTAGGTAGATTGGCCATGCTAAATTGCCCATAGTGTCCAGGGATGTGCGGGCTAGGTGGGTTAGCCGTGGTAAATGTGGGGTTAAGGGGATAGCGTGGAATGCTCTTTGGAGGATTGGTGCACACTTAATGGGCTGAATGACCTCCTTCTGCACTGTAGGAATTCTGTTTCACATCTGGGCAATGTTGGAATTAGCATTCAGCTAATGCCCTTGTGTAAGGTAGCAATGTTTAAAGTATTTAATTTGTTCCTCCACAATTGTTCTGACATTTAAACCAGAAGTTTCCATTGCAAATATTGATTTTAGCTGAAGGAGTCATCCTCTTCCGTTTGAATTAAATCAGTTTCTCGACCCAAATCCAGAACTTTATTGTTTATTTGTTCATGAGACACAAGTGTCACTGGCAAAGCCAGCATTTGATGCCATCCTGGTTTTCCCTGAAAGAAAATGGTGATGAGCTGCTTTCTTGAATTGGCATAGTCCATCTGGTAGATAGTCCCATGGTGTTGTTAGGAAGGGAGTTGCAGGATTTTGACCTAGTGACAGTGAAGGAAATGATGACAATATGTATGGGTAGTTCGATTAATAATATGGTTTCACCATAACACAGTTTTCACTTTACAACCTAGCATTCCAATAACATGCACCTGATTTGTGATAATGCAATTCTTACCCTCTCCCAGCAGTGCACAGGAATAAATATGTGCCAAAGCTCAGCACTCCTGGGCTAGTTGCTATTTGTTCAGCCTGTTTTGGCTTTGCCTGCTTCAATTTAGGCTGAATAAAATCCACAAGGATAGTCAACTCTCCACCTCCGAAGCAGCAGAGGAGCAGTCTGATGATCCTCAGCTTTCAGCTTCCAGAGCTGCAGATGAGTCAGATAGCCTTCCACTTCCAGATAAACAAACAATCTTGTATATGAACATTATAAACATTAAAATAATTTTTTTGCATATTTTCTTGTCTATTTTGGTGTTTTATATTAACTTTATTTGTAGTCTGTACTTGTTTGATGTTCCAGGAATGTTTCAAAATTTGCATGAGTTTCGATGAGAATACATTTCAAACAATGCAGTCTTGCTTAAATGTGATAATTTTCAGTAATGTAACTACTGCATTATCCGAGGATTCTGCAGTTGCAAGTTTAGAATATGGTTATTGGATGGGAACTTGCAGTTGGTGACGTATCCATGTGTCTACTGTTCTTGTGTCTTGAGACCACAGGTTTGGAAGATGCTGCCAAAGAAGCCTTGGTGAACTGCTGCAGTGCAACTCAAAGACAGTAAATATTGCCATCACTGTGCATTAACGGTATGTGGGAGTTAATGTGCTTTGTCCTGGATGGTGTTGAGCATTTTCAGTGTTGTTGGAGCTGCACCCATCCAGGAAAGTGAAGGCATTCCATTAGATCCACAACTTGAGCCTTAAGGCTGTAGAAAAACCTTGAAGCCAAGCTATACAATTCACAGGCATGGAAGGAGGGTTGGAACTGCAGGCCTTTTTGAAGTGAGAACACTGGATGTGGAGTTTGAATTAAGTGATAGATGAGCAACTATCAATACCAACAACCACCTATAAATAATTTTAGCACAGCAACCTACTCCTAGGCATTTCACAACATTGGAATTCAACCAATAGTAATGAGATTGGGTAACTTTTATTGAGATCTTTGAATATAGGACGTAATATAATGAGGCAGAAGGGGAAAAACAGAGATGCACCAGAATGGAACTAAATACTAGAAATAAGGATTAAAATAAAAATGCTGGAATTACTCAGAGGGACAGGCAGTATATGTGAGAGAAACAGAAGTCAAGCACATTAGAATTATGGATTGTTGACTAGCCCTTTAACCCTTTCACTCCCAAGTTCCGAAATAATAAAACTTTTCTTTTTCTTTTTATGGCTCCCTTTCAGAGGGTGATGAGCTATCCTACAACACTGCTTACTTTATCAAAGGCAACACAGACCAAACTGAGCATCTTCCGGCTGTGTATAGACTATTCCTTAAAATATTATGTGAAGCAAAATCATCACATCCACATTGCAATAACGCATAATGCAGCATCACAAGACCGTAAGAGATTGGATCGATGATAATGGTCAATAATCCTGTATGGCAAACTTATGATACAGTAGGAATATTACCTGATCCCATTATGTACCTGGATCCACCACCTTGTTGGTCTAAGTGAGCTAATTCATTTTTCAGCTGAGACCTGCCAAATGAGGGCAAAACATTATTCAAATTATATAACACTATAGTCTTCCCAGAAGTAGTTACATTTTTGCCAGTCCGGTGTGGAACATACTGCTGCAAGACTTAGCCAAAATAGGATATTTATAAGAACAAAAATGGTGATTTAAAAGGATAAATTAAAATTAAAAAAAAAATCAGTGTATTCCACCACACCCAATGTAATATCATGTTGCAGAGTATGCCCTTTTTTAAAAAAAGGGGATGCCATGCAACTTCACATTACTGTATTTTGGCATAGAATCTCTTACATGAAATTGCTTCAGTAAAGCACAATCAGGCAACTGAGACACTCAAATAAATTAGTTAATATTATGAGGGCATTGGGTTTGGGAATGGAATTCAGGATCAGGGCAGAGAGACACAGCAGTGGTTATGAAGCATACTTCCACACTGAACTGGTCTTACCATAATTCTATGATTTTTAATTGCAAGCAAAAGATTAATTCATCAGCTCTTTCCATAATTGAAGTTATATAATAGGACTTTCGATCTACAACTATACATTGAACGCATTGTTATTGAGATGAACAGGCATGTCTGTGCTGGAGGAAAGTAAGGACTTTTCAACTTAAATCCTGTTCTTAGATCCAATGGGAAGCAAAGCAAATAGTTGACAACATGCCCAAACATTTTCCGAAATAGAAAATTAGAAACACACCCTTGTGATAGCTGAGTAAGAGCCAAAATCTGAATACAAATTTTCAGATTGTGCTGTGCATTGGTATGCAAATTCAGAAGTGATTCGACAGGCTGAAGGGCCTCTTCCATACTGTATGGTTCTAAGTCTACCGAGCTACGTAAATTCAACTTTCTTCTAATTCTTCAAATGGAAGTAGTGAGCCGGCAAATCTTTCTAATATTAATGTCTCGAAGTCAGGAGGACAGTTTGTTATAATTAATTTTATCAGCAATCTCTCCCATGATATTAACAATGCAATACTGTTAAAGTTTTAGAAGTGTTGTAGAAAATTGACCCCTTACCTCAAATACGGAATCTCAGCCAACGCTATCTGCAGTTTAGCTTCTTTAGTTCGGGCATTGAAACGGAAGATGTGAAGGACGACAGAGTATCTATCGAACACTTTAACACCCCAGGCAGATTCCAACACTTTCTAAAAGAATTAAAAGGAAATATTTTACTTATTTGCTCTTTATACAGATTAAAATCAACACAATGAAATGCCAAACAGGCACAACAGGCTATGCGGCCTCTATCAGTACTGTCTGATTTTACAACACTAGAACAATATTTATGGAGTGTAGGCCTGCAGTTATTTCCCCTCCCCATTTGTTCTCAAGAAAGTGGCAGCGAGTTGCCTTGTTTAACTGCTGTTGTCCACGCAGTGTAGGTACACTCACTGTTGTTAGGAAGGAATTCAATTGCAGAATTTTGAACCAGGGAAGGAATGACAATATATTATGATGGTATCTGACTTGGAGGGGAACTTGCAGCTGGTGCTGTCCTTCTTCTAGGTTGTGAAGGTTATGGATTTAGAGGGTGCTATCAAAAAGCCTCAGTAAGTTGCTGCATTGCACCTTGTATATGGTAAACACTGCTGCCATGATACATTAACGGGGAGGGTTTGAATGCTTAGGTTGCTGGATGGGTATTAATCCAGTGGGCTGCTTTCTCCTGATTGGTTTTGAGCTTCTGGATTATTGTTGGATGAATGTGACCCCCATCAAATGGAGAGTATTTCATCACACTCCCAGCATGTGTTTTATACATGGTAGCAGGCTTTCAACTGTCAGTGGCCAAGGATTGCTGGATAATGTTCAGAAACAGGGACACTATCTGAATTTAAGGCCAGCTATGGCATCCCAATTATTTCAGGGCAGTGATAAGTTAAGTCAGCATAAATGTCAATTTAGGTCAGTCTAATGATTCAGTATTGCACCCCAGAACATGCTGTTCATTTTCCCCTGGATTTGGAGCAGCAATATATTAATACTTTTGTCTGAGCATAATGTATTTGAAACATGTTGTTGATTGATTCTTGGTTGATATACTTAGAGTCATAGCTCTGTACATCATGGAAACAGACCCTCTGATCCAACTTGTCCATGTTGACTAGATATCCAAAATAAATCTAGTCCCATTTTCCAGCATTTGGCCCATATGCCTCTAAACCCTTCCTATCATAGACCCATTCAGATGACTTTTAAATGTTGGAATTGTAGCCGCCACCACTTCATCTGGCAGCTCATTCCATATACACACCACCCTCTGTGTGAAAAAGTTGCCCCTTAGGTCCCTTTTAAATCTTTCCCCTCTCACTTTAAACCTGCCCTCTAGTTTTCGACTCCCCCACCCCAGGGGAGAAATTTTGTCTAATCACCCTATCCACGCCCCTCATGATTTTATAAACCTCTATAAGGTCACCCTGCAGCCTCCGACGCTCCAGGGAAAATAGTGTTTAAGGGATGCTGCTATTTTGGAATAGTTGATGAGTAGTAGTTAAGTAACATATTATTTTGTTAAGTATCTTGATCAAGTTAAAGTTATGCCATTTTTTTTGTTTGACGTAACTCTTCCTGGTATAATAACCCCAAAACTATGCAGGAAAAGACAAATTAAGAGGAAACAGGGAGTAGCTTAAAGCATTTTCAAATCTCTGCCACTTGAGGATACTGTGTGAATGATGTAAGCATCAGTTCTGTGGTTTGCAATGTAATCATATGATGAAATTACTGTCAATTATATATAATTCAACACGTTATGATTAGTTATTATATGATATTCTGCTTGGCTGAAAGTTCTTTACCTCTGATGATGCAGACAGTCGCTCAACATTCATAAACACTGCAGTAACTTGTGGCAGCCCTTTTAATTTTTCTGTAAAACAGTAGCATTATGATAATTACTATATGTTAACACTTAAGTTTCTGCAACCATTTGGAACATAATGAAGCCATGTTGCGAAGTCGGGTACAGTATTTGATATTTGTAAAATGATTGGGGGTGTGGAAAAGAGTATGTGGTCCCTTTAAAAGATGATGTCTTTTTTAGCTTGGAGATTAAAAAAATGTCTGCAGGCAGCTGATGTACAGAGAGTTCTTGAAATTGAAACATTGTATGAAAAGGCTATACTATTAGTAGGCAAAACAGCATTTTTACCAAGACAACAGGTTTTTGAATTTAGCCAATTAATTTAGACCAGGCTGTAGTTATCAAAACCCAATTGAATTTAAATCTAATGATTTTGACAACCAGGACCAATCCTATTGTAAGAAATAGGTCATCAAGGGTATAAAAGAAGAGGGCATCTGAAAATCATTGAGAGTCAACTGTCATCTGCCAAGAGAAGAGCTCTCAGCTATAAAAGAAAGAATCTCTGGCTCTCATAGAATTCTAAATGCTCTCAGAAAACCATCATCGAAAGGGACAGTGGCACTCTTTGTTAATATTCCTGACAAGTATTCAATGGAAAAATGTATTTCCAACTGAGGATCAGTGGAGAGGGCGCGGAATATTCTGGAAGATTTAATGTCTCAAAATTACAGCCAGGATAAGTTTTAAATTATTTTTCTTATTACTTTGGTTTATATAAGTGGGACTTATATTTATTGGAACAGCAGATCATTAGAATATTGTTTATTTAGGAATAGTTAGTCTTTAGGAGGGAATTGTTTGGTTTGTTAGTAGCTCTGTTAATTTGTTTACGGTTAGACGTGGATGAATAAATTGTTACTTGTTGATTATAAAGTGAGTATAAGGGATTTCTTTCATTTAACCACTCCTTTATATCAGATGGGGGTGTGACAGGCAGGTTATACCACTTTTCACACTTCCTTTAACAGATTACGAGGTGAGGCGAGTTTCTCTGGGTGTTTCAGTTTTAGTTATCAGAGCGGGGGCGTCAACATCACCTTTGTAACATAATGAAAGATGTCACTTACTTTTTTTTACTGTAACAAAGCATCGCAAAAATATTTTTATCAAATAATTGTACATTCTTTCCAATGTATTTAACTGTATCCACAGCCTATATTGTACTTAAGATGTATTGGAACATTGTTTATGACAAAATTAGAGACATCATAAAACATATTTTTTCCTAATTCACTGTGTCTAAATTTTTTTTTATTAAACTTGTGGGATGTTGGCATTGCTGGCTGGCCAGCATTTATTGCCTGTCCATAATTGCCCTTGAGGTGGTGGTGATGAGCTACCTTCTTGAACCACTGCAACCCACGTGCTGTTGGTTAACCCACAATACCATATGAGAGAGACTTCTAGGATTTTGACCCAACAATAGTGGAGGAACGGCAATATATTTCCAAGTCAGGAGGGTGAGTTGCTTGGAGGGTGTTCCCATGTATCTGCTGCCCTTGTCCTTCTAGATCCTCCTTGGTGCAAGTGGTTGTGGGTTTGGAAGGTTTTGTCTAAGGATCTTTGGTGAATTTCTGCAGTGCATGTTGTAGATAGTACACACTGCTGCAAGTGAGCATCAACGGTGGAGGGAGTGGATGATTGTGGATGTTGTGCCAATCAAGTTGGCTGCTTTGTCCTGGATGGTGTCTCGCTTCTTGAGTGCTGTTGGAGCTATACCCATCTAGCCATCACATTCCTGATTTCTGCCTTGTAGTTGATGGATGGGCTTTGAGGAGTCAGGAGGTGAGTTATTCACTGAACTATTCCTAGCCTCTGACCTTCTCCTGTAGCCACTGTGCTTATGTGGCAAGTCCAGTTGAGTTTCTGGTCAATGATAGCCCGCAGGATGTCGATAGTGGGGGATTCAGTGATGGTAACAATATTGAACGTAAAGGGACAATGGTTAGATTGTCTCTTATTGTAGATGGTCATTGCCCATGCGACTGTTACTTGCTACTTCTCAGTCCAAGCTTGGATATTGTCCAGGTCTTGTTGTATTCAAACAGGGACTGCTTCTGTATCAGAGGAGTCATGAAAGGTGCTGAACATTATGTATTCATCAACAAACATTTCCACTTCAGACCTTTGATGGACGGAAGGTCACTGATTCAGCAGCTGATCATGGTTGGGCCTAGGACACTTCCATGAGGAATTCCTGCAGAGATGTCCTGGAGCTGAAAGGACTGACCTCCAACGACCACAACCATCTATCCATGTGCCAGGTATGGCTCCAATCAGCAGAGAGTTTGGCTAGGGGAGCAGTAAGCTCTGCAGCACAAATCTTCAGTACTATTGCTAAAATGCTGTCAGGGACCATAGCCTTAGCCATAGGCACATCCAGTGCCTAGAAATGTTTATTGATATCATATGGAGTTAATCGGATTGGCTGAAATAAACTTTTTTATTGTGGAATAAGACACAATGGATGAAGGGAAGGAGATGGCCTAGTGGTATTATCGCCAGACTATTAATCCAGAAACTTAGCTAATGTTCTGGGGAGCCAGGTTTGAATGCCGCCACAGCAGATGGTGGAATTTGAATTCAATAAAAAACCTAGAATTAAGAATCTACTGATGACCATGAAATCATTGCCAATTGTCAGAAAAACCTATCTGGTTCAATAATGCCCTTCACCGGCCATTCTCACCTGGTCTGGCCTGCACATGATTCCAGACCCATAGCAATGTGGTTCACTCTCAATTGCCCTCTGAAATGGCCTAGCAAGCCATTCAATTTTACCAATCACTGTAAAGTCTCAAAGAAATGGAACTGGACAGATCACCTGGCATGGACATAAGCATGGGAAAAGACAACGGCAGAAATAGCCCTGTCGACCCTTCTCTTGCAGCCACTGTGCTTATGTGGCAAGTCCAGTTGAGTTTCTGGTCAATGATAGCCCGCAGGATGTCGATAGTGGGGGTTTCAGTAATGTCGACCCTGCAAGGTCCTCCTTACTAACATCTGGGGGCTACTGCCAAAATTGGGGGAGCTGTCTCACAGACTAGTCAAGCAACAGCCTGACACTGTCATACTCACAGAATCATACCTTACAGACAATGTCCTGGACACCACCATCACATCCCTAGATATGTCTTGTCTCACAGGATACACCCGGCAGAAGTGGTGGCACAGTGGTATACAGTTGAGAGGGAGTTGCCCTGGGAGTCCTCAACATGGACTCCAGACTCCATGAAGTTTTGTGGCTTCAGGTCAAACATGGGCAAGGAAACCTCCTGCTGATTACCACACACTCTCCTCCCTCAATTGATGAATTGGTAATCCTTCTTGTTGAATAACACTTAGAAGAAGCAATGAGGATGGCAAGGACGCAAAATGTACTCTGGGTGGGGACTTCAAGATCAAGCTGGTCATGTCCTAAAGGACATAGCTGCTAGACTGGGTCTGTGGCACGTGGTGAGGGAACCAACATGAGGGAAAAACATACTTGACCTCATCCTTACCAACTGGATAGATGCATCTGCAGCTGGCAATGACAGTATCGGTAACAGTAACCACTGCACAGTCTTTGTGGAGATGAAGTCCTGCCTTCACATTGAGAAAATCGTCGTGTTGTGTAGCACTATCACCATGCTAAATGCGATAGACTTCGAACAGATCTAGCAACTCAAGACTGAACATCCATGAGGCGCTGTGGGCCATCAACAGCAGAATTGTACTCCAGCGAAGTCTGTAATCTCATGGCCCGGCATATCCCCCACTCAACCATTACCAAACCAGGGGATTAACCCTGGTTCAATGGAGAGTGCAGGAGGGCATGCCAGGAACCACATCAGGCATACCTGAAGATGAGGTTTCAACCTGGTGAAGCCACCGAAGAGGACTACTTGAATGCTAAACAGCATAAGCTGCAAATGATAGACAGCACTAAGTGATCCCACAACCAATTGTTCAGATCTAAGCTCTGCAGTCCTGCCACATCCAGTCATAAATGACGGTGGTTGATTAGACAACCCATTGGAGGAGGAAGCTCCACAAATATCCCCATCCTCAATGATCAATTTGCATCAGTACAAAAGATAAGGCTGAAGCTTTTGCAGCAATCTTCAGCCAGAAGTGCCGAGTGGATGATCCATCTTGGCCTCCTCCAGTGGTCCCCAGCATTTCAGATACCAGTTTTCAGCCAATTCAATTCACTCTACGTGATATCAAGAAACAGTTGGAGACACAGGATACTGCAAAGGCAATGGGCTCTGACAACATTCCGGCAATATTACTGAAGACTTGTGCTTCAGAACTTGCCGCTCCCCTAGCCAAGCTGTTCCAGGAGAGTTACAAAATTGGCATCTACCCAGCAATGTGAAAAATTGCCCAGGTATGTCCTATACATGAAAAGCAGGACAAATCCAACCCAGTCAATTACGGCTGTAACAGTCTACTCTTGATCATTGGTAAAGTGATGGAGGGTGTTATCAACAGTGCTAGCAAGTAGCACCTGCTCAGCAATAACCTGTTCAGTGACACCCAGTTTGGGTTCTGCCAGGACCACTCAGCTCCTGACCTCATTACAGCCTTGGTTCAAACATGGACAAAGAGGTGAGGTGAGAGTGACATCAAGGAGCCCTAGCGAAACTGGAATCAATGGGTATCGGGGGCAAACTCTGCTGTGGTTAGAGTCATACCTGACACAGAGGAAGATAGTTGTGTTTGGTAGAGGTCAATCATCTCAGATCCAGGACATCTCTGCAGGAATTCCTCAGGGTAGTGTTCTAGGCCCAACCATCTTCTGCTGATTCATCAATGACCTTCCCTCCATCATAAGGTCAGAAGTGGAGATGTTCGCCAATGATTGCATGACGTTCAGCACTATTTGTGAGTCTTCAGATACTGAAGTAGTCCATGTGCAAATGCAACAAGATCTGGACAATATCCAGGCTTTGGCTGACAAGTGGCAAGTAACATTTACACCATACAGATGCCAAGCAATGACCATCAACAGTAGGAGACAATCTAACCACCGCCCCTTGACATTCAATGGTGTTACCATCACTGAATGCCCACTATCAATGTCCTGTGGGTTACTGATGACCAGAAACTCAATTGGACTTACCACATAAACACAGTGGCTACAAGAACAGGTCAGAGGTTAGGAACACTGCGGTGAGTAACTCACCTCCTGACTCCTCAAAGCCTGTCCACCATTTGCAAGGCACAAGTCAGGAGCGTGAATGGAATACTCCTCACTTGCCTGGATGAGTGCAGCCCTAAAAACACTCAAGAAGCTTGACACCATCCAGGACAAAGCCATCCACTTGATTGGGACTACATCCACAAGCATCCACTCCCTCCATCACCAACGTTGAATAGCAGCAATGTGTAATGTCTACAAGATGTACTGCAGAAATTCACCAAAGATCTTCAGGCAGCACCTTCCAAACGTCGACCACTTCCATCTAGAAGGACAAGGGCAGCAGACATATGGGAACACCACCAACTTCAAGTTCTCCTCTAAGCCACTCACCATCCAGACTTGGAAATGTATCACTGTTCCTTCACTGGTGCTGCATCAGAATCCTGAAATTCCCTCCCTAATGGCATTGTGGGTCAACCTACAGCAGGAGGACTGCAGCGGTTCAAGAGGCAGCTCATCACCATCTTTTCAAACAGGGACAAGTAATAAGTACTGGCCAGTCAGCGATACCCACATTGCACAAAACGAATTTAAAAAAAAATTTCTTAGCTACTGCAAACTGTAAATAAAACTACATTAGATTGCTGTTTTAAATGATACTTTTCAAGATGTTATTTAGAATCTTGTGTATATAAGTTCAACACTTTATTATTAAGAAAGTCAATCGAGTCACCTGTAAGCAATTGAAAATTGCCTTTGCCAAAAATGAATTTGCTGTCTGGAGTTTTTGTAGAAAGAATAACCTTATCAACAACGTGCCAGTTGGGCAGGGTGTTCACAAGAGCAACTGCTTCATCCATCTGAAGTTCACCTTGTGAAGAAAGAAAGGGCAGAATTAAGACAGCGGTGAATATACAGTGAACAATGCTGTAGCAATTGGCCTGCTATATTAAAGCACTGCCAGGAGATGCCAGTGGGCAAATGCTGAATCACAATCCTTTTTTATTAAAATACGAGTAAACAGTGAAAATGTCAATCAATAAAAAAACGCTGTAGATGTTGGAAATCAGAAATAAAAAAGCAGATGATGTTTAGAATGCTCAGCGGAAAAGGCAGCATGTGTGGAGGGAGGAACTGTTAACATTTTAATGAGAGGTCACAGACTTGAAATGCTAACTTTGGTTTTCATTTAGACACTGTTGAGTACTTCTATCATTTTCTGTTTTAATTCCATATTTCAAATGCCAATCTATATTGCACACCACCAGCAATATTAAAAAGATTTTCAAAAGTATAATTAATAGAGAGTATATTTGACAAACAGCAAGGGGAAAGAAAGTCTACAGTTTTGAAGAAAGAAGGAATTTCAGTAGGCAATTACATGATAAGTCAGTGTTGATTGATGCATGTGTGCAATAACACAAACACTATTAGACACTAATTCTGTATTTTGTGCACTGGAGCACAAACTCATGGAATGTTACAGTCCATTTGGCCTAACATGTTTATGCCAATTTTTCTCTCTGCTTGAGCTACACAGTTAAGACCACACCCTTGCTCATTGCCTGTACTTCTTTATTATTTCTTTATTTAAAACAAGTACCAATTTCTTCTTAAATAATGAATGAACAATGTACTCTGCTCCAAAGCCAGTTTGTTGTCAAAAGTAACTTCCATATTTAAACGTTTTTCTGTGCACGGAAAAATTTTCTAATATTCTCTTCAATTCTTTTGTGATTTTCTTAAAACTTATGCCCAGTCATTATTCTGTCACCATTAAAAACAGTCTAGCGTGATTTATCTGTTGAAATTGCAAAGTCCTATAACATTCTTTACCTTCGCAACTCTCGTGAAAATAGTCTTTCTTTGTTACCAACTTTCACTTCCTTCCACTCTTCCTCACACTAGATGGTACATGAACTTTATTTCATTCCACCATCAATTGTAATTGTATGGGTAAAGTTTCTACTTGATAAGAATTTGTCGTCATTTTCTTAATTTATTTTTGTTATTTACCTTAAAATTCAGTAGCTAGTTTAAACATAGAAATAAACATGATAAATTATAATTGGAACCACTGAAGATGTCTGATGGTGAAATAAAAATATGGAATGAAAAGATAGCCTAATGACAATCACGTAACTACTGTTGTCAGTGAACCAGAAAGATTTTTTTACACAGATGTCCTCTAAGATGAGAATCTGTTATCCTTACTTACCTGGTCTGGCCTACAAATGACTTCAGCCCCACAGAAACGTGGTTGACTCTTAAGTGCCATCTGGGCAATAAATGCTAGCCTAGCACACACTCCATAAACATTTTTTAAAAATCTGCAGATAAGACTTGGATATTTAATTTTTGTAAAAAAATTAATGAGGCCAAGTACTGTTTGGAAAATATGTGTTTAGGAATATGGAGGTAGATAGATCTGGAGGTATAAATATTTGAATCAATTAAAGGAGCTACACAGTTTAATAAGGCAATTGAAAAAGCAAAGCACAGGACGAATTTCCATAGGCATAGAATTTATGGGATGAGATGTTATGTTAAACCTGGATAGAAACTTAGTTATCTGGAGTATTGTGAATCATTCTAGTCTGCATATTATAGATCAGATACAGAAAGACTGGAGAAGGTGCAGAAAAATCATTTACTAGAATGATACTAGGCTGAAATGTTATAACAGTCAAGTAAGAATGAATAGCCTGAGCCACCTTTTCCTCACAAAGGCTGACAGCTGCCCTAAATATGTCTTTAATAGTGTATATGGAGAAGTGGATTCCAGTTCAGGGGTCACTGGCATCAGCACTGAGGATAGCAGGGGCTGTACCATTGGGATATTACCTGAACTATGTTTTTGCCAACTAAATAATGGGGTAAGGGATCAAATGTGGAAAGAGGAGACACATCAAAGAGAAGGGACAAAGTTAGAGAGGAAAAATAGTAATAAAAGAAATGAGGGTCAGAGAATGATTTGAAGGGGCAGGGCGGAGAAAACCTAGGAATACATCAACAATCAAGACTATACGTTATAAAAGTGACAAAAAGACAAAACTAAATGCTCTACATCTGAATGCACTCAGTACTCATAACAAAGTAAACAAATTGATTGTACACATTGAAGTAAATAAATACAATTCTTAGAGCCATTATAGAGACATAGCTTCAGGATGACATGAATTGAATTGAGGGTTATATGACAGTCAGTAAAAATAAGTAGCTAGGAAAAGATACAGCAATAATACTGTTAATCAATGACTGAAACTGGTGCAATAGTAGAAATGACATTGGTTCAGGAGATCAGGAGGTAGAATCAATTTAGGTGGAGATAAGAAATAGCAGAGGAAAGAAGTCACTAGTGGGAGTGATCGACAGGCTCCCTAACAGTAACCGCAGTTTGAAAAGGAAAATATTGAATCCAAGATTAATATCATAAACATAAACATGGGCACAAACGCTGAGCTTGTTGAAGTGGACTGACACACTATGCTCGGGGATAAATCAATACAGTTAAGGGGAAGTTTGAGAATATTCAGAATTAAGTATATTCCTACTATAAAGAAAAATTCTAAAAGGAAGGGCCTACCATCTGTGGCTAACTAAAGAAATTAAGGAAGGCTTCAAAATTAAGGAAAAGGCATATAAAAATGTACAAAGATGAGTTGCAGATCAGAAGATTGGTCAGAATATAAAGAATTGCAGAGATTGGCTAAAAGGTTAATCAGGAGAATGAAATTGGAGTATAAGAAGGTAGACAGAAATGTAAAAACAGATAGCAAGATTTTCTACAGGTATTTAAAAAGGAAAAGAATAAGTAAGATTGGTCCTCTATAGAGAATGGGGTGCAAATAGTGGGTGAAATGAACAAATATTTTGTCTGTCTTCCCTTAGAGGATATAAAAATTATTCAAGCAATTGTTATAAAAAAGGAGGTAGAAGGGAGGTTGGAATTTAGTGATATTACAAGTACTAAGCAACAAGGTGTAGAGAGCTGGATGAACACAGCAGGCCAAGCAGCATCAGAGGAGCAGGAAAGCTGATGTTTTGGGTCTAGACCCTTCTTCAGAAATGGGGGAGGGGAAGGGGATTCTGAAATAAATAGGCAGAAAGGGAGAGGCGGATAGAAGGTGGATAGAGGAGAAGATAGGTGGAGAGGAGACAGACAGGTCAAGGAGGCGGGGCTGGAGCCAGTAAAGGTGAGTGTAGGTGGGGAGTTAGGGAGGGGATAGGTTGGTCCAGGGAGGACGGACAGGTCACGGAGGCGGGATGAGGCTAGTAGGTAGGAGATGGGGGTGGGGCTTGAGGTGGGAGGAGTGGATAGGTGGGAGGACAGGTTAGGGAGGCGGGTACGAGCTGGGCTAGTTTTGGGATGCGGTCGGGGGAGGGGAGATTTTGAAGCTTGTGAAGTCCACATTGATACCATTGGGCTGCAGGGTTCCCGAGCGAAATATGAGATGCTGTTCCTGCAACCTTTGAGTGGCATCGTTGTGGCACTGCAGGAGGCCCAGGATGGACATGTCATCCAAGGTGTGGGAGTGGGAGGGGGAGTTGAAATGGTTCGCGACTGGGAGGTGCAGTTTGGTGCAAACCAAGTGTAGGTGTTCCGCAAAGTGGTCCCCAAGCCTCCGCTTGGTTTCCCCGATGGAGAGGAGGCCACAACTGGAACAGCAGATACAGTATACCACATTAGCAGATGTGCAGGTGAACATCTGTTTGATGTGGAAGGTCTTTTTAGAGCCTGGGATGGGGGTGAGGGGCGAGGTGTAGGGGCAGGTGTAGCACTTCCTGTGGTTGCAGGGAGAAGTGCCGGGGGTGGTGGGGAGTGTGGAGCGGACAAGGTAGTCATGGAGAGAATGGTCCCTCTGGAAAGCAGATAAGGGTGGGGAGGGAAAAATGTCTTTGGTAGTGGGGTCAGATTGCAGATGGCGGAAGTGTCGGAGGATGATGCGTTGGATCCGGAGGTTGGTGGGGTGGTACGTGAGGCAGAAGGGGATTCTGTTTTGGTTATTATTGCGGGGAGGGGGTATGAGGGATGAGTTGCGGGAAATGCGAGAGACTTGCAGATGGCGGAACTGATGGAGCTGTTGGCTGACAAGATGGACTTCACCTTAAGGTCTTTACAGAGGTTGCTAATGAGGTAGCAGATGTGCCAATGTTAATTTTCCAAAATTCCCGAGATTCAGGAAAGGCTGGAAAGTAGCAAATATAATTCCTCTATTCAAGATGGGGAGAGATAGAAAACAGGAAACAAAAGTAAATAAATGTCTGTCATGGGAAAGGTGATAGAATTGATCATTAAAAGAGATTATAGCTGTGCATTTAGAAAAATGCAAGGTAATCAGGTAGAATCAGCACTGTTTCAAACAGAAATCATGTTTAACCAATTTACTGGAGTTCTTTGGAGGAATAATATGTGCTTTGGATAAAGGGGAACAGGATGTGACAAACAACATTGCCTCTGAACTGTGCGGCCATACAGCCGCTGTGAAGCTCTGTGTATGCAATAGGTGTGCTAATGAATGGCTTATGCATCCACAAGACACTGCTTACAATTTACGTCAATGACTTTGATGTCAGATCTGACCTGAAATGCTAACTCTGTTTCTCTCTCCACAGATACTAACAGGCCTACTGATTTTTTTTGTTTTCATTTCAGACTTCCAACATCTACATTATTTTGCTTTTATTTGAGTGGATAGGTTTTTTTTAGGCAGGGGAATCAAGGGTTGTGGAGATAGGTGCGTAGGTGTAGTCTGAAATACAAACAGAAGAGACATGACCTTATTGAGTAGTGAACCAAGTCTGAGGGGTGAATAGTCTACTTTGGCTCTTACTTCATTTGAGTCTGTCTTAAACTAAGTCAGATTAGTAAAGATAGCAGAATCAGATGGATGTTTATGTCATAAGTAACCTGCTGGTTACATGGTCATCATCATTGCTACTGTTTATTTAATTAAAATAATCTAAATTCACCAGTTATGATGTGATTTGAACTCAAATCACTAAGTCATCATCCAGGATTCTGCATTACTTAACTACTAACATGCCATTATGATACAGTTCCTACATAAAATACTGAAATGTAGTTTACATTAGTTACTAATAAATTTACCTGTTGTGAGATGCGGTTTCTTTTTTCCCCATTTTACATTTGGATGCACAATAAATACCCTATGACCTCCTTCAGGAACAGGATATAGTCGTTCTTTAAATATCTCTTCTAATTCAGCATCTGCTAATTCGTATTCATGTTCATCGTCTGATGTGATCTCATCATCCTCCACACTTTGTTTTCCATTTCTTGAAGGCTTTCTGCTGTTGATACTTTTTCTATTATTTGAATAACATTTGTTTGTGGTAAAATACCGAAAGCCATGGCTTGATATATTTCCATGAGAATTATTTTTCTCGAAATTATTAGAAACGTTTCTACTCTTCAGAGGCAGCTTTGGACGAAAACACAATAATCTTGGTATCTGTGTACCTGCTACTGAGAAACAGCTTTTCCGAGGCGGTAATCTTTTCAGGGCACGCAGTAAAAACATTTTCGAGATATTCCTCAATAACTCCATAGCCGTAACCCTCAAAGCACACAAATCAGATGCTGGAGGTGTATCACTTCCAGACAAACCGTTAATCGGAAAGTTAAGGAACACATTCACGTGACACTTTCCTTACGCGTGCACATCTCCTTACTCAGTTTGTTGTCCCATCTTGCATTAACAATAATAAATACTGTACGAACAGTGACTAAAATAGATCTTGGATACCCAGAAAATGTGGCTGCAGGGTCTTGATCCTTATAAAGCTTCCCATATGGACACTTTCAATATTTATGCATTTAATTATACCCCTTTCAGTTACGTATAACTCCAACTCCGATTGAAGACTTCAACAAAGCAACTTATCGCTCCTCATCATTTCAAAAACTAAAACCGTCCATTAAGTTCTCCTCATTTTGGTTTCCTCGACGGAATGGTAAGGCTGTAACACACCATATTTCTAAAAGAAAATTGAATTTTCTTTTTTAAAGTTATGGCTCGATCCATGAAGTGAATCGTAAGCGTATGTTTTTTTATTTAAAAATAATAAAATGTGATTTTGATTTGCGTGTAAGGAGCTGGTTTCCAGTATGACCCGATGGTGACCCGGTGTCACACGGATTCGGGTCCGGGTCCGGGTTGCTGTTGTCCTGGTAACAATGGCAGCTGTGGGGCGGACGGAGCCGTTGCGGAAGCCGTGCACTTATCAGGGACGTTTCAGAGGTAGGAGGCCCAGGTAGACATCTGTAGTCGTTAACATTGTTATTTCAGACTTAAAACCCGTCAATTATAGCCATGCACCGGTCCAAGGCAACCCAGAGGTGGGAGATGCCCGATGTAATAATTAATCGTGTCAACAAATGGGCCAGCGTATTGAGTTATAATTATTATTGTTGAATTATAACGGTGCTGCAACCACAAATTTTATGCGAGAGCGAGACACCCATGTGCTGTGTCAACGAACGTGGAGCTGGACACACACAGCAGGTCAGCCAGCATCAGACTTTCGTTGACTTTCTTGCTTGTCTGATGCTGTTTGACCTGCTGTGTGTGTCCACCTCCACGTTTCTTGACTCTGCCTTCCAGCATCTGCAGTCCTTACTGTCTCCTACCCATATGCTGTCTGTCTGATAATGTCCATTTATATGGACCTTAGTTCTTCAGTTTATCTTCTCAATTTAGAATGGACTCCTTCTTAAGAAGATGCCAGTGTTTCATAGAGAATTCATCCGAGATTTATCCTGCAAAAAATCACAAAACAGTGCTTCTGTTATCTCTTCCTTTTTCCCTAAACCAATCACTCCCCTTTACCCTTGTATCAGACCCATCAATCATGTCCATCCAATTTCCCGCACCTTCCACCCCACCAGACTTTTTCTTGCAATACTGAGGGAGTGCCACACTGTCAGAGGTTCTGTCTATCATGCACTGCTTGCCCTTCCTGATGGATGCAAAACAATCTTGCAGCATTACAACTAGAGCTTGTATCAACCAACCTCACTCTCTCATTCTGCTCCATCAGAGATGCCATCTTTCAAGTGAAAAGCTAACCAAACCCTATCATCCCACTCCAGTGGTGTAAAGGACCTCATGATATTATGTTGCAGCTGATTGTATCCCACTTAATTGCAATAGATCTACATCCACATGTAACCTGAAATAACTGGGAGAGCTGGTGGACAGCCTAGATCCAGAGATAGGTATATTAGAATATTATTGAAAAGTACATGAGAAAAGGATGTGTTAAACCTTAGCCAAATGGTGAAATAGTAAATCAGAAACCAATCTTTTACTTAATACAACATTATAAGTGTCTGCCTGCTCCCTAATCAACACCCCGTGTCCCAAAAGCCCCCTTTTACTCTTTCAATAAATCAAAAAAACTAATAACCAAAATAATGGATTGGGCTTAACTGACTAGTAAAACCACCTTAAAGAGTAAGTCGCACTTTATATTTGCTCAAGGTATTTAATTAATCATTGCCCACCAACATATCCTTACCTTTGATAATATAATTAACGTACAATTAACTGGATGGGAAGAAAGTACCCTGTGCTTTTTCAACATAATTTCATGGGACTCTTTATATTGCGTGGAGTGTGATGACGGGGTCTCGGTTAGCTTTTTATTTGAAAGATGATATCTTTCATAGAGCAGCGTCCCCTCAGTACTTCACTGAAGTGCAAGGACTGTGTTTTTTGACTTGTCCTTTTAAAAATTGTGGACCGAAATGAGGAAGTGTTGTTTTTAAGCCTGCGTTTTGAAAGGATGGCTGCATAGTTTAAATGCAAGTAATGTGAGACTCATGACAAGCGTCATAAATAGCTGTTTGAACATGTCGTTGAGATGGTTGCAGATGAACATGAACCGAGATGTAACTGGGTGGTAAGAGAGGTTGACTGGTAAATGGACTAGGGACCAGTTGTTGATCACAGATACCTTTGCCTGCCAACAGCTGTGTGATTGGTTGTCAGGTAACTGAACAGCTTGGAGCTGGGAACAAGTTACAGGAAAGGAATTTAATCTCTACCAGTTCTCTATTCTCTGCAGTCAAAACTCACTTTAAATCTGGAGAAAACCAGTTAATCTTTAAACCAATTGTTGCTGTAAGCTGTGCTTGTTAATTGATAAATCAGAGTCATTTTACATGTGAGCCAGTCATCTGTGCCTCTTGCAAATCAGTGGAAGCATTTTGAAAAGGGAAATCAGGAAGAAACTTTTGAAGTTTTGAAACTTAAAAAAAAACTTTGAAGAAACAAATTGCCAGAATTTGTTGGCAAAGACTATTGAATTGTCTTTTCAGTATTTTACCACTATCCATACTTATTTCCCAGTCTGTACATGTGTGTATGTAAGAGATAGTATATTAGGAGATTAGTTTTAATTAGTAGTGTTAAATGCTGATGATGTATAAATGTTTATTTGTAGCTAGAGTCTAATTACTTGTACAAAATCGTAGTTCTTCTTCAGTACAAAAACATGGTCTATGCATTCTATCAACCTGCATCTGAAAATCAGGTAAATTGGGGAATTTCGTGTATGTACTTTAAAATCTGTAACTTTTGTGGTGAATCCAGGAATAGTGGGGTTTTATTTCCATTACATTACCCAGTGGTGACTGAGATTTTGTCTACATTTTGTGCTCAAGTTTCTGCAATGAGGATTGAGCCCACACCTTAAGACCAAAACCTGGAAAGTCTACAATTGAATTAAAACTAAATTCGGAAGCAATTAGTGCATCGCTAACATCTATAAAAACTTAAATTTTTATTTCTAGGACTTGGTTACTGAGTAATTTGTAACATGGATTAAAAGATTCAGTGAAGGAATAAAATTACGTATATTAAAATTCAGTGGTTAAATTCGCTTTTTATGTGTCTTACAGATTAACTTGACAAAACTCTGAAGTAGCATGTGATTTGTTGTCTTCCTTTGTCTAGTGGATGTTAACATTAAGAAACCACTGCAACCCATCCAAATGAGCAGCGAGCAAGTGGCTGTGGAGATCTGGTCTCTCTGTTTTCAGCTTGACCTTCTCATCCGAGCCGAGGTGCATCATGTATGTAATCTGTCAGTTAAATGTGCTATGATGTGGGAACAAATAACGGTCCATAATTATATTAGCTATAAAACAAGTTTGTTTTTTTTAAATTGTGACCTGATCCAAAACATTAAAGAAGAATCAGGATTTATTTTTACCGCAGTGTGATTGTAGGGATTCTCTAGGTGGTGTTTTTCTTTTTTGGAATATTGAACAAAATGATAGAAACCATTCCAATTCAGTCTGTGTCTTTTACTATCTCTTGATATAGACAAGAAATTGTTTGATTTAATGAAGGATCAGTGCCTGATGAAAATGTTTCTATAAAGTAGATCTGAATGTAATATCAGTTTACAAGCTAATTTTGGTGAAATTCAGAGGTAGATGAGTCAAAATTATGTTTATTTCGCAAGTGGTGTCACCTATTAGGAGGAGCAATTCTGTGAAATATAATGTGAAACATATCCCAGTGTTCAATATAAGGGTTAGATTGCTCCACATTCAGTTCCCAGTATTAAGTGACTTTACTGTTAACTGGGACCACATTTGCAACACTGTTTTTGTCTTTTTTTTTGTCCAAGTGCGTGTTTGAGTGTGAGTAAAGATGATTAGGCTGATTTTTTTTAATTCTCAAAGGTTTTTAAGGCTCCTATAGTTGGAACAGCCATGACTTTGTTGAACGCGGTGCGATCTTGGAGGGGCAGGTGGCCTAGACCGTTCCATTTTTTTATATACCCATGTTCTTATCCTCACAGAGTCCGAGAGATATACAGCACGGAAACAGACCCTTTGGTCCAACTCGTCCATGCCAACCAGTTTTCCCAAATAAATCTAGCCCCATTTGCCAGCATTTGGCCCATATCCCTCTAAACCCTTTCCATTCATATACCCATCCAGACGCCTTTTAAATGTTGTAATTGTACTAGCTTCCACCACATCAATTGGCAGCTCATTCCATACACGCACCACGCTCTCCATGAAAATTTTGCCCCTCAGGTCCCTTTTAAATCTTTCCCCTCTCACTTTAAACCTATGCCCTCTAGTCTTGGACACCCCACCCCAGGGAAAAGACTTTGTTTATTGCTCTATCCGTGCTTGTCATGATTTTATAAACCTCCATAAGGTCAGCCCTCAGCCTCCACACTCCAAAGAAAATAGCCCCAGTCTATTCAGCCTCTCACTATAGCTCAAATAATCCAACCCTGGCAACATCCCTGTAAATCTTTTCTGAATCCTTTCAAGTTTCACAACATCCTTCCTGTAGCAGGGAGACCAGAACTGCACAGTATTCCAAAAGTGGCCTAACCAATGTCCTGTACAGTTGCAACATGACCTCCCAACTCGTATAATCAATGCACTGACCAATACAGGCAAGCATGCCAATTGCCTTCACTATCCTATCTACCTGTGACTTCGCTTTCAAGGAACTATGAACATGCACTCCAAGGTCTCTTTCAACAGCAACACTCCCCAGGACCTTACCATTAAGTGTATAAGTCCTGGCCTGATTTGCCTTTCCAAAATGCAGCACCTCACATTTATCTAAATTAAACTCCATCTGCCACTCCTTGGCCATATGAAGAGGTCTTGTAGATTGGGTCTTTTGTATATTCCACCACTACCCACCCTCTCCCAAAACCAAAGCCACTGCAGACATTTTAGCAATGAGACTTCTCTGGAATAGAACTCTTCCTAAACCCACTAGCCTTGGTTTAAAAAAAAATTAAATAATGATGTTGCTAGAAAGACAGCACATTTCATTGTTCATCCCTGGTTGTCCTTGAGAAATGGTGATGATATTTTCATAATGCTGTTAGGTTCAGAACCTCAAGATATTCGGCCACCACAGAGATGGAATGACATATGTCCAAGACAGAATGGTGTGTGTCTTTGAGTGGAACTTCTCTCTCGCCTTAATCCTTGATATCTTGTCCCCATCTTATTTAACTTTTAGTTTGCTAGTTTTGTACTAAGTTATTGAGCAGCTTGTACTAATCTTTTGACAAATAGAAACTTATTTTTAGTTACAGGAACAGCTTAGAGAAGATAAAAGTCCTGTGGAATCAGAGTCTTTTCACACAAGAGGTAGGTACATCATTTCTTAAAAATCAATGTAAAGAATTAAAGAAATATTGTGGTAAATGCTTATTTCTGTTGTCAATGGTTCCCAAATTGAGATGTTTTTAATCTATCCTAGCAGAAGTTTTCTGGAGCAGACGTTCTAGAGGATAGTCACCCACAGGCTGCTAGGAGTAGAGAAACTGGTAAGGAAGATTAGGTGATATTTTGCAGTCAGTGAGAGTTAAGGTAGATGGAGGAGCACCTGTGAAAGTAAAGAGGGAAACTGAAAGGGAAAAGTCTAAAGATGGTGCTCTTTAGTTCCATTTTGCTGCTCTTTTCTGTGTCCCACATTACATTTTTTTTATACCTATCTACTTTCCCCAGTTTCCATTGGGTCCATGGGCAGCCTGCTTAACCTGGAAGGCAAGAAACATCCAACCTATAAGTCTCTTGTGATTTACTGATTAATGCTACTTCATTGGATATAGAGCTTGCTCTCTTTGATGCTTTGCAAATTGAGAGGACTTTAACTTCTCTTGCAGTTTAGGCAAGGTTTTATAGTAGTGCTAATTGCCCTTTATAGAAGTCTCAAAAGATAAATTCTTCATAAAATCTCACTAAACTGCACTGAGATTTTGTTGAGCTTGCTTTACTCAGGATTGACTGATTGCAATGCTGAATTACAAGTATAGTGCCAACTACGCAGAGTGATTGTGTATAAACCTATATCTTTCATTTTACATTGTTAACTCAGTTAAGAAGGACAGTGAGGAGGTGGTGACTGGGCCTTCTACATGTATACTCCACATTTGCATCTAGCCCTTGAGTTGTTTTTTTGGCCATTATCATAAGTTTAAGAGGGGAGAAGTTGGGCAAGCATAGGAGCGGAACATCTTGCTCAGTTCAGAAGTGAATCATATTCCAGAAAGAATAAAGGAAAGCAAACAGTAATTTGTGTTAACCTGCAGTGCTTTTGTGTAGAGGTCTCATCCTAGGTTGTATTTTGGGCAATCACTACAGAACAACCTAAAGGAAACAAAATTTTTAAAAAACTTTGAAATTAAAGGAGGAGCCCTTGGTTAACTGATCTCACCTGGTGGCAGGGGTGATCAGTGCATTTTCATTGATCTCAGTGTCAATGATGGTAGGAGAAAAAAGTGACAGAGGTTTCTACTCCTCACCCTTGTCATGTGAATCTACTGTGGAAACACATAGATGTGAACATTAGGAAAGGCTTATCCTGTATTCTAACAGCCTGCTGTATCAAGACAAAGTGTAAATTGAGGGGAGATAATGCTGTAGTTGTAATACTACTGGACTAATAATCTGGAGGCACTATTAATTCTCTGCAGACAGTACTTCCAATTCCTCCATGGATGTTTGCGGAATTTAAGTGAATAAAAATCTCGAATTGAAAGATATCATTAAGTTTTGTAGAAACCCAGCTGTTCACTAATGTCCTTTTAAGAAAGAGAATTTGCCATCCTGAACTGGTCTGATCTACCATCTGTGACTCCAGGTCTGCAGCAATGTAGCAGACTCTTCACTGTACTTTGAAGTGACCTAGCAAGTCACTCATTTCAAGGGCAATTAGGGATGATACCCTTTCTGGTGACGCCCACATTCTGTGAAGAACAATGAAAAGGAAACTTGTTGGATGCTTGCTGTCTAGGGAGCCATGTGAGATTTTAGGAGAGGAATAGATTTGTTAGGTTTGTAAAGGTGGTGTGATGGTCGATAAGCTCAGTTGGTTGGCTAGTTGGTTTGTGATGTACAGTGATACCAAGAGCGTGGGTTCAATTCCCACATTAGCTCAGGTTTCCATGAAGGATACTCTTTCTCAACTTCTCCCCTCATCTGAGGTGAGGTGACCCTCAGGTTAAACCACCACTCTAGTCGCTCTCTAATGAGAGAGCAACACAACGCTCCTCAGGGACCATGGTGACTTCATGTTTACCATTATTTAAAGTATATCTATTTTGTTTTATGCCAGGTTTTATTAACTTGCTTATCATTGGATGACAAAGTAACAACATCCTGCCAAACAATCCTTTAGTCCAAACAATCCATTTTCTTGAATAGTAGAAAATAAAAATATTCTATCATGAAAAGAAAACTCGACAAGGCTGCATACAAAACATTTTATTTAGTTTAGGAATGCATTTGATTTGAAGTAAGTAAAGCCACTGTCTCAAAGGACCAGTCTGTGATAACATTCTGCAATGGCCTTGCATTTAAACATTTGATAAAAAAACTATCATCGTAAAACAAATTTATGAAGTGAAAGTTGAAACTCCAAGAAAACCACACTTCATATTTATGTGATATAGAGGTGTAGAGCTGGATGAACACAGCAGGCCGAGCAGGAAAGCTGACGTTTCGGGCCTAGACCCTTCTTCAGAAAAAAAAATTATGTATTGTCAGGAACCTGATTACAGTAAGATGGGGTGGTGGGGGAATGTGGTTTTTTAAAAAAACAAAAAATGGTCTTGGGCGGTTGTATAAGATGGGAAACAGGGAATGAGTAGCTTATTTTACACACTGACTGACTTTTTCACTGATTTATTTAGACCGGATATATAATGGAATTATTTTGCTACAACCTGTTTTGAGCTATCATTTAAGACGGATTTTACCCTTCTGGTATGTCAGCAACTAGCTTGGGTCTCAATAGCCTTTTGGTATATTAATGCTTTGCTGCTGCCTTCATAACAATTAACATTTTTATTGCTGAGAAATATATGTTAAAATGAGATATTTATTGCTTGAGAATTGGTGGAGCTGGAAGCTGAACAAAATTTTAAAAAGGAAAATAATTTTCTGTCATTACTCCCCATTTCAGATAGCTATTCTTCAGCATTTACAACTCAGAGACTGGGTGAAATCCAGTGTCACACTTCCTGAACTCTGCTGCAAAAATATACCTCTGTCTCAGTTGCAGGCAGGTACCTCCATAAGACATCAATGCAGCATTTTCCAGCCCACCCTGTGGTCTTCACATAAGGCTGTTTATCTAAGACATTTTTCTACTGTGGCTGCATGTCCCTTGAGAAATGGATTGCTTACATCCAAATCTTTCTCTTGTAGGATCCTTACAGTGATCAGTTGGAGGCTGAACTTCAGTCCAGAGCCCAAAAGGAAAACATTTAATTTTGAAGAGTTATGTTCCTACTACTAGCTCTTTAAAAATAATGATATATTGGAATGCTTGGGCTGTTTTTCAACTTGTTGTTTCATTCTCATTCAGGTGTAGGTTATGTTGAAAGAATTAAACAATATCTGGAGCATCTGCCGGACCCTGTTCCACAGCTGGAGGTAATGTGCTTTTTCGCGTTCTAAACATTTTTGCTTAATTGTAGAGTGGTATGCAATTTTTCTTTTAATAGATTATAGAATCCCTACAGTGTGGATTCAGGCCCTTCGGCCCAACAAATCCACACCAATCCTTGGATCATTCCGCCCAGATCCATCCCCCTCTAACCCACCTAATCTACACATCTCTGAACACTACGGGCAATTTAGCATGGCCAGTCTAGCCTGCACATCTATGGACTGTGGGAGGAAACCGGAGCACCCGGAGAAAACCCACGCAAACACGGGGAGAATGTGCAAACTCCACACAGACAGTCGCCCGAGGGTGGAATTGAACCAGGTCCCTGGCACTGTGAAGCTGCAGTGCTAACAATTGAGCCACCGTGCCGCCCGAATATTGTTCTTGTCTAGACATCTGTTTGGCAGAATATAATACATTTGCATTGAAGTGCTTCAAGCTGCAGCTCTGGTGCGTTGGTGATGATAATGGGAAGGTGTGTGCTGCATTTGAGAACTTTTTCTTAAGATGCTACTTGTATGTAAATAAAACTGTTTACAGAAAGAATTTAATAGATGTATTCTGCATCATAAAATAGTTTCTAAAGGAATGCTGTTGCTGTATTATTGTTGTGTAGTCTCCTTTCATAAGTCTATGAAATACAGTATTAACTCTGTTTTACAGGACTATCTAGATTCTCAAGGATTGTCAACATTATTTCCCCGTGTTGAAATATTTGTAATACACGGTAGACCTGTTGACATGCTAGAACAGCCTCCTGTAGATGGTGAGAATGCTTTCCCCTATCCTGATACATTTATGTATGTTCAGCAAATAAATTTTATATCTGTACCAATGTACTCCTCTTAACAATTCTGTTCTGACTCTTTTCCTTAGCTCTACAGAGGGACTGTATTGTTACATCAACTTGATTAAAATTAAGTATATTAGTGAATAAAGGATATTGCATACATGTGCGGTTTAGCAGCTAAAATGCAACAATGAGACATCATGATTTTGAAAGAAGGTTCCTAAACAAAATAAGGGATATATTTTGGTAGAAAAAAATGAGATTAATTATAAATTTAAAAAGAAGAATTATAAAATTGGTGTAGTAACCCAGATTGTACATATGTACATGATTTGCCAAAACTTTGTGGAAAAATTCGAAAGAAATTCTTCTTACCTCTTAGAAAGGAATACAAGGAGGTTATGTGCTCTCTGTCTTTTTGTTAACTTTTGAATATTTACTTAATGTATCAAATGAGGTATTGTATTTTCTCCACGCTTAAAAATGCTAATGTGGCTATATCCATATTTCATGACAACTGAACACAAAGATGCTCAATTCACTCTTTCCACTATGAAGCTGTCTATTTCAAAATGTTATATCTCAGGCAAATGTTGAGAAATATATCTGTCCTTGCCTTTGGAAGAAGGGTGGTGAATCATTTAGATGTTTGGGGCCAGAAAGCACAATGTGAAGCTTTTTCACATATGCTGTGCAGCAAAATTTGCTAATTTTTCTTTGGTTTTAATTTCCTAGTTTTAAAAAATGAGTTACTAATTAGTTAAATTCATTTAAGGTTTTGTTTCATTTTATTGAATTAAAGATTTTAAATTTTATTTTGATTTTTGTTTAGTGTTGAAACTGAACTCTATGGTTTTCTGTAACTTTTACATCAAAAGTGGCTTTTTATTCAGTGTATGAAGAACTGTGAGGGTTTTACATTCAGGTGAGTTAATAATGGTAACTTTTTATTTTTCTAGTTTTTTTTGTAGAAACCTTTGCCGTATTTTAGTTTCATCTATTTCTTCTCGTTTTAAAAAAAGTAATTGTTTACATTAATTTTATAACATGGGACCAGGCATGAATTTGCATCCTGCACACACAATACATCTTTACACTCTGTGTGCTATATTGTACCTCTCACAACAACCTAAAGAAAAGCAACAGATATTACCTTGGATTATTGTTAAATTCATTTTAACATCTGATTACAAAGCCTTTTATCTGAAAGCTGTACCAACACTAACAGCTTCAGCTATTGATAACCACCTTTATTATAAAGGAACTGGCATTCAGACAGTTAATGGTTTTGGAGGCTGCTGAATTTTCATTAGGTCTTTAAGAATACCTAGATGTATGGAGCAGGATTCCTTCCTGTGAGTTCCAGAATCATGACTTTACACACACAAACTATTTAATTTAGTGTGGTGACAGGGAAATAGGCAAATTGAAGAGTGGCAAAAAGAAATCTCCTGCGTGTAGTTGAGCCATTTAAAAAATGTAAAAGTGTTTCATACAACACTGGTGACCTAGACCTGCTTCTCACACATTGCATCCAGGGATTAATGCATAGCATGCAGGATCTGAAAGAGCATGGAAAGTATATTTTGAGTATTGCTGAACAAAGTAACACAAAGTTAATGTGCCTTTATGCACTATGTTATTTATGAACTGCTAAAAACCAGATTAAAGCATCCTTTTCATTTACATGGTGAAGGATTCCTTCACATTTGTGAAAACCATACAAGACTCTCATATTTTTGGTTCGGGCACATTCCTTTCAGGAGGAGCCAGAGGGAGGAGCCTATACAGGGGAAAATTAACAATCGTGCGTGGGGTTTCTCGGGCCTAGTTTTGGTTCGGTCATGTTCTTTTAGGAGGAGCCAGCAGCCATCCATTCCAGGGAAGCTCTGAATTCCTAAATGAAAAGTTTTTTTACGTTGTTCATTTTATACCAAAACCCTATTTTGTATGACATTACAAATTGAATAATTTTGTCTTAGTACATCTGTTAGAAAATGTAACTTTCTGGACACTGATTAATTAACATGAATTAATTGCTTTTTGGATTTGTTACAGCTACATTTGTAGATCAGTAATACATTTACTGCCTTTACTACTGTCCTTTTTTTTATGAATAGTGATGTATTTCCAATGATCCTTAGCCTTTATTTCTTGATTAAATTCTTAGCAATATTAAATGTTTTTGCTAGAAATGTTTTGTTGGGTGCTGATTATACTTTGTTTAATTATTCAGGTTTTTTATGTGTCTTCACCTGCTCTGCTTGATTTTCTCTCCTTCTCCTCTTATAGCTGTCTTTCCCCTCAAGAAAGCCACACTGAATTGCACCAGTTAGACTGCAGAAGACTAAAGATGTTTTCTCTGTGCTTTCAATACAGGCTATTTTTCCCACATTGGGAAACTAAATCAACTCCTGGTTTTGAGCCAGCAATTGGAGGATGATTTGCAGCACCTGGGAAGCCACAAATATATAGCACATCAGCTTTCAGTCTTGTATGTGAGTATCTTCATGGCTAACCTAGGAGCATTTTGCAAAAATTGTGATTTTGATACTTTGTCCACCATCTGACCTACGACCACACATTTTTATTATACAGGCTGTATGTCATCTCTTTTTCAATTGCCTTCCCATGTGAAGTAAAAATGACCATGACCAACAAGAGTTCAGTGATGTATCGGGTATGTGTGCTCCATCCTCCAAACAGTTAAGATATTGTTGGAAGGATTAAGTGCAGTCTTGGGCATTCAACATTTATCAACCAAACATGCACAGAGTTGGGCTGTGACTTAGTCGAATAGTGCTGCACTAGTGGTGATTTGTGTTTCTCTCATTGTTCTCAATTAGATTATCTCACCTTTTTCTGTTTCTTAGTGACTGTTAAAGCTCCTTGACACAACTAAGAAAGGCATGCCTTTGCATAATAAAAGTCTACCAATGTCAGTTTTCAAATATTCCTGGTCTTGTGCAACCAGTGGCAACCCCAGTTTAAATCTACAGATCTTGCCGAACATTAGAAACGGGCCAGTAGATTTAGTTCGGAATTGCTATTTATTTGGCAGTCTAGACTTTGGAAACCAGCAGTGCTCGAAACCCTTTCATAACACCATAAAAGCAGGGAGCTGAAATCAAATTCAGAATCCTCTGTTCTGCACGGCCAATGGCACGTCCCACCACCAGAGAATTGAACAAGATCTGTTTTACACTAAAATATCTTTATTTTCTTGTTGCAGAAAGTTCTGAATTATTTCAGTGGGTCTATTAGTTTGGGCATCTTGAAAAAAGATATTGAAGCCAATTTCAAAGCTTTAAAATCCGGACTGGCTGTTGGCAAGGGGACTAAGCATGAGCCTCTGCTACCGTATCATTATGTAAGCTGGTGAGTATGACTAGCAGAAATGGAAAGTTTAGAGAATGTTTGTTTATTTATAATGCATTTTGGAATATATTTAGTGGAAATCATTTGAACTGTTTAGTTAAACTAAATCCTCACACATTCTTTAAAATCTCACTTATTTTCAAAACAAATCATTATAAAGGATGTTTTGCATGAGCAATTTACATTTAACATTTTGTGAACACAACACAACTATTTAAATATTAAACATTCCTCGTCTCACTAATTTAAACTAGTTTCATAATTACACATGGAAAATCATGCGAACCACTACAGTGAGGAAGGAGGCTTTTCGGCCCATCAATTCTGCACCAACCCTCCTAAGAGCATCCAACAGAACTACCCGCAGCCACCTATCATATCCCCGTAATCCACCTCGCCTACCAATCTCTGACCACTATAGCTAATTTTAGCATAGCCAATCCACCTAACCCACAGTCCATAGATGTGCAGGAGGAACCCCACACAGACATGGGGAGAATGTCAGTGTGGAGTTTGCACAGTCACCCAAGGCTGGAATTGAACCTGGGTCCCTGGCACTGAGAGGCAGCAGTGCTAGCCACTGTACTGCCCTAAGTCATTTTACTCTGGTTTGAATACTTGGCGTGGAATTTAGTACATCAGGGATGACTGGCAGCCAGCTGAAAGTTAAACCATGAAATATGTGCCAAATCTGCCAAAGTAACTTCAGACCAATTGGAAAAGGTCATCCTGGGCAAGAGATTTTTCACATTAGGGAAAAGTCTTTATAACATCTAACAATCTCACCTAACAGCGGTTCTTAAGTTCAGATTTGAAATTAAAATTGAGTTAGTGGTGCGTATGATTTTGGAGTTACCGTCAGCCCACCCATTTCAGAGTGAAGAGGCCAGGTACATTTTGAGTCCTGGGTTCTTGTTTAAGTGACATTGGTAAGCAGCGGGTACCAAGTAGACATCCAGTAATTGGTCAAAAGTGGTTACTTATTCTTGAGCCTGGTCAGTGGGTACTGACTGCTTTTTCACCTTTTATGGGTGTCACAACCATTATATTTGTCAAGTGCCAGTTTGAGACAGAAAAATATGCTTTGGCTAAGCTGAGACAAATTGGTACGAGGTACAACGTGAACCTGGGATTTTTCTAGCTGAAGCCCATATTACAACATTTGTTTACCCACTAAGATATCAGGGAAATGCAATAACACTCGATGCCCTTAAGTAAGGTGAAAGTTACAGTCCATGGATAATGTTCCCTCCAATTGTCTTTCTGACTGTGTGAGCCTCAGGTCCATGCATGGCAGCGACTTCTAGAATCAGAAGTCAATGTTGCAGTCAGGGTTCTGAACTCGATCGCCATGTGTGGAACCTTGAAACAGTGGTGCCTGTGTGCAGCTACGCAACTTAGAGAGAATGTTCCTCACAGGAGAATTATTATGAAAAATTATTCATGATTATCTTCAGATGTTATAGTTAATTTTAATGTAATCTTTCTTTAATGTTTTTGTCTTTTAGGATACTCTGTCTTACTCGCAGTATCATTACAACTGTGACTACCCTTCCTGAAGAACTTACAGAAGAATTATCTTTGGCCATGTCTTTTGTTATGAATCTGAGATAATGCACAAGCGTACTTTAGGATGCTAGCAAACTGAACTTCAGTCTAAAACAAATTGACAATTGTGCACTTTTTTTAAACAAAACATAATGTCACTCTCTTCGTCTTCTGACTGTGCTGACTTATACCAGTTTAGGTACCTCTGTTACCTTCATTGAAATGTGTTCTTTGTGAGCGAGAATAGATATTGCGTGTTGCCAGTCTTTATGACAGAGGGATGGGGTGGGCAGTCATGGCAGCTGAATTTGATTCAACTCCCTCCTTAACAGTGTTGTCTGTCTACCTGCACCAAATGGAATACAGTGGTTCAATTCAGTAACTCACCACCACCATTTCAATGGTAATCAGGGATGGGCAAATAATGCTGAACTAACCAGCGAAGCCCAAATCCTCTGAATGAATTTTAAAAAAATCCACCCCCACACACGAGTGGCTGCACTCAAGCGTCTTACTCTGCTATAGGTGCTACATTAATGCAAATTATTTTATGTTGTTTCTGTTCAAGAGCTCTTGAACGGAGTAGTACGAAACACCAGAAAGGGAACAAATCTTTTCTGTTTATAGTTACTGCAACCTGTGTAGGAAAATAGGGCAGGAGCCTTTTGGCCCCTCGAGTCTGCTCCACCATTCATTATAATCGTGGCTGATCATCCAATTCAATAGCTGCTTTTTCCCCATATCCTTTGATACCTTTCGCCCCAAGTGTTTTATCCAACTACTTGAAATCTTTATATGGAAGGAAAGCAATTAATTGCTTTACTTATGGCAGCTGTGCACATTTCCTACTCTCAATCTCTAAACAACAAATCTTGTTTTCATTAATAAGAATTCCATTTTTTAATTATAGAAGACTACATAGAACACAAAGATGATAGCCAAATTCTCATATTGCCACACGTAGCTAAAATTCTTCATCTGGAGTTCATTTGTAAGCAATTAGCCGGCTAAGATATTCCCTTCCTCTCCCTAATATCTTTTATTTCAGTTTAAGCACAGCAATGGTTTGGATGAAGAAATGCCTACAGCTAAATTGATGTAATCTTTCCAGAGTACTTATTTGCTATTCTGCCATCTTGTAGTTCCTTAAATGATTCCAGTCTCTTGGTTCCAACCTATTGCAGCTGTAAGCAACCCTCAATGTGCAAAAGAAGCAAAGCCTCAGATGTCTGGCATAAATATGCCTTTCACATCCAGAGCCTGTACTATGTAGTTCTGTTGTGCTATAATAGCTGGGGTATAGTTTCTTATTCCTCTCCTTTATGTCATTAAGTATCTTCCCTACCTCTCATTGATGCCAGGTTTCAACCTTGGCTCAGTGGGAGCACTGCTGACACTGAGTCAGGAGTTGTGGGTTCAGGCTCCACTCCAGAGACATGAATGCTAATCTAGGCTAGCCTTTCAAGGCAATGGTGGAGGGGTACTGCACTGTCCCAGGTACTGGTTTAAGAATAAAATGGTAAACTATAGTGGACTAACAGATGGTGCTATTCAGTGAAGAGCAGTGGCATTTATAAAATGATGCAACCTACATTTATCCCTCAGCCAATATCAGTAAAGTTGATTATCTGATCATTTATTTTATTGTTCTTTGTACTATCTTGGCCATGCGCAATCTGACTGATAGGTCATCCTACACCACAACATTGTCTAAACTTCAAAAATACCTCACTGCCTCAGGCCTTAATGGGCGCTCTCTGTCTGAGGCATCTCTTTCTTAATTTTGAAGAGCCTCAGCATGTTACAGCTTATATTATTGCTTAGAGAGAAGGAAATACTGTTTGTGTTTGTTTCAGGAACAGTGATAGAAATACTAAACAGGCTAGTGAGAATATGAAAGGCAAATAACTTGGCATCTTGGTGAGATCCCTGTTCAAACTCATGTTCTCAAGAGCAATTTAGAGGTTTACACTGATGAACTTTAGATCAACTTGGGTTGTGAGTAATTTCCTAACAATTAAATATCAAATCAACTTAAATCGAAACTTTGTCTTTTCTTTCTCAGTTTTATTGCTGGTATCAAAAGATAAACCAATACAGGGTCACATTTACTCATTCTTCCTTTTATCTTTGCGTTGATGTACAGATTTTTATTCAAAGGATTAGGAAAATCTATCAGAGTTTGCACATGCACACACTACATTTTAGAAAGACAAATCTGTAGAAACAAATACTGCTGTCAAATTATCCACCCTTATTACTTTATAGTAATTGTGAGAAAAATCTATCCGAATGACCATATTTTCTTTAGTGTAATTTGTATTTAAATTCAAATAGAAAGGAATGTAAAATTAGCAGAAATGTTAAGTAACATTCTTTTTTCACATAATGTTCTGAGGATTCAAACACTTCCAAATCCTGTTGATAGTGAACAAAGCTGAACTCATCCAGCCTTCTCCAGCTTCAGGGTTGAGTTATTTATTGTAAATTAATAAACTAAGGCTGTGATTGCACCTGAGAGGGCGCGAGAAGTTTCACTAGGATGTACCCTGGGCTGGAGCAATTCAAATATGAGGAGAGACTAAGTAGGCTGGGGCTATTTTTCTTAGAGCAGAGATGACTGAGGAGAATCTGTTTGAGGCATATGAAGCTATAATGGGCATAGACAGGTTAGATAGTTTCCTGTTAGCAGATGGGTCCGTAACCAGGGTGCACAGCTTTAAGGTAGGTGCAGGCGGTATAGAGGGGATTTGAAGGAATTTTTTTTATCTAGAGGATTGTGGGTAGTTGGAGCTCACTGTCTAACAGGGTGGGAGAGGTGGGGATCCTCAAACATTTAAGAACGATTTAGATGAACACTCAACACTACAGCATACAAGGCTACGGGCCAAAGTTCTGGAAAATGGGATGGGATTAGATTAAATGGATGTTTGGCTAGTAAGGGAATGATGGGTTGAAGGGCCTCCTTTTGTGCTGTAAAAGCTCTGACTCTGAATCTAAACTCTCTTGTTTTTAATACACAAGATCATTTCAAAGTAATGGCGGGCAGTGACAAGTGAAAGTACACAGGAGTTCTGCAAAATATGGGAGTCACAGCAATGGGTAACAGGAGGAGAAAGAGACCCAGAGTTGTAGAGGCCATAGACGATGACCACCTTGCAGCTGCATTACCCCAAACACTGGGTGTTAGTGTGCAAAGTAGACAATTAGGTAAATTGTGTTGCATGGTGTAGCTTCAAAAACGAGCATACTTCAATGCAAATGTTAGGAGATAGAAAAACTATGATACTTGTGTCTTATTACACTTGTACTTTAGTTATGTAGTACATCATTTGGAGGTGGTAATTCCTATATAAAATGTAGGAAAGTGCACAATTTCAGCAAGTATGTTTTAATTTTTGTGTGAATTGTTTACAGTATAATTGCTATTTTTACAGAACTGTGAATAAAGGTGTTATTTGTAAATACGGCAGTGTGTTTTTATTCGCTAGCCACTATTTTAGAAGAACATATAGTAAGCAAATAGAATGAGAATGTATCTTTTTACCTGGTTTGTTCACAGTGATTATGGGCAATACTTATTGGGAAGATAGCAATTGAGGGAAGGCAAAATGGATCCAAAGCTTGACCAGGCAAAACTCTAACAGAACAATCTTTGGGGAGGTGATCTTTCAACTATGTGCTGTGTACCTCTCAATTTGGCAAAGGATAGGAATAAAAAAACAAAGTTTTTTTGACTCATTGGGAAGATAGAGAGTATCATGAAACAATGATTGTGTAAGCTGTGTGTCCTGTGAATTCTTAAATGAGGACCATTGTTGATTGTCATTTAAAAAAAACACACTGGTTCAGTAATGTCATTTCAGGAAGGAAGTCTGGCCTTGCCTGGTCTGGCCTGCGTGTGACTCCAGAACCACAGCAATGTGGCTGACTCTTAAAAGGCCTCTCAAATGACCTAGCAAGCCATTCAGTTGCACCAAACAACTAAAAAAGCTTAATAAAAACCAAAAGAACTGCGGATGCTGTAAATCAGGAACAAAAACAAAGTTGCTGGAAAAGCTCAGCAGGTCTGGCAGCATCTGTGGAGGAGAAAACAGAGTTAACATTTCGGGTCCGGTGAAAGTTCTGAGGAAGGGTCACCGGACCCGAAACGTTAACTAAAAAAGCTTTCCTTTAAAAAAAGGTAATGAAGCTGGATGGACCACCTGACACTTACTGAGGCACCGGAAATGACAACAGCAAACTCAGCCTTGTAGACACTGCAACGGTCTCCTTATCAACATCTGGGGAAAAGTGCCAAAATTGGAACAGCTGTCTCAAAGATATGTCAAGCAACTGCCTTACGTGGCACAGAAGGAGGCCATCCAGCTCACTTTCCCCACACCAGTTCTATTACCTAGTGCCAATCTCCTGCCTTTCCCCCCTACATAACATTTCTATGCAAATAGCAGGTGGTGAGGGAACAATTGAGAGGGAGAAAAACACATGACTTCATCCTCACCAATCTACCTGCCACAAATGTATCTGTCCATGACAGTATTGGTGAGAATGACGGCCACACAGTCCTAGTGGGAGTGAAGTCCTGGCTTCAATCGAGAATACTTTCCATTGATAGTGCCACACAATACACTGTGTAAAATGCGATAGACTTAGAACAGATTTTGCAACTTAAGACTGGACATCCACTGGGGACCGTCAGCAGAATTGTACGCCAACAAAACCTCCAAACTCATGGCCTAGCTGCAGATGCATGTTATAGGGAAAAATTTAACCCTTTGATCCCTTAAAGACCAAGTGAGACTTAGGCTTATTTGTCTAAGCATGTATTCATGCATGCATGGGGAGTGTACTTAGCAAACATGCAGCACAACTCCCTGATTTGCTACAAAACGTTTATGCTATCTGAGGTTTTGGAGTAGATTTGTAGCTCGGGTTGTGGGTGTTGAGGTTGGTTGGCTCGCCGAGCTGGTTTGTTGTTCCGCAGACGTTTCGTTACCATGCTTGGTAACATCCTCTGATGAAGCGTCGGTGTGTTTTCCCGCCTGGCTTTTAAACTCTGGGGTCCGTTGCGATGGATTGCCTCACTTCCGGGTTTCCTCCATAATGGAATGTATATGGGGTCGAGTTCAATGTGTTTATTA